GTGGGGGAAAAAAAGGAACAAAATTTGTCCAAGTTCTTGTAACGCCCATCTATTTTCATGACAGCTTGGCCTTGGGTGTTCAACATAAACTGCTGCCATGTAAGCTAAAGAGCTATCTACCATCATTAACAGCAGTCACTGAAAACTGGGAACAAATCACCACCCCCAGCAAACAATCACTTACAACACAGCTCTGCTAACTCCCACTGTACCATAGACACTTTGCCATGCAGGTATTTCTAGAAAATTCACTGGAAAATGGGACTTTGGAACCCTACAGTTGAACACATAAGTGAAGTTGTAAATTGGAATTCAGTCAGTGCTTCATTTGACTTCCCACGGACAGCATCATCTAGATTAAGAAGTCTGGCCCTGTGATACCCTACTCCCTTCTTCAAGGACCAAAGTACAGCTTTTGTTGGTCTGGCAGCAGATTGACAGCAACACAGCTCAAGTGTCACTGAGGACTGTAAGCAAAGTCAGGAGGAATTTTTTTACTTTTACTTCTGTTAGATTTTATCCAGCTTTTGCAGAAATACAACTTTAGAGGGATAACAGAAAAAAATGTTCTCTGAGGTAGTTATTTCTCATTAGAAAATTTCCTAGAAAGAGACATCTGCATCTCAAAAACCCAAATACATCCTGTGTATAAGGAAAAAAAGCTATAAAATAAAACATACAGCCCCATCACAACTCCATAACAAATGACATAAATCATTAACAATGAAGTGATACACATGTACATATATTTATCTGACACAAACACACAGGAAATACATCAACAACTGCCACAGCTAGAAAGAAAATTCAAGAGCTACATCAGAGAGACCAATTAGTTAGATTAACATTAACCACGTTTCTGGGAAAAGTGTGCACACACACACCCCCATGTGACAAAGTTTTATTTTCCCCTATCAACTTCCCTTGTGGCTGACAAACAAAGAACTGACTTAAAGCATAAACCTACTAGCATTTAAAGCAGAATAGAAATAGAAATATTGTCAATGAATGCTCACAAGCAAGAAATAAATACAGAGCCTCATTTACCTGGCTGTACCACCTCCAACTTCTACCATAAGACACAACTTCTGAACCTTTACAACATTCCCGTTGTAAAACAAGTCCTCTTAGTTTAACCATACGAAGAAGTTTCTTAAATTTTTCACCTACTGTCATACTCTAGGAAACCTCTTCTTAGACTTCAGACCAAATTTTACCAGCTTCTTCTCCCAGGAAAGACCCAAATACTCTTTGTGGTCCTTATCACACACTAGGAACAGTTTGGTCAAGCAACACTTCGTCCAACAGACAAACCTCCACGTGTCACAGAGATCTAGAATTGCACATTATCTCCAGTGGATATGATAAATCATCCATATCTGCAGTTATATATATAAATTATGTAAAACAGTAATACTTCTGATTTTTATTTATTTCAAACCTGTACTGTGCATACAAGTTACAGTGTTTGGAAAGAAGCACTGAATCCAAAGTGACTTCAAAAAGTAAAATCTTTTGCTGACACTAAGTGAATACTTGCTTTAAATAATTCACAGCTAGTTCAAATCTGTGATTTTTTTTTGGTTTTAATAGTAATTGAAGTATCCTTTAAGAATTGATTAAAGCAAGAGAACCTGTTACTCTCAGTGCCTGTACTAAAGGCAAGCAATCCAGACAGTGTTTTGAGACAATGACCTATAACTGCAGATATTGTAAAAGCTTTGCAGACTGCCAAAGTTCAACTAATTAAGGCTCAGTGATTCTCCACCCTGGGCTGGGTTACACCACTTACAGATGTGACTGCAAACCAAATTCATTAAATTTGTTACACTCTCCAACATGACACTGGCTCAAAGAAGCCTGAGAATGAAAGTGAATTCAAAGCTCAAAATAGTTTGGGATGTGTTGCCCAACACCACCACACACAGCAAGAAAATTAAGGGATCAAACTAAAGATACTCTAGTCCTAAACTACTAACATTTTACCACCTTGTGCCTTCTTCAGCAACATGTAACAAATTTAATACCATTGGTAAAAAGACTGGTAAGTTACTTTTCATCTAAGAACAAAGTTTAAAAAAAAAACAAATAAAACATACTAGATGCTGGTGTGAAATGAAAGCATCCTGAGATTTTTAGATCATTATAGGTAGAATTCCAACTAAAAAATAATATCAAAGAGACAATAGGTTACCATTCATGACTCATGGGAGTCAAGGCTGCATTTGGCTTAAAAAAATCTCAACCTATGAAGCTCTCCTGTTTCCCAAAAACATACTGTTTTACCTAAGCAGTGTTTATATATGCTTTGCAGCATATTTTAAAGTAATCTTCTATTTATCCAATGAAAGGAAAGAGTATATACAAATTTACAGCATTCTAGACAGTGCCAAATTCAATTCAAAGGCGTTGTAACCTTCTTTCTTCAATTACTCAAGGTCATGAATAACTCCACTGTTTGTACCACCCTACCTTTCACTTAAAAGTCCACACTTCTATTCACAGAATTCCATGATTCTATGATTCAGAAAAGCCCATTCATATTATCTGAAAATTTGCAAAAAAGTGCAGTCTCCTATGAAACTGCTATTTTATATAGTTAGTTTATTATATAAAAGTTTGAGGACTTTTCAGGTTGGTTGAAGGAAAACACAGCCCTTAGTCCTATTCTAACTTTCCAACGATGTAGCTTTAGCTAAAACCAGAATATTTATTTGTGCATTCCTGGTGCCCTGCCCAACTTCAGGAAGGCTTTAGTGATAACCATTTAGTGATAACCATTTAGTGATAACCATTTAGTGATAACCACTAGTGAATAGCATTTTTTTTCAATTTGCATAGTTAGAAGGAAACTGAAATGCATTTTAGATACTTCAAAGTACAAAGTACAGCTGAAAGAAAAATGCAAACCTCTTTATCCTTAAGTATATCTATATTCAAGAGAAATAAAATGGTTTTTCCACATGCTACTTTGCCAACATTTTGTGTCTTCATACCAAGAGATCCATTTTCATAGCATTTTTAACTTGATTATTTATATATGGCTGCAATCACTAAATCAGGTGTCTTACCATACCAGAGAATTCAATATAACCTTGCATTAGTGAAACTGTCTTGATGATAAGGCTAAATAATTGCACCAATACCCTTCTGCAGCAGGTAACCTTCTCTTCCGTCAGGTGATTTTTAAGTATAATCACGCTGGAATTTATTTAAAGATTCCAGATACAAGAAAGAAAATGTTATTGCTAGCAGAGACTACTCGAGGGAGGGATTCATACGCTGAATGCTCATTGACAGCTGAAGATAATGCCACGAAAGGCAATATCTTTCTCTTCGCCTGCGCCTATTATCCATCACTGCCTACGACGTGTATCGCCAGTCACAGACCACAGTGACAGGTGTCTCACTAAAATGTGAGATGAGCAACATGGTGGGAAGAGAACCTGGAAGGTTATCATATACAGAATAAAATCCAGCCCAACCATATCAGACTGACACAGAGTGGAGGGGGCGTGTGTAGAGCATGAACGCAAAAAGACAAGAGTTTTACATAAAGCACAGGTCATGGGTTGCAAAGACTGATCACCTTCTGGAGGTGGGCTTAGCTTAGACTCCAGTTTGCCCTAATGAAGGTGAACACAAGATGCTCCCCATTACATAAGCACACATGCTCTTTTTCCCCTCTTAAAATTGCCAATGGAAGAAGCAACGCAGGATGCCTGTGTGCCAGACGACATTAATCCTTCATGCTTTGTCTATTACATACGACTGTGCCATGTTCACATGGAAGTATGCAAAGCCACCAGGTAGTGCATTTTGAGACTGTGTGATAGAAGCATGAGCAGGGAAACCTTATGTCTATGCAGGTCTTTATCATACAAAATGCAAACAAGCTGTATCATACCTCCCTTCCAATGGATTAAGGAAAATGCTTAATATTTTAAAGATGTCTGAAAGGTCAGACCAAACCCACGAACTAGACAAACAGATCAAGCATACATCCCAAAATTTTTCAAAAAGCATGTTATACAAGATGAGCTATGTGCCAAAGCTGTATATGTAGATCTAAATCACTAAAAATGGTGTTAAAACTGTAGACACTTAGACTCAAAGAGGACCTAGGTACTGGGTTATCCAAAGACAACCTAACAAACATTCAAGGAAACACATACAGATTTCTTCAAAAGAGCAGAGATTTTTCTTCTTTTTTTTTTTTATTATTTTTTTCTTTTTAACTTCAGATCCAAATTTCCCTATGTATTTGTTTGGAACACTGTGTGCCTTATGAGTTTCCATTAAGTTCAAATGAAGATTCTGCTTGAAAGTTTTCCTCAGAACCCTTTACACCCCTTAAAGATCATTATTCAACATCAATGCCCCAGAAAAACATCCTGTAGCTATTTGCTTTGCATGTGTGTATGTTCCTGTGGCCCTATCAATAGGAGTCTCATCACAAAAAGCCCAAGTAGTACATATATCAAACCAAGCCTTCCCTTTGAAGGGAAGATATCACCTTTACAAGCCCATGGGATGTCCACTGCAAGAACACCAAAGCTTTTATTGAAATAAAATGAAGTCTGAAGGGAACTCTTGCTGTGATTTTAAATTTACAAAGTAACAGCTTGAGAAAGCCTTGGACATCTATAATACAGCCATTTGCCATTATCTCTTAACACTGTTGCAACTATCATTCCAAGAATATGAGTATGTAGATCTCTATTGCTTTCTAAATTAATAGTAGCTTGATTATTTGACAGAAATCATTACCTGCTGTAAAACTTCCATGAAATTACAAGCTGATGTTCAGTTAATTATAGCATGCACCTGCAGAGCACATAACCTGCTTTTTATTCAACACAGCAGTGTTATTATTCACATTCTAGTAAAAGATTTTACCTCTAACTGAGCACACAAAGCTCTGGTACCTAACATTGAGAATTATTAAAAAAAAAACAAAACACAAAACCAAACACATCAGATTGACACAACATTCTTACTTTTAGCAGTTCAAAATAATGGAGACAGTGGTAAACAGGGGCAAGGAGCAGCCGGGGTAGAACATACTGGACAGCTTCTTTAAAGCCTTCACCTATTGACTAGAAACAAAATAAGTTTCAGTCTTAAAACAATAAATGTATTGAAGCAACAATGCGATGTAATTAAAATAGTAATATCAATAATATGTCTTACTTAAAGGCAAGTTACCTGTAAATAAAATGCTGCTCCTGGCTTTGATAGTTGACTTAGAAAATGATCATGAAACCCAGGTCGCAAAATATCTTGTGCGTACGATTCATACGGATCAAATGCTAGTTCCTAAGAAGAGATACAAAATAATTTTACAATCATAGAATGGCTTGGGTTGGAAGGGACCTTAAAGATCATGTAGTTCCAACCCCTTGCCATAGGCAGGAAAACCATCAGTTTACAAAACTGATTTAAAAGCTAAACTTCCACGTTTCTTAAAGAAAATACATATGCTACATAGACTTTTCCAAAACACATGTAGAGAAGAGCCAACTTTTACATGCTCATCATGACTGACGGAGTAAATCAGTCTAAAAGAGATCTCTGGAAGTCAACTGGTCCAATTCCTGGTTCAAAGCAGGGCCTACCTCAGGGCCATAGACAGATCCACCATCAAAACTAGCTGAGGATTCTCAGGGTCTCTCTCATCCAGCTGAGTTCTGATCAACTCCAAGTAGAGAGGCATCAAAACCTCTCTGGGTAGCCTATTCCAATGTTCAAGTGTTCTTGTTGCAGATTTTCTCCCCTCCAGTATGTCATCAGGATTAATCTTTTTACCATTCATGTGCTCTCTCACTCATCTCACAGTTCTCAACTGTGAAGCCTCAGTAAGAGCCTGCCTCTATTGTCCTTACACCTTCCCTTTGCCTAACTGAAGACAATAGTAAGATCTCCTTCAGACTTCTCAAGAATAAATAAACCCAGCAATCTCAACCCTTTTTGGGCATCACGGGCCTCAGCTCCTTAACCATCACAGCAAGGTTCATGTATAAACACATCTTGTACCAGAAAGCCCAAAACTGGACACAGCATACCAGATGTGGTCTCAAGTCCTACACAGAAGTGATCCCTCAACATTCCAGCTACACATTCCCTAATATAATGCAGTAGGTAATTAGCCTTCACAGACAATTCCTGAGGACCTCCCAGCCCTGTCACACAGTACTGCTCCTCAGCTGAAACATTGCATGGGGTTGTTTGGTCCCAGGTGCACAATTTCATATTTGTCTTTACTCAACTCTGTGAGGTTCCCATGGGTCCATTTCTCCAGCCTGTCAGGTCCCCTAAGAAGTAGCTCTGTCCTCCTGTGTGTCTCCCCACAATTTGGCATCACCTACCAACTAGATGGGGCAGACCTCCTTCCACAACACTAATCCAAACATTAAACAGTATCAAACCCTGAGGAATGCCACTAACCACGGGCCTCCAGGTGGCCTTTGTACTGCTGATAACAGCCCTTCAAAAGCCTGACAGTTCAGCCGATTTCCCACACGCTGTATAATTCAACTAGCTAGGCTGCATCTCACCAAGCTGACTGTAAGGATACTATGACAGACTGTGCTGAAAGCCTTGTTTAAGTTCAGATAAGAGATATTAACTGCTCTTCCCTCTGTCCATGGAGACAGCCATCTCTTTGAAAGTAGTCAAGGTGGTCAGGTACAGTTTGTCCTTTGGAAATCTGTGCTGGCTGTTGCCAGCCAACTTCTAGTCCTTCACATGGCTGGATGTGAATTCCAAAAAGATTTGCTAATCTTCTGAGGGACTGAGGAGAGACAGACCAGCCTCTAGTTTACAGGAACCTCCTTGACAGTGTTTTTGAGACTGGGCATAACACTATCTCCAAAACTCACTTGAGGTCATTTCCTCTTGTCCTATCACTTGTTACTTGGGAGAAGAGATCAACACCCACCTTTTTACAGCCTCCTTTCAGGTATCTGTAGAGAGTGATAAGGTCCCCCCTTGGCCTCCTTTTGTCCAGGCTAAACAACCCCAGCTCCCTCAGCTGCTCCGCACAGAACACGTTCTCTAGGCACTTCACCAGCTTTGTTCCTCTTCTTTGGACACACTCCAGCACCTCAGTATCTTTCTTGTAGTGAGGAGCCCAAGTTCCAGTAAACAAGAAACTGTGCATGTCCTTGCCTCCTACTAAACCCAACCTCTTTTCTCAGAGACTGGGAATGCATATTCCATGTGCTCTGAACACACTGCTTCTCTCCCAAGAAAGCTAGAGCCTGTGATAAAGAGATGACTCCTACTTGTTCAGAGAAGGGTTGTGCCACTTGTCAATTGGGCAGACTTTGCAGTCAAAGCTTGACCACATCATGCCCTTTGGTAGCATCCTCCTCTGATTCTGATCCTTAAGCATTCATCCAGCTCATTTATTCCATACTAGAGCTCCATATACTTGAGGTGATATTTTGTTAGGCCTCCTGGCCTCATCCCCTCTCCCTCCCGTCCTTCCTGAGCACCTGTTTTCATTCATACAGCCCTCCATCATGGCAGCCCTTCCTGCCAGGTCGCTGATTACAATCACACGACAACTCTGCAATTGTGCACAGACTTCCAGATCCTCTTGTCTGTGCATGAGCACGTGCACTCTGGGGAAACAGACACTTCAGAGGAGCCTTTGGGCATCCCACCTTCTCAGGAGGAAGGTGCAAGAACCTTTGTTGCCATGCTTTCTGTTAAGCTCGTCCTCTTCTCTTCAATCTGCAAGCTTTGGTCTCCATCCACTAACAAGCTTAGTTCAAAAACCTTCCTCACCAGCTTAGCAAGCCTGTTGGCAAAGCAACCCTTACTACTCTTTGTCTTTCCACAGCAATCTGGATCTACAGATGATTTACAGGACACTTCCAATTCTGTCAAGGTCTAGTCACAGGTTTTTTGTTCAACTTTTTCCACCTGTGCTCTTGAAAGTTTAAACAGCCACTCCAAAAGCTAAGGTTTAGAGACTAAAAAGGTAAGAGCACTCTCAAAAATAGCCAGTCCCTTCATCATGGTGGGGCTGGAAGAAGAGATCTCAAACTGAACAAAGGCAGCTAGAACAGAGATGCACTTTACATCTAACTGCAAGTATTAAAATATATATGAATAGCAAAAAAACCCCAAAATCAAAGGAGTATTTTTTCTTACCTCTGCCATGTCTTCAAAACAGCTGCCTACTAGTGGGTGAGGACTACCTTCATCTGTCATTTCAACAGTGTCTTCTATATGACCCAGTAACTTCACGCTAAGTTCATGAATGTCTGATATACGACTAAATATATTTTCCACATCCTGCAAAAAGCAACAGAATGAGACAAAAATCAAATGTGCAAGGCTACTCCGTTATGACGTGGAAGTCAAGAACTTTCCTAAACAGAACAAGATTCTACAATCATTTTATAATATACTTTTTCTACAATTTATATAAGATGATTAAATGTATTTTTAAAATAATGAATATCTATAAATATATAAAAATTTACAGTTATTCAAATGTGGCAAAGCACAGTGACAAATCTTAAAATTACGAGCCTGTAAGTGAATATAGCAAATTGGGAGGTTTCTTCCACAGTCCTACAAAACCCATACTTCCCCACAAGTGCTCTTTTATTATTTCCATTTCAGAACTCAAGACAAATGCTTTCTCTACTTTCATTCATGGCTGGGCTTCGCGAACGAAGATTTGGGAAGGCTCTATCCACATTTGTTACAGGCACGTTGGTGACTTATGAGGCCAATACGTGACAGACATATCCAATTGCAAAAGGCACAGTAGAAAGATTCCTTAGATGGTATATTCTGCAGAACATGGTTCTTTCTGCGTTGCCTTTTCTCCTCGAGGGTGATCCTGCGTGTGTTCTCAAAGGAGACAGCAGTGTTATAGATGGTGTGTCTCCAGGTCTCCCGATTTGAGGCCAGAGTAGACCAGTTATGATGATCAGTATGGCCAAGGCTGAGATGTTGTTTCAGGGAGTCCTTGTATCTTTTCTTTGAGGTTCCTCTCATGTGGCAGCCAGTGGCAAGTTCACCGTAAAGCAAGATCTTAGGGAGGCGGTGGTCCTTCATCCTGGAGACGTGCCCTGCCCATCACAGCTGAGTTCTCATCAACATGGCTTCTATACTTGTGACTGCTGCTTGCTCTAGAACAGATGTGTTGGTCACATAGTCTGACCAGTGGATGTTTAGGATTGTACGGAGGCAGTGTTGATGGAAGCGTTCTAGGAGTCGCAGGTGGTGGCGGTAGATGACCCATGATTCGGAACCATACAAGAGAGTAGACAACACTATGGCTTTGTAAACACTGATCTTGGTGCTTTTCTTCAAGTGTTTATTACGCCATACTCTTTTGTGGAGTTTTCCAAAAGCACTGTATGCCTTTGCTAACCTGCTACTGATATGTTAAACTGGACAACAGTTAAATTTCAGAAGTATTCATCATTTATAGATATCATAGTAGGTGCTTTTTTTGTTTGTGGTTTGCACAGTACTTACATGAGATGAAAACAGTTTGGAGTTGGAGGCATATGGCTCTCTAAAAACTCTGATAATGAGATTTAGTTCCCTTATGTATTGTCGAACTTCTGCCATAAATGACTTCACTAGGTCATAATAGGTTTGCTCCCCTGAGGTGGAGGGTTCTTCATCAGATAAAGTTAGTGCACTTAAATCTTCTACATCTTGATGGAACATATCCATTAATACCTAGGTAGCAAAGAGAGGGAAATCCACAAAGTCAGAACCTCTTTTCAAGATTGACTAGTAGGTTACCAATAAAGAAAACCTATTATTCCTGTGAAATCACACTGATCAGCAGTAAGATTTATGTATTATCACTCTGCAATCAGTTGAGCACTACAGAAGCAATATCCATTGCTATGAATTTGCAAGTCATTATGTGCAGTGGCAATCTCTGAAGATTCCCAGTCATTTAGACCAATCCAGGCATCTCTCCAAGAACACAGTCCTAAAATCAATTACAATTTTAAAAGGTCTGTGAAGCACACCAAGACAATTAGCATTTAGCTGTACTGTATTACTCTGAATCAGCAGTGCACAGTCTAAGTTTCTGAAGATGCTATACTATCTGAAGTCAAAAGGTGTGTACGTTTTGGCTTTTCAGTTTTAGCTTTAACAGGAAGTCACACATGATCATGCTCAGAATCCTGTGATCTCCCCACAATGAACACTGGCCTGTCCACAGACCGTACATGGCCCAGTTTCTGTCCTTAACTGCTGAGTTCTTTTGTTAAAATAAACCCTTGAGGAAGGGCACCCACGCCACAAAGCACTCACACTGCAGAACTACATAGACAAAAGGACCTCTAAAAACTCTGACTACCAGAGGTCCAAATTCATAACCAAGCAAGGCTTACCAAACACAAGCAATTAATAATTTAAACTTCTCAACAGAAGTGGATCACTGAACACTTCTTCCAAATGTGGTGTCTGAGCCAGGAGTCATTACAATGACTTAGCAAGTGGCAAGCAGATATCACACTCCGGGTTGTTTTCATCAAACTCATCTTAATCTTAGAATATCTTAAAGATAAAATAAGTAAGTTGACTGTAAATTAGTTAAAGGCACCCTTATTTGAAGTATCTTTAGCAGACAGAAAACCTAAAGAGGGTCCACAAGCAATCTGCAATGATGTAGCAAATAACAAGAAGCCAGCCTAAGATATAGCTCAACATAAAAGATGACTTCATCCTGGGATAGACAGATGGGACAGTATTTATGAACAAATCCACTGCCCAGAGCTACACTCTTTCCAAGAAGTCATGAAATTTATCAAACAATGTATGTGAACTTTAAAATAAATGAGAACTTATTTACTGCTTGCCAGTCTCCATTCCAAACAGACGGAGGTGAAGCCATGGCAACCTGTGCCTGCTACTGCAGAGACTGATATGACTGCTGCCAATCACTGAAAAGACTGAGGAAAAAAGTGAAGGATCAAAGCTGTAAATACTCCTCAGAGAGCCACAGGAGGGAATGCTAACACATTAAACATGAACTAGAGTTTTCAAAGTGGAAGAAAACAGAATGGAAAAGTGTTTTTTCAAAATAATTGTAGAACTGGAGATCAAGAATTAAAGTTGTGAACGGGCCACAATAACCATAACATTTAGCCTGGTATTTACAGTAGAAGTAATCTTTCTTAAGAAATGTTATTTAATTAATTAGTACTATTAACAATTTTTTTAACATCAAGTAAGTTACAGGCACTTCTCCAGAGGACGTCAGTTAACCAAGCCGCTGATTACCAGTCTTAGACAAATGAACTATTACACAAGAGAATACCTGGGGATCTATAAATTCAAGAGATGGCCTGGTAGGTTCATCAAACCTGAATACTGGAAGAAACACCTACCTAGAGAAGTCATTCTTCACCCATGTCTTGTACTAACCCTCCTCAAAAATATACAGGTCTAGTGAGGAGGGAAATGGACACACGGCAGGTTCTTTCTCCTAGTGAGTCAAAGTCCCTGATACACACCCTGGTCTTAAGCTTCTCTGAAAGCAGAACAATGGACATTTTGCATTAAGACTGACTTCTGAAGCTCTAAGAACGGAGGGTGGTTCATATTTCAAAGTCAGTGAATGTTCATGGAACTCAGGTTAAAAGGAGTCTCCTAAGTAATTCTGGAGAATGGAACATTACGGCATTACTACTGTAGGAAATTACATGGAATAGTGCAGGTATTCAAGGAGGCCCCAACATTTCCAGATTTATTTCATGGATGCAGTTCTAGCACACAGCTGGGAGATTCCAAGCTGTATTCACAAGATGCATGTCTCACTACTATGAAATCCACAGAAACAATTTAAAGTAACTACACCTCAGATATTAAACTCAGAGCAATCAGAAGCCCAAGCACACAGTAGAAGAAAATGGGTTTGCATTTTAACAGAGTTTGGTTTTTTTTGCAGACAAGACAAAATTTTCCAGATGGATGGATGGCAAAAAAGCAAGTGTAAAAGTCCTTGAGGAAAAAGATGGCAAATAGGGCCAAGAAAATGTTCTGGTTGTTTTCTTTCAAAAAATAAAATCAAGCAGAAGACATCATGGGTATGACCATAATATACTATGGGGTTTCTCAATGCAACTCAAGGAAAACACCTTAACAGTACCTTTCAACTGGCTTATTCTGCTCAGGCAGTAAACAACAGGCCTGCTTCGGAGCCTTTCAAAAGTTTATTCTGAGCACATACTAGAGTTCCTACAGTGTAATACAATTGAAGTTCCTAAATCATATTTGTTACAGCTCCTCTGCTCGCCACCTTTCCTATGATACAAAGAAACGTGCAGCGACAGCACTTGTTCCTGTTAGCGTTCTATAACCAATATTCAAACATATACCTTCAAACACTGCCCTAATGACCCAGGCAGGCATGCCCAAGAGCAACCAAGACTACTGACTGAGAAGCATTTAACTCCTTAAGACCTCACCAGGTATCTTAAGTAAAGAAAGGAGAAGTAGAAAGAAGAAAAGGAAAAAAAAAAAGGCATTCACTTAAGCAGAGATAATCTCAATTGAAGATATTGACACAGACCAAGACAAAACCACTGAAAAGAGGTGATAAATTTGAAAATCCCCAGACTTCAGCAAGAACCATACTTTATTGCACTAATTTCTTCTTTCAAACATACAACATTCCACATACTTACTAAGGAATAGACATTGTCCTGTCAAAATTCAACTACAACTCTCTGTTAACATGACAAATGAGGGTTAGGCTTACCTTATCAGCACACATTGCTACTTTAATATCTTGTTTTGTAATTTCATAATGTCTTATATTCCGCACGTAATTCCCAACCAATTTTAAGATGTCTGCAGAAATGTATTCTAATACTGCTACTATGTAAACAGACACTTGGTGGTCAATTTTGTAGCCTAGAACTTCCTGAAAGGGGGGGAAAAAAAAAACATTCCACTGTTACTCCTTTGATGAAACAGACACCATAGGTTACAATTAAAACCAGTTAGTTTAACACCCTACTCATTAAAGATACACCACACATCCACAGCCTATTTTAAGAATAGAAACACAGTAGTCTGTAGGCCTGGAGAAGAAACAGTGCCATTGCAGATGCTGCTCTATTAATTGTGGAAGTGTCAACAGCCAACTAACTGTCCCAAAAACTCCATTTAAACATTTAGGGCTATTTCCACAAGTTTCTTGAGTGTTTTCTTAGTCATGTGAAATGAAACATGAACAATCAAACCTATAGCAAAGGAGTTCTTGGCTTTGTCCAAAAGAGAATTAACTGATTTTTAACTGAAAAATAAATATTTTCCATTAACATCACTTAAAACTATGTAACAAACACAGATATTCATTCTTAATCCTTTTGGTCTACATTTCAGGCAGCATACAGACATCACATGAAACAAAGGTGTCAACTTCTAATTGCATCCTAAAAGCAAGATTACATCACTGCTTACCTTTAACAAGGGATGGATTTTTTCTACTGGAAGAGATAACGGATTTCTTCGTTTCCTCTTCTCAATAGCAGACTGGGCATCAGCTATTGCCCACTTATCAATAGGATGGGGAAAACTTTTTTGAACACGATCCTTAAAAAAAACAACAACATGACTAAAAGGTAAAATGCACTATCTGAGTGAGCTCAGCAATATTACTACATTATCAAATCACTTTCCATTACTTAAAGGAATGGTTGCTAATGTTTGCATTTCAACTATAAAAGCTTACACAACACGTGTAAATTTTATCATTTTGGAAAAGGCTTCTCACTACATTCATAGGGCTGTATCAGATTATCATTATCAGAGGATTATCTAGTGCTCAAAATTTAAGAAATGCCAGAATTAAGCTGCCACTGAAGGCACAGTTCGCTCCCCTTGTGCACATTTCTGTTTTGCCTTTACTGATCAGCACATGGTCCATCCTGTATACATGCAAACTGCTCTGATGGTGACAATGAACATAACAGGAAAACAAAATATACAACATCACCCACATATTCTAAAACAGTTTCAGTCTACAGGTGGACCATATATGCCCCAGCTTATTCATCCCTTCCATCAGTCAGTGTCTGAGGACACCTACATTCTCCCATGCACTGAACAGCTCTCCTGCTGGAACTCACACACAGGTCTCTGGAGGTTCAAAAGCTTCACTGTTTTTGGGAGCCCTGGTATTCAGATGCCAGAAATTTATTTTCTCAGATAACGTCACATTTTATTTTTTCAGACCACAGTTCCCACTGACTGTTTCAGTTACAAGTGCTCACTTACGTAAATATGGCTCCTGTTTGAGCAATCATGAAATGAGGAAGATGAAGTTAATGACCACTTACAAAGAGCTGGTACAGGCCAAAGTACACAAACAAGAACTTTCCGAAAAAAAAAATGTGACAGAATACAATTCTATAAAGGTGACACCCAACTTTCCAAAGTGCAGGGTTTTCTTTTTCTCCCCTCATAACACTTTGGCAAAAGGAAAGCAGAGGTCCTACCAAAAAAAAAAAAAACAAACCCAGAAAGTCTCATTCACTATGTGAATACCAATTCACACCCCTAACATAGTCCAGTCTGCTGACTGAACAATTAAGGTGTTCCAGGGGAAAAAAATGAATATGTTTGACCATATAATTAAAGATAGCATCGCTGTGCATAAACACAAATGGGGTAAATGGTGGTTGCTCGATCATCTCTAATTCCTGCATTTCTCCTATCTTCACAGCTGTAAGATTCATAATAAAACACTTTGTGTCAAGTTTTTTGTTAGCATTGTTTAAAACAGCACTAAACAATCTTCCACAGACCTCTTGTCTCTTTTGCTGCCAGACCAGAATGATGTAGCAAAACAGGTCAGCCACAAAAGGGGACACTGGAACACCATTAGAGGTGTCAGTGTTCAAAAGAGAAGAGGAAGGACAAAATTCATGACTCTTGAGCTCTAAGACAGTTACACTTTTAAGGGTTTTTTGTTTGCAAGGGTTTTTTTGCCATTAGTCCATTTTCTGCAGAACGTGAGGAAGTCACTTGGCACAGGCCCTGGAAGCAATTACTGGAAACCAACAGGCACACAGCACACAGAGCCGTAGTCTGGCACCAAAGTCTTCAAATCATGGTTAAGCACAAAGAGCCACCAAGATATCCTGGTCTTAGAACCTTAAGTGAGTTGTTCCTCAGATGGAAAAACTCTTCTCAGATCAAGCTCTCAAACATCAAGTTGCTCTTCTGAGCAACAGAGGCTGTAGATCTTTGAAAAGGCAATTGAAAGAGAAGAGGTCTCTATACAGAGGAAAGCAGCATTCTTAAACTCATTCTGAAAAAGTAACTGAACTATTTTTGTTCGAATTTCTGGGGCAGCAGGGGGTATATCAGCCCAAATTGCCATGCTGAGAAAGCAGCATAGAGCCTCAGCCTAAGCAGTTGTAGTTTGCATAGAGTATCAGTGGGGGAAAAAGGTCTTTTGAAAGGAACCAATCAGCTTTATATACAAAATTTACACTCATCATCTATTAAACAGTAATACAGCTCAGAGATAGTTTTACTGTGCATTGAACAACAAATTCAATTAATAGGAAAATCAGCAGGCTTTATGCAGAAGGTTCTGCTACATAAAGATGCATAATTACTGCTTTCCTTTTTGCATTGTGAAATGATTAATATAGTACCTTTCACGTAACAGTTCAAATTATTACAGATTTGTAATAAGTGTTCTCTATACCTCTACATCCAGAAAACTTCTTGGTTGAGCTTGACACAACATATTTAACAACTGAAGAATTAACTCCTCCACATACTGCAACGCATCTTCAGTAGAGGAAAGTTTAGGATGGACTTGCACCTGAACCTATAGGAAATAGAAGAATTCAAGCTTTGAGTTTTGCTCTTCCCCAAACCACATGCTTTACTTGCAAAAAAAGATGACAAAACTCGAGCCAAACAGCTCAGAAAAATCCAACCCAAAACACAGCTCTATTAAGATCCATCAGACAAACACAAAGTGAAACACTCTTCTGCCCCCGATAGAAATATAAATTTCAAATGTTGTACGTACTCAAATCACTGTAAGAATTGTTTAATGTCAAGAAAACAGCTAACTAATAACTGTGCTTACCAATGCAATTAGGAAAACTTTTAAAGCCCTTCCATATATTTATCTCTCTCCACTAGCTCTTAAACAGCTGTTTTTACAAGACATTTTAGAGGTGGCATTTTTCTCTTTAAAAGTCATTCATTGTTCATCACACAATTTAACTTCTGAAACAAGTCTCCAGTATACTTTTCCTTTGCACTTCTGTAGTTGACAAAACAGCACAGTTTTAACCAGTTTAAATTTCAGGTACATAAGGCTCAGTGCTTCAGAGCTCAAACAGACAGGCAGTTTAATCTCAATCCTACACTGATGACAAACATTATGCCAGAGCAAGCTGACTGCTAACTTTCGCAATGCATCTTTCAAACCCCAATTTCATCATTTTACTGTTCCACTGCACACAACTCAAAATGCCTCCAGTTCTCTCGATCACTAACAGAAGAGCCTAATCACTCTGAATCAAAACCCAACAATCTGTCTCATCCAAATGTTAAACCCATGTCTGTATTCAAATAATAGCGCCATAATGATTTAATTTCACACCTGAGTTTTAATTCCTGTTTGCAGTTGTAGCAAGAACTAAATTTTCTGAAGTTCAAACACACAACAGCCTCAAATAGAAATCCACCTGCCTGCTAAGGCACTCATTAGTCTGGAAACTTCATGTCTGGGCATAGTCCTGGTGCTCACTTAACCGCTGTTGAGATTCAAAATACGCTAGATCACGTGTTTGGCTTCTTGCAGATTGCACACTCTTATTCAGCAGGTCTTAAAAAACATCTCCAGAAGTTACTGCTTTTTTAACTTAAAAGCACTCTGGCAAAAATAGAACAGAAGAACTTCTCTCCATTTGACTAGCTAACACAACTATTTTGATTATGCCAACAGTTTCACTTTTCCTAAGAACTTCACCATGCGCAGCTACACAGTGTGTTTGTGGAGGTACATGAATAACAGCATGCTGAGCAGTCCCAAACATTATTTACAATTCAAACACTGACATCTGAAATGCTGTACCAGCTTGGAACATCTTAACACCAGAAATTACAGACTTGCAAAAGCAATCTCTTAAAAAGCAGAGCTGATCTGAGCCGTCTGGAAGATGCTGCCTTTAATGTTTCTTTTTTTTCCTAAAGCAGAACTGAACAAATTTGTATTAGACTCCCTATATTATACTCCAGCACTTTGTATTTCAAGAAGTGTTAAATTACCAAGTCAATTCACCAGTAAAAACACAGAGCATGATAAACTGGAGTGATGAAGAGCAGGTCTATTTTCTCCTTTGCTTAGAAAATCGATCACACATTTAAATAGCCTCATCACAACTCTTTCAGCCTGTAACACAGAGTCTATAGGAATAAGAACAAACAAACAAAAATACCACATCAGGCCATAACCTGAAACATTATGCACAGTCAGCCAAAAGAGAGTCAACAATAACCTACTCCTAGTTTGGAAAACAAAAATTTCAAATATTTTCCCTAAGCATTTATGTTCGGGGGCAGTTACATGACTCTTCTCAAAGGCCACTGTCTTCTGGCACTATCAAGCCCTACTTTAATAAAACATCCAACTCAGCAGAAGAAAATATTACAAGTTGCCATTGGCTTGCCAGCATAGCTTATCTATGGTAGGTAGATAGTAAATAAACTTCACTGCTACGTGACATTTAGTATCACTTAGGGTTCAAAGTCATACAAGTGCACAAAGAAAACAACGAGAATAACAAGGAAAATTACAGGATAGTTTGGTGCACAATTATCACAGAAACATGTAATTTCAGTATCTGCACTACTGTAGTACCCAAAGGCTCAGACTGAGAATGAAACAGAATGTTATTTGAGGGTACTCAGTGTAAGTCCCAAGAAGTCCATTATCTAAGACATGATGCAAGACCGGGTAAGATGCAAGATTTAGTAAGAGAAGACAAGAAATGGGAACATCTGTTAGCATACACCATCACGTGACTAGTTTCAAAAAAAAAAAAAAAAAAAAAAAAAAAAAAAAAAAAAAAAATCAAATTACCAGGGGCTTTCCATCTTTCTCATAAAGTCATCTCAGATTTTAAATTAAAAACCCTGGGCCACCCTGCCTTATTGCCCTCGAAAAGGGGGAGCATGGCTTGAATCCCACCAGATCCTTCAGTCCTATGTTAGGAATACGCATGATAAAAACAGACTAACAACTTCTGAAGTGCGATGTTTGGATCAGATTCCTATCTAAACATTTAACCTCTCCCTTAAATAATGACAGAACCCATCCCTTCCCTCCTACACACACCAAAATGTCTATCTTATGATAATGGAAATTACTAAAAAAAAAAAAACACTTTAAGAACTTTTAAAAACAGCTTCAATTCTTCAGAATACCCTAACAACTTTTAATGGGCAAATACAATCTACACCAGGCACAAATCCCTGCCACCACGGCTGTTTTCACGCAACTCATGTGCTCACTTTTTTGAATGCTAACCTTCTCAATCTTTCCTAATTCTCAAAAAAGAGATGACCAGGATTCTCTTTATTTAAAGTTAAGCAGAGCCAGAATTTCTTGAACAGCTTTTCGGAATCTGTTCAAGAACATAAGCAGAGAACAGTTTAATGAAAATCCTTAAGGAAAATCCTATTATATGATCACCCGTTTTTTTTTGTCCTCTTCCTCTAAAATCAATGAAGGTAAAGAATTTCTATCAGGAATGGTAACAGTTTAAAAATTGGGCAACCGTAGGTCTAAACTGGCAGAAAGAGTCAACGAAACCAGTGAAAAAGAAGAGTGTGCTTAATGAATAATACAAAGATAAATATAGCTGATCTTACTTTATAACCCTTAGCAACTTATTTTATATAAAGCTTTCTCAAACCATTCCTTTCAAACTCTACATAATAAATTAGAATATAAACATTTCCACAAGCCTCATGGGAAGCAGTAGGAACCTAGACCAAACTCTAAGTAAAGGATTGCAGATCAAACAGCTTCAGGTTACACAGAGGCTTGGTCTCCCACAGGTCCAACACAACTCCAAGGCTGGGATGACCCAAATCCCAGTCTAGACTGACACTCAGCAGCTCATTCTGCATTAGAAAGAGGTGACTGATAACAGATAAAGGTAGACACAGTGAATTTAACAATCCAATTAATACTAAACCACACATCCTTAGCATCCTTTGCAGTTACCTCTTCCTCAGTGGCCATGAGAAAAAGCCTAACTTAGGCTGCTTGTAAACTGAAAAATTTCAATTCAGGATGAAAAAAAATCTCCAAAGACTTCTTAAAGCAATTTCACATGTTATACAAACACCAGCTTAATGCTCCTAAATCATCATTACCAATCAACACAATCAGGTTCAGGGTTCTCAGCCGTCGTGCTAAATACAGAACACACCAGACAAATCCTACCTGTGAAAGGCTGCCGAGAGAACAATACTGAACTGACTCCCATCAGGAGCAGCAGAAGCTCCAGCACCTTCAGGAAAGGGCATAACAAAAAGAAATAATTCTAAAGCTATGTAACAAACTGAAATAAAAATGAAGCGTCTACCATTGGCTAGAGACAATTTTCTCATAACTGGGCAAGACTACCCATCTACTGGCAAGAAATCACAGTATTGAATCAAGCAACAGCTCCTGCTAAAATACAACTGTGCTTCACTGCTGAGCACAGGTACTGCCACATTGCCAGTCTGCCCCAGTGGCAGCTGAAGTGCTCATAGAAAAAGTGTCTAAAAGGAAAAAAGCATCGTATTTACCACATCATATTGACAATAAAATAGAAGAAGCTGTAATGAGATGACAAGCCAAGCCATCTTCCAAAGCATTATCAGAGAGGATAAAACTTTACTGATTTTAAGTATTTTTCTAAACTGTTCAATTAATGGGTTATTAGTAGAAATGACTTGGCAACAGAGGAAGTTATTCTGGTGAGGAGGGAAGATTTTTTTTTCAATTCAGTACCTTCAAAAATCTTCACTAATGCTGCAACTCTTATTTTTACTCAACATATCTTGTGTTTATTTTCCCTCAACGACTAAAATACTACTGACAAGCAACTGCCTATCACTAAAACACTTCAGGACAAAGTATTTTATGTACCCTTTGCCTGGATGAGTGTTCTTATAGTGCAAGCACTCCTTAAAAAGGTTTTTTCTTCTATTCTTATACATCTCTTCTGATATTTGGTAACTCTGAGTATGTTTTGTTATCCTGATCAACTAAAAATCCAGTAAATTAAATCGAATACAAACATCTTGGATGCACACTTCAGCAACAACTCACTGAGGATGCAAGACTCAGATTTTTGCAAACATTTCTGCTGATGTCTCAGAAAGGCAGCAGTATTGCACTGCACCACTGAACATGTGAAAAAAAACATACAGTAAAGATCTGAACTGTAGGAAGTTCTTAACTTTATCCTCCATAGCCATCAGAAGAACAGAGGATCCAAAGAGATCAGAAATTATGAATGCTCTACATCTTCCAAGAAGCAATGCTTAGAATAAGAAGTGTCATCCTGAGTGGCAAGTGACAACTGGTTTGGCATCAATTTGAAGAGCTAGATAATTACATGTCAGGTAGAAATATCTTTGTCAGCAAGAGCTTCCTGAGAACTCTGTAGTCACTGAGGCAGCTCTTCTCATGTCTTTTGCTCCATGAAAGGCACAGACAACTGACTAGATGATACATGGAGTACCTGGGAGAACGCTGTCTGGAACAGTTCCCTTAACTGAGGAAGCACATCCCCTTCAGCTGTCAAGCCACATCAGTCCAATCATTTTGACCACAACAAATTCCAACAGGACCCCTTGGTAATTGCTCAACTGATGCAAAACAACTTGAGGTACATAAACAGCAAAACATCCATACAGCGAGAGTGTTCTTTTGTTTTTCTCCATCATCACACTGCTTATGGTATCAGCAAAGATGACACGCTTTCTACTGCAAAAATCAGTGTACGAGGGAAGAAGCGTGTCAGACACGTGCAGAGAAATTCTGACTCCATAAACAAGTTCTACGTACAAGATGAAGCCATGAGGAACAGTGTTTAAGAAAAACTATCCAAAAGGTCATCACAGAATGAAGTGTATAAATTCACCAGCAAAGGAACACCAGTGTTGGAAGAGGCATCACTTTGCAGGTGTCCCTTCTGAGTCTGTTTTCCAAGGCGTATTAAAAGCTATGTATCTCCATCTCCAGGCACCTGAGAGCTTTGGTGTTTCACATGTCTTGAATCCTTCATCTTCAGCCTCAGCATCTGACCTTCTGTCCATCTTTGCAACTACAATTTCAGACACCTGCTGTTATTTTTTCTTCCTTTTCTTGTACCTCATCTCATCATTACTGTCTTTTGCCAGCAAGCAAAGACCTCTACAACACTCCAATTTTGCAGCTTCAAAATAACAGTGACCAGGCAGAGAAGCATCTCAGTTGACATCATTTTCTTCCTAATTGAGTGCACTGGAGTCTATCTTGACAGCATCTGAAGAAGAATCAGAAGAAAAGGAATTACATTACGATCTCAATGGTACAAGAGCTGCTTTTTGCAATGCAGCTGCTCAATGCAAAGACAGCTCTATTGTTAAGGTTCATGTCTAATGAAACACAAGGCACGGTCTCCTAAGAACTGTTTGATGTAAGAAAAGATTTATTCTTACTACATATTCTTGGGTTTGTTCCTTGATAAAAAATAGAATCAAAATAACTAACTGGGAAAAAGAAAGCTATTTGCAATGATTCAGCAAGACCTATTTTTTTAAGAAAGTGATCCCAAGGCTGTAGTTTGAACTCTGCATTAGGAGCCAGCTCACAGTTACAAAAAGGGCAATGGCATTTTAATGATTCAGTCCACGTGTGGCAGCTTTCCCCAAGAACTGCAAACACTCCATCCTGGTATATATAGTTTTACAACATTAACTTAAATGCCATTCTCCTCATTGGAGCTATTAATTCAATGTAGGTCTTCCCAAACTATTAACTCTAATTTCCAGCTATGCAGGAAATCATCACAATCCTGCCTGTACATCAACCTGGTTTCAGGTGGAGTTCAGAAAGCAGCTTGCTGTCACTACCTGAGAATGAGTGTCAGCATCTGGTCAGCTAAGGTGAGAAGCAAAGGAAAGGTTCTTCTCTGGTAACAAATGGATGTACGTGAGCTCCAGATAACCTGACTGCTACTGGGACAGCAGGCTCTGGCAATTCTGCAGTCAAAGTCACAAGGCACCACTTTCCCTCCAGGACAGTTGTGCTCTTTGACCTCCCTGGCATACACTGCCACCCTCTCTATTTTACTAGTCCCACACACTGACCTGCAGGCAGAGCTCAGGTCTTTGGTGAACAACACAAGGGGTCAGTGACTGCAACACTGCAGTGCTGCACCTGTCCCAGGAACGACCAGAGGCGACTGTCAAAGCAAGTGCACTGTGATGTTCATGGCTTTACCTGCCACCTGTGACAGGTTCATTACTTTATTGGGCCTTTATCAATGCAAAACACCCTAGCTAAAACTATTTGTACCTATATAAGTTAGGAAAACACATAATTTGGTTTCTGCATTAATGAAGAAGCCACTAAGTTAATAATTTAACATTTTTCATTTCCCATTTAGTTTTTCTGTAACTCAAGTATTTGTCTCTTCAGTAAGGTTGGTGACAATGTGGGCAGATTCTTTATTTCTACCTTTACAGAAACAGCAGTAGTAAGCAGCAGAAGACTATGTTTCTGGACCACAGGGTTCAACAGCCCAAGAAAAGATAAGAAACAGGTGGTGATCTCGTGAAGAGCTGAGGTCAAAAGAGCTAACACCCGCCAGTTAAAAGTTTCAGTGTGAAGCTTTCAGAACTATCTTTGACTGACTGCCTGATTCCTGCCACCCCTCTACCCACAATAAGAAATAGAGCAGAGGACAACAAAACCAAGACAACTATACCTTGCAGGGCCGGTCTGTCGTCCTTGGTATCTTGTCATCATTGGCCTTCTCCATTGACCTCAGATTCCAGAATTCCTTTTCCCAATGCAGAATTCATCAAACTCCTTCGAAGAAGCATCTTAAGTGCAGGGTGACTTCACGAGCGACTTGTCCATTGGAAAGAAATTCCACTCTTCAGATGTCACAAGTAATTCCAAAGCCCTGATGCCTGCTCACTTCGAATGCTCACACCGTGTCCTCTAGTAGTGAGCACTGAGCCTCATTCCAAATTTGACAAATATCTGCTACACCATGGAATGAACCATCCTCCAAAAGGAAGAGCTCTCTCTGGTTGAGACCTCAGGTAGCTCCACTTTCCAAGCAGCCTTCAGCTGGATGGCTGTCCAAGTGCTTACAAGCACCACAGGCAGTAGTGAGCTGCATGGTTACCGCAGAAGTTTCACGGGAGCAACTATCCATCAGGGATAAGGCATTCACAGTCATGCTACAGATGAGACAAGCAAAAAGGACTTCCAAGAACTGGACAAAAACTACACAGTGCTGGAGACCTCAAAGAGCACACCCAGAAAAGAGAGGCAATACATCACAAGAGGAAATTAGGAAGAAATACTGAATGTGTATGACTGCAACACTTGAGACTTCTCAATCAGCCCAAGGAGCAAGTCTTTTATGCAAAAGTTGCAGTTAATCACTGTAACTGGACAGACTCAGAAAGCGTTGCTGTGCACAACTGAGCCATGTCAGGTTCTGCAATCTGAAGCCAGTTCAAGCAACAGCGTCAGAAAACTTTTGTTTCTTAAGTCTTCTACTTTCTGGACTCAGGCTGCAAAAGTGGAAGAGGAGCCCTGACCATTTTTTCCTCTCTTCCCAATAAATTCTTTCCACACCACAGGCAAAAGCTTCACCATCCTGAGGGAGCAAGACTTGCTAGTTTGTCCTAATGAAGCCTTCTCAGCAAAAAGGTATTTAAACTAAGAGAAGCCTAACTAAAAGCCATTAGACACGAACACTAATTAACTCAAATTCTCTCCAGAGTAGCTCACAACAGCCCCCCACACACTCCAGCCGTGTCACTAAGGGAGACCAGCACAAACCCGCAGCAGCACTACTCGCTTCCCTCTGGGCGCAGGGGGGCCCGGACTCGGGTGTCCCTCGGCCAGTTTCTATCTCCACGGCCCCGTCTGTCAGAGCATCGCCCCAGCGCGGCCGCCGGGCCCCTCGGCGGCGGGGCACCCACCGAGCACCGCCTGCCCCGCGGGACGGCCCCGACCCATCCCCGGCAGCCCCGGGGCCGCTCCGGGAGCGCGGGGAGCCCAGGGCGGCCCCGCGCCGAGCCCACGGCCGGGCCCCGGGGCGCGAGCCCCCGGCCGCCCCTCACCTTCTTGAGGGCGGGCACCAGCAGCCCCCGCCACTTGGGCGCGTTCTCCTCGCTGAAGAAGTCGTAGAGCAGCGGCTGCGCCTGCATGGTGCCGCCGGGGCGCGGGCCGGGAGCCGCGGCGGGAGGGCCCGGCGGGCGCTCAGCGGGAGCGCCGGCGCTCCCCCGCCGCCGGCGGGGGCGGCAGGCCCGCAGCGGCGGGGGGGGGCGGCGGGTGCCGCATTCCCCGCCCCGGGGCGCGGGGGTAGGCGCGGGGGGCGCGCGGCGGGGCGGGGGTCGCGCGCGGGCCGCGAGGGGCGGGGTCGGAGCGCGAGCGCCGCCGCCTCCCCGGTCCCGTCCTCGCCCGCTCCGGCGGCGGCCGCGGGCGCATGCGCGGAGCGGCGACTCCCTGCGGGGCCCCCCCGCCCTGCGCCTGCGCGCCCGCCACGCGCGGTCGCGGCCTTCCTCGCGGAAGTGACGCCCGGAGGGGCGCGCGCCCTGGCGGCGGGAGGGCGGCAGGACACCCCGGGGGATCCTGGGGCGCGCGGGGGATCCGTCGGGACATAGGGAGCGGGACACGGGGAGACGGGCCTGTCTGGGGCAGCCGGCTGGCTGCTCGGAGACGGAGGCCGCGGGGCGGTGTCGCTGCTCCCTGGAGAACTCTGTCACTCCCCTGCCTAAAAACACGGTCGTCTGGTAGGGGGACCATACGAGATCAGAGATAAATAAAGGCCCCATTGGTTCAAGCAGCACAAGGTCGGCCTTGAGGCTGAAAAGTGGGCTTGGTTCACAAAATCACAGAATACACCAAGTTGGAAGGGGCCCACAAGGATCATCGAGTCCAACCCTTAGCCCTGCACGGGACAACCCCAAGACACACGGTGTTCCTTGAGAAGGTTGTGCAAATAGTTCTTGAACTCTGTCAGCCTTGGTTCTGTGACTGTTTCCCTGAGGAGCCTGTTCCAGTGCCCAGCCACCCTCTGGATGAAGAACATTTTCCTGATATCCAACCTAAACCTCCCCTGACACAACTTCAGGCCATTCCCTCTGGTCCTGTCACTGGTTCTTGAAAAAGAAGCCAGAAGAAGTAAAGCTGGAATACAAATAAAGCCCAGTGGTTTAAACAGGACAAAGCTCATGGTGGTCTGTGGGGTCTGGGAGGGCAATGGGAGGAGGACAATACTGGAAATGAAAAGTATATTGTTGTGCTCTGCTTTGCAAGGCGTCAGGGAGAGCTCTGGGGCTGGAGGAGGAAAGAGTGAGCTGCTGTTGGGGAGCACAGTGGGGGGAGATGGATGTATGGAAACCTTCGCTAGTCACTGGAAGGAAGGTTTAGGACCGGTTTCCCAGGTGGGAGGACAGCAAAGTACCAGCACAGATTGCAGAGGCAGAGACTTCTGAGTCTCCCTTTGTCTCCAGGGCTGGTCTCGAAGATTCCTATCAGGAATGGCATGCATGTTGTGAGGCTCACTTACAATTGGTGTTTGAGAAGTGCTCTGGGGACACGAGATGTTCTTGAGACCCAGCAGCACATCAGCAGGTCATGGGTGGAGCCTCTGAGAAGGAACTCCCTGCACTGTGCAGCTCCACCCTGGGTGCGTTTCCTCCAAACAGATACTGCTGTCTGGAGGAGTCAAACTTCTGCTTTGCAACAAGGGTGAAAGATGGGAATTTTCACATCTCAGAGCTATTTGCTTGATCTAGCAGCGTGCCTGCACATTTAGGGACACCATCACAGCATCTTACAGACTGTGGAGCTGTTGCACTCACTACCTTATGATGGAAAATCAGCCTGTTGAAGTTAAAATCTTCATCTGCTCCCAAGTATGTTCCACATCCAGTGTAAAACTGCACCAATGCTCTGCTCTCCACCCTCATCTCCCTTCAGAGATGAGGGTGCCAGGACTCCTAAAACAGTGAATGTTCTACCGTGTCTCTTTCCTTCAAACAAAGCAGCATTGGGTAAAATGGGATTGCAGGCATCATGTTCTATTTGTTCAGACATCTGATGAGGCCACAGGACAGTCCAGGCCTGAGCTCTCCCTGCACCTGGAGCCACCACAACTGGCAGGACTGAGCCATCTGGGTGCTTGGTGCAGGGCAAGCTCGTGTAGGGAAGAGTACAGAGCTGCAAGCTGGTAGCTGCTTTCACAGTGTAGTGCCAGAGAAGTTGGATCCTGAGGGGCCAGAGGAGCTTGGGGAGGTGCAGGGAGCCAAGCAGTGGAAAGTCCTGCCTGCCTTTGCGTCAAGCAGTGAAGGTGAGACTCACTGCTGTTGCTATAAAGAGCAGCAACCAAAGGCCCCAGGCGGTGCAGAGGTGGCTTTACAGGGGTGTACAACTTCTGTGTGGGCAGCACAGAGACACTCAGGGTCTCCCAATGCTGCTGGGCAAGGCAGAGGAGGATGAGGTGGAGGGTCACGGCAGCCCTTTGCCGTACTGTCTCAATGGCTGGCTGAGCAACAGGGGCTTACAAGGAGTGACAGCACCCCCTTACCACAGCAGCTGCCATGGGGAATGTAAGGAGTCGACATCAGGGAGGGACTGCCAGGACCTGACGGTGCACTCCTGTATTCAGCCTAGGGGACACTGCAAGGTGTAGCTGCCTGTCAGAGCAACACAAGGGGGACTTGAATTTGAAAGTGTTGGATTTAAATTAGCTCTAAAGGGCAAATGAAGGAAGCATGGGGAATAAACAAGGGAGTTAGAGATGTGCACATGCCTGAAGGGCTGTGATCTCACGGGCACCCTGGAGATGTAGTGGGTTGACTGAAGTGTTGAAAGGATACAGGATCTTGAGGAAGGACAGGCAGGAGGCATGAGGAGAGGGTGTTGCCCTCTGTGTCGGTGACCAGCAGGAGCGCATGGAGCTCTGCCTGCGGATGAATGAGGAGCTGACTGAGGGGTTAAGGGTCAGGATTAAAGAGAGAGCAGGGACAGGTGACGTTATAGTGGGGGTCTGCTACAGGCCACCCAGCCAGGAAGACTGAGTGGATGAAACTGCCTATAGACAGGAGGGGCCACACGTTCACAGTTCCTGGTCCTCGTGGGGGATTTCAATAACCCTGACATCTGTTGGAGGGACAACACAGCAGGGCAAAAGCAATCCAGGAGGTTCCTGGAATGCATTGACAGTAACTTCCTTCTCCAAGTGATAGAGGAGCCAAGGAGAAGTGCTATGCTGGACCTTTTGCTCACCAACAAGGAGAGGCTGGTGGGGAATGTGAAGCTCAAAGGCAGCCTTGGGTGCAGGGACCATGAAGTGTTGGGAGTTCAAGGTCCTTAGGGCAGTGAGGAGGGCACATAGCACATTGCTGCTGCCCTGGCCGTCACGAGGGCAGACTTTGGCCCCTTCAGAGATCTGCTTGGTAGAGTACAATGGGATGAAGCCCTGGAGGGAAGAAGGGCCCAAGAAAGCTGGTTGATATTCAAGGGTCACCTCCTCCAAGCTCAGGAGTGATGCATCCCAACAGAGAGAAAGCTGGGCAAAAATGGCAGGAGGCCTGTGTGAATGAACAAGGAGCTCCTGGACAAGCTCAAACACTAAAAGGAAACCCACAGAGGGTGGAAGCAGGGGCAAGAAGCCTGGGAGGAATACAGAGAAGTTGTCCAAGCAGCCAGGGATCAGGTTAAAGGACCTAAAGCCCTGGTAGAATTAAACGTGGCCAGGGACATCAAGGACAAGAAGAAAAGCTTCTGTAGGTATGTTGGTGATAAAAGGAAGACAAGGAAAAATGAGGACCCTCTCCAGAGGGAAAGGGGAGACCTGGTTACCCGAGACATGGAGATGGCTGAGATACTCAACAACTTTTTTGCCTCTGTCTTCACCAGCAAGTGATCCAGCCACACTGCCCGAGTTGGAAAAGGCAAAGGCAGGGCTTGGGAGACTGAAGAATCACCCATTGTAGGAGAGGGTCAGGTTCAAGGCCATCTAAGGCACCTAAAGGTGCACAGTCCATGGGACCTGATGAGATGCATCCATGGATCTTGGGGGAACTGGTGGATGAAGTGGCTAAACCACTATCTATCACATTTGAGAAATTGTAGCATTCTGGTGAAACATCCATTGATCTGAAAAGGGGAAACAACCCCGTTTTTAAAAAGGAAGAAAAGAAAGATCCAGGGGAGTACAGGCCAGTCAGTCTCACCTCTGTGCCTGGCAAGAGCAAGTCCTTCTGGAAACTCTACTAAGACACAAGAGAAACAAGGAGATGATTGGGTGACAGCCAACATGGCTTCACTAAGGGCAAATCTTGCCTGACAGATTTGGTCAGAGAACAGATTGAGAGCAGCCCTGAGGAGGACTCAGGGGTCCTGGTGGATGAAAAGCTGGACATGGCCCAGCAATGTGCACTCACAGTCCAGAAAGCCAACTACACCCTGGGCTGCATCAAAAGCAGTGTGGCCAGCAGGTCTGGGGAGAGGATTCTGCCCCTCTGCTCTGCCCTTGTGAGACCCGACCTGCAGTGCTGCATCGAGCTATGGGGCCCCAGCATAAGAAGTACATGGACCTGTTGGAGCGAGTCCAGAGGAGGGCCATAAAGATGATGAAAAGGCTGGAGCACCTCTACATAGTACGAAGATGGGCGTTGCTCAGTCTGGAAAGGAAAAGTCTTTGAGGAGATCTTCTATCAGTATTCCAGTACTTGAGAGGGGCCTGCAAGAGAGCTGGAGAGGGACTTTTGGCAAGAGCGTGTAGTGATAGGACAAGGGGAATGGCTTTAAACTGAGAGAGGAGAGATTTAGGTTAGATACTATGAAGAAATACGTTATTGTGAAGGGGGTAAGGCACTGGAACAGGTTGCCCAGAGAAATTGTGGATGCCTCATCCCTGGAAGTATTTAAGGCCAGGTTGGATGGGGTTTTGAGCAACCTGGTCTAGCAGAAGATGTCCCTGCACATGGCAGGAGGGTTGGAACTAGATGGTCTTTAAGGTCCCTTCTGACCCAACCCATTCAATGATTCTATGAAAATCTGCACCCAAGGAGGGAAGAAGACCTCTAGCAACAGTAATGCAGCTGTAGGAGATGATGCTGAGCAGACAGCATTGCTGTCCACAGTGAGGACTAGTGTCTCCCTCCCCAGACACATTTCCACAGCTTCTTCTACACCCCTCAATAGATGACACAGGCCTGAAACATTACTCCCTATAACCAGTATTTTAGGTTAAGCTGGAATGTTTCCTTGAAGGAAAGCAAGAGGTTTCTACCAGCTATTTTCCCTTCTTTTTCACATGCAATCCTTCAAAAACCAGCAGGGCTATTGCTAAAGCTGAACCCTGTCAGGTGTAAGAAATCACAGAATCAACTAGGTTGGAAAAGACCTCTGAGATCATTGAATCCAACTTTTGACCTAACACCCCCTTGTCAACTAGACCATGGCACTAAGTGCCACATCCAGGCTTTTCTTAAACACCTTCAGGGACACTGACTCCACCACTTCCCTGGGCAGCCCATTCCACTGCCTAGTCACTCTTTCTGTGAAGAACTTCTTCCTAATGTCCAACCTAAACCTCCCCTGGGCACAGCTTAAGACTGTGTCCTCTTGTCCTATTGCTGGTTGCCTGGGAAAAGAGATTGATACCCACCCGGGGTATCAACCCTGGGTACAACCTCCTTTCAGGTAGTTGTAGAGAGTGATGAGGTCTCCCCTGAGCCTCTTCCTCTCCAGGCTGAACAACCCCAGCTCCTTTAGCCCATCCTCAAAGGACTTGTGCTGCAGTCCCTTCACCAGCCTCATTCCTAAATTGAGGGGCCCATAACTGGACACTCAAGGTGCAGCCTCATCAGTGCCAAGTACAGGGGAAAAAAATCACTTCCCTAGTTCTGCTGGCCACACTATTCCTGACACAGGCCAGGATGCCATTGGCCTTCTTGGCCACCTGGGCACACTCTGCTGGCTCACGTTCAGCTTCCTGTCAATCCAGACTCTCAGGTCCCTTTCTGCCTGGCTACTCTCCAGCCACTCTGTCCCCAGCCTGTAGTGCTGCAGGGGGTTGTTGTGGCCAAAGTGCAAGACCTGGCATTTGGCCATGTTGAACCTCATCCTGTTGGAAATGCCCCCTGCCTGGGGGACACATCCATCCCCACAAGTGCTCCCCCAGCCCCAGTACAAGCTCCCAGTGGCAAAGCTACAGGCAGCCAGCGACATGTGTTTCACCTTGCACAGGTCTTGGTTTCAGTCAAGGGCTGTGGAATGCAGAATTTGAATCTGAACTCTCTTTCATGTCACTAGATCCTGTTTCTGCCAGAGGCAGGCAGCACCATATGGGGAGACAGGCAAGGAAAAGGTAAAAGCAGTGTTCATTCCCGTGTTCCCAGGAGTACTTCTGCAAGACACAAACCATTCCAGTGCTTTCTTTACTCCCTGTAGGAACTCTCAGTTTGGATGGAGGCCCAAGCTCAGCCCCTGCCCTAATCAGACTTTGCTAGCAAGCTGGCAAGTGCCCTATCATGCTGTCACATTACCACAAGACAATCTGCCTGCTCACAGCTCGGACCATGAGCTAGAAGCCAGCTTAGAGGGGCTGGGAAGAGAGAAAGGAAAGCCACACAGGCTGTTAGAGGAGCTGTGTCAATCACCTGTATGCAGAGGCCTTGCTCTAACCTCATGGAGCTTGTGATGGGATTTGCTGGCACTGACTGTGCCCCCATCCATCAGCCACACACCAATCCCAGTTGTAGGCCAGGGTGGGGGTGGTGTAAGCTCCTGCCGAGCATGGCTCAAGAAAAGTTTCAGTTTAAGGTAACTGCAGGTCTAGCAAAGGAGACCTTTTGATTTACTAGAGGCCCAGGCTCCTGGGCTCAGCTGAGGGCAGCTGTCAGCAGAGTAGTCAAGCATCTCGAGAGGGGGAGAAGCAGTTTTGTGGCACAAACCCTAAATCCTGCAACAGGACAATTCCTCAAAAAAGTAGGAACCCTTCACTTCTTATCTCTAAGGCTGGAGAGCAGCATGGGAACAGCAAAGCTGTCCTGAGTATACCAACAGACTGGGAGCACACCTGCCCTAGCACAATGCTCCTTCTTCCCACATGTCACTACCCCGTCCTCTTTATTTTTAGCTCTTCCAGCTACATCCCAGTATGCATGCTTGTACCAAAAATGCTCAGCCAGAATAAAAACCAATAGCCCTTAGCTTCTGGTGCCTGTAATTCAGCAATGGCCTGAGAAACTTGGCCCCAGCTGCTGCAGAACCCTCACAGGAGGAAGCACGTTTACAGCACCATCAGCTATACTGTACTTTGTTAAAGTTGAGCTACTTTCTGCATGTCGAAGGGAGGAACAACCCACAGGAGGCAGGATGGAAATCCCCCGCACACAAATTCTCGCCTTTTCTGAGAATTCGGCTTCTCAGCAGTGGGACTTGCACTGCCACCTCTCCCACAGCCTGAGCTGTGGCTCAGTACAAGGAACAGCTGAGATGGGACCAGCAGAGGCAGCAACCTTGAGGCCCAGAGGCAGAAAAAAAACCCTCCTGGAAGAAAAAAAATAAAATCAGTTTTGCAATCAACTGAGGTGGAAAAGCAGGCAATGGAGGGAAGAAACCAAGCAAAATGGAATTTGGAAAGACTTGACTGAAATACATATATCCACTGCCTAAAGGCCAAAAGGGCTGACCCTCCAGTGCCAGCCAAAATTGAGTCGAAATCCAGCAATCTGACCGTTCATACATTCAGAAATGCCCAGCTTCTGTGTTTGGCACAACCATTTAATAGCAGAATTCAAAACTCAGTATGTTCCATTTTAGTCTTATGTGGAAAATCAGTGCAGGTGATAATCTAATTGTACAACAACATGTTAAAAAAATTTATTTTACATTATATACATTAGGGAACATATTTCAAAGCATTATCAATCACAACAATAACGCAGGCCATAAATCACTTTTAATTTAGTTTGGTTTTAGTGTATATTATCACAATAAAATATAAAGAACATATACAAAAAAAAGGAGTCATATGTGTGCATTTTGCTTAAAACTTGGCATTTACACACTCCACTGGAAAATAGCAATCAAAAATACTTCTGATCAAAACTAAGTTCCCGTGATGCGTAGTAACCATTGTATTGTTTGAATGAGGTAGTAACTAAATTATTTTGGCCATGTGTTAACATCCTAAAATCAAGAAAAGTGTGAAAATGGTTATAAGGCCAAAAAAAAGTCAAAATGGCAACATCTTTGAGCCATTTCCACAATGTGGAATGTTGCTCCTTTTCATCGTGATATGAAACGATTTAGCAAGACGAACAGTATTACTAATTTTTATCATTGTATACACTAATAATTCAAACACCTATTGCAGAATTACAGCCAGGTACCACTAGTCTGGGACTGACACCCATCCATAAGGTATTGTTTTCAAGCATAGAGAAGTAATCATAAGGAAAGTTTTAATTAAATATAAAAATACAGGTGTTTAACTGGTTTGTTTCACAAAGAAAACTACCCAAGTAAACAAAAAAAGGAACTTTGAAGCCCAAGTCATATCCACAAAGTCACAGCTTACCTTTGTGACTAAATACATCACATCTTAATATATTGTGCAAACATGAACACCAGTGTGTTGTATCGAAATTAAAACAAGATTGTAATCTGATTACAGCCTTGGTTACAATTTCTAAAAGTTAATATTTATTTGTATTAGTAAATTACATATAATAAAATACAATAGTGTTGCTAAATGTACTATACTTGTTGCTAGCATCCCACTTTATAATAAACACATGAGACGTCCTTATAATAGTACCCCGATTTAATTTTTGCATCCTCAGTGACTTTTACATCTGTACAGGTAAGACACTTGTACTAAACAGGAGGACCTCTATCTACAGAAAGTCAGTGTAGGGCTTCAGCAAGAAGTTTCACTGAAAAATACTGCATATGTACAAAGATTACATAACAGTAAATTAAGCACTTCTGTGGTATTATAATGCTTCTGTGTCCATACCACAAACAATTCTCGTCTTCCTCTCATGCCACAATAAATTATAAAGTAACTCAAGTGGGGTTACTGCAGCTTTTGTGCAATTGCAGCCAGTCACGAGTGCTGCTGCAGCAGGAGTGTTCTCTTGTCGTGGTGAGCTGCCTGCCACGTGCTGTTCTCAGTAACTGTTCTCATGCCCTGCCAGGATATACAAATTGCTGTTGGCTGTTGGGTTGTCTGTCGGCCTGCTCTCCAGCACCACGACCCTAAAATGAAAATTAAAAAAGCTACAATGTCAAGTAAGCCTTCATTTAAAAACAACCCTGGATATAACTGTAAACACTCTTTCCCAAGATCCAGCTGACTGGTTGTCATTTCCCTTTCCCTGGATGCCTCTAGTCCAAAAGCCACTCAAACCAAGCTCACGGTCTTGCACAGAGCAAGCTTTCCAAGAATCTCCCACAGCCTCTCTGGGCTCCTGCTGCACTGTTGAACTACCACAATGTTTTTCCCTCTTTTATCCAGCTGGAATTTCCTTTGCTGTAACATATCCCTGTTGCCTCTCATCCTTTCAGTGAGGGCTTCTGAAGAGGATCCATCACTCCCCTACTTCCCAGGTTTGCGCTCTCCTGGAGCGTTGCAAAGCGAATCCATTAATCAGGCTCCAGTTCTCAAGACTGTTAGTCTGCCCTTTGCCATTGGAATGGCAGATGAGCAAAGATGACACTTCTGTGAGCATTTCTACTCTTTCCCTGAGCCTACGTAAGCCAACCCACAGAAACTTCCTCCAGCTCTGAAAGTCCCAGAGACAAAAATTTGCAAGCCTTGAGAATCCTCAAGGAAAAGATCTCTCCTAATCTTTTTCTTGCCACCCACTTTCAGCCATCACTGTAGACAGGAACTGGGTTAGCTGGACCTACACTACAATGACCATAAGGGATGTCCTAGATTAGACCTTTCTCTTCAAAGAAGAGAAATTAGCAGTCCCAATTTTGTTTCACAAACTGTTAAGAGATTTTTTCATCAGGCAAGAACTGCTAAAATTGCTAAATGGACCAGAAAGTTCATCATTGAATTCTCCTCCATAAACACCCTGAAGTGAAGGTAGAATGTGGGAAACTCAGATCCATCTAATTGTGCATTCACACAGGAAAGTTTGCTTGCTTCAAAACTATCGCTCAGAAAATCTCCCCTCTGCTCAATGTGCTCCACAAAGGGAATGACACCTCATGCCATGAGGCAATTCCCTCTTCACCAGAAGAAAGCAACATGCAAGCTTTTATTAGACTGACATCAGGTTTTTGGTTCTCAGAACCCCAGTTCCTATGAACTGCCTAGAAAATGACACGTTACTGGAAAAAGGTTTCACAGCTCAAGCACAAAACAGGTGAGAGCTGAAAGGAAAAGGGTATATGAAGAAATTGGAATTAATGTTTATTGCAGTGCAAACTCTTTAAACGTCATCTCAGACTTGACAGACTATTAGAGCAAGCCAGAAATAGATGAGACCATATTTGGGGAAGAGGACATTATTTTTACAAGGCAATTTTTTGCAATGTCATTCTAAGATGACACAGGAGTTGACTGTAAGCAGCATAAGGCAGAGACAATTCTCAAAAGAAAAATTAAAGCCTATCTTTGCACTTGTGAATTCATTACTGGTGGAACTGTCACATCAGCCTGCACTCCCCAGAAGACAGAACAGCTGCTGTTTCTGTGGCTGTTACAGAAGTACAAAGTTCGAAAACAGGACAGAGAAAGTTGAGGAAGTCAGTGACACTCCTAAAACAGCAGTTACTGACTCAGCAAGCTGCTATCTGATGGGTCACACAGACATGGTGTTAGTGTCCTGCAAAGCAGACACCAAAGAACAGCTACACTGAGAGTTACCAAGAGCTCTTACAAGACCTGAGCTGCCATACTAGGAGAAAAACTGGTAGATTTCTTTTCTGGAGGTGAAAGCAAGATATTTAAATTTTTAAGTATTTTTTGCATTTGTCTCCAGAAGCAGATCTTGATGAGCTACTGCAGCAGAGCATCTGAAAGTAAAGATTTCATCAAATTAAACAAAAGAATTAAGTACAAAAAGGAAAACACTCCTGGAGATTGTGACTGCAGCTGAGTAAGAGCTTTTTGCACGGCTGAGTACTTCTGGAAGCCCACAAACACTTTTAGAAGACTTTTTTTTATTTATTGAAGAAAGAGAAATAAACTTAAAGGACTGGAAGGTAGACAGGTACACAAAGGAATGTCTAAGATGGCTAAAAAAGAATTTGCAAGAAGCAAGGAAAAAGAACTTCTACAAGGTAGGAGAACATATATTATTCTTTTATTTCAGCATTCCCTCTTTACTTAATTTCTTACCTGTCTGATCCCAGAAGCCTGAATATCCTCGTATTATCAGAAATTTCTTGTGTGATCTAGACAAAAAAAATAAGTATTTACATGTTAAGTGCATAAGTGTTTTTGTTTTGTTTTTAAAATCAGCTTGGAGGAAAAAATTGACTGTGACTGATTTTACCGACTGCTGATTTAAATCCGATAGAGAATTTAATGCAACTGTCATTGTTAAACGAAATATAACTTTTCTGTAATTCTTCCCACAAGAGTAGGGCTCAGCACAGTACTTTAACTACCAGTGCAATTCTCTTTACAGCCATGACTGAAATAGGTAGCTGCAGAGTGCAATTTGTCTCACTCTAGAGTGGATATCCTAAAATGGGTTAGGTAAATCTCGCATAAAACATATTTTGCTGAAATTCTGAATTATAGTAATAATGCACTAAGTTCATATGCTGAAAACCTTAGCAGAGAAACGTAATTAATTTGTGGTACTTATGCTTATTGTGACATTTCAGACTAGTGCCATAGAGCTTTGTTTTCCGTGGGTGAATTGTACTTGTGTGATACATCTTTATGATCACATGAATATCAAAGCACCCAAAAAACCATAATATTATTCAATAAAGTCAACCAAAGCCCACTGCATGCTCCAAAGGATATCAAGTCACATTGTGAACAGGCAGCACTGTTTACAAAGTTCCTTTTCTACACGGCCAAATTTCACATTCTTAAGGAAAGCAGAGATTCTTCTCTCCTTCCCAGATCCTAGTAAAGTTAGCTGACCTAGTGAATTCACTTCCAGCACAGAGAACTTGCAAGAGAATTTTAATTCACAACAATGAAGTTCTCCACTTTGCTAAGAAAACTACTTCCTGCTTTCTGTGGGGCTGAGCCTGCGCAATCTTTGCCCAAATTTTGAGCGTCTTGTCTCAGAATTCACACAGTACCCTGTTTCATTCTTCCCACTCAATCAAACCATTGTGTAAGGAAATAACTTTGCCAGCGGCTCAAACCATCCCCAATTAGACTCACTGTATTATATTAGGGAATCTGAACTAATGGTGTCTTCAAAGAAAAAAATGCTGCAAAGTTAGGTCAGTCAGGTTTTTGTCCCGTGTTCCCTCTTCCTACATACTACATAGTATAAAATTCCTCAAAAGGAACAAATATGGTCAAGACCTGAGCCTGCCAGTGAAGGCTTTTCATATTACAGATGAAAATCAGTTTATTTTTTTCAATGGCTGTGACTAGTAGGACAGAATAGATAAGGAATTTAAAAAGGCCCAAGAGGTTAACCTAGACATGTTCTACAGAGAAAAAGTTTTAGGTGGCTTGCTTTCTGTCAACAGCCCAGTTCTGCTTTCAGTTCTTCATTTAGGTGCTGTCTTTGGCTCGACAGTAACAAAGCAAGAAGCCAGTGTCCCTGATGCTTTACATAAACAACATCACGCATCCAATGCGTTGCAGCACCTTGGGCATGGCCTCTACCAGCTGGGTCAGAGCTACTGAGTACCAGTGGGTGGAGTAATGCACTGAGCCCTGCAGAGTGCTGCCAGGAGGAGACTGCAACCTGAGAAGTGCTCAGGCATCTTCTCCTCAGGGTTGGTGCTAACAGCAGGAAGCTGCAGTTCACCAGTGTGAATTCTCAGAAGGGCAATCACGCCCGCAGATCAAGCATGCACAAACGCCACATGAACCATTTGCACACTCGGAAATAAGTAGTCCCACTCTAATCTTTGGTTCAATTTCACACAAAGAGCAGACCTACTGTCAGCACAGACTAAGTCAGCTGGGGCTTTGTGCGAGTCAATGGAGTTGTGTAACAGTGCGGAGTATCTGAGCTTGGCATGGTGTGACTTACCCTATGTGTACCTTAAAATACAATTAGTCATAATGAGCTCAATTTCTCAGCCAATGAAACACTGATGAAACAACTGATGTAGTTTGTAAACATTCATTAACAACCAAATTAAAAGACTTAGTAAAATCCTACAAAGCACAGCATTTTCACTAACAGATACACAAGGTTTGCAGCAAGAAAAAAAACATTTGGGAAGGTACTTATAATGGTTTAACTCTGTCTAAAAATCACATCAAACTGGCTAGAAAAGGGACTACTTTGAAAGAAAAATAATCTGTGTTCAGGTCAGTCAGAGTTTTCTCCTGAAAAGGAAAAATACTTCTTGTGAAACCTGGCCACTAAAATCTTCAAAGTATTTGTAAGCCAAGAGAACATGGAAGAGACTAAAAACCATCACGCAACTCATTTGATGCTGTGACAAAAAGCTAAAGCTTAGCAGTGGAACCACTGGCAAAACCCAAATTTTGGTATCCGTGTGTGAGAGGCTAAGGGACTGACAGTGGTCTTCAAAGCAATTTAAGGTGAAGATTAATGGTACCAAGAACTAGGCTTGGATATTTTCTATGGCATTCTGACCTGGTTTCTTGTTTCTGCTTTGCATGTTAGATGTGACGTGGTTCATGCACAGCTCCACTAATACTTGTAGTTATGAAAAAAGCTTAGAATGAGACTCCAGCTCTAGGTCTAACCTGGGAAGTTACCAAAATGTTTTTACTCTTTTTCAGACAACAGCATTATGTATTTATCCTCTACTTGGTTTACAACAGAAGCCAGAATTTGAAGGAAAATGCAGTACTCACTTCATTTGATCTAAAACTCCTTCCTTGCATGCCGTGTTTCCAGAACGCCAATACACTGTCTTGTAGACAGACTGGTAACAAAGAACATTGGAATCAGTTTTAAGGCATAACATCAACTTGTGCTTTTAAGGCAAAAGCATGACTGCAATTTTGAAATCTGTAAACATATGTTTTATTGTATCACATTCATCCACACAGACTGCAGAACATCTCACAGCAATCACTGAACCTGCTTCAAATGTAGCTGCATTTTATTTGTTTAATGAGGAGGGTTTAAAAGTATTTCCACCTAACCAGAAAATGTTCTAGATGTCTAGTCCTAAATGTGTCTTTTCCTTTGAAAAGGAAACCCCTTTAATACTTGCAGAAAATATATACTGAATTTTAGCACAAGAGTTACAGGAATGCTGCAATGCCATCTTTCACTTTCCTAGCAACTCTTGGCTAATATGGTCCTTCTGCGATACCAATACAAAGCTTTACAGAGCCCTCTGCTTCCCAGCCCTTCCCACCAACGTGGTGACAGAGACTCGGATTTGAACCCTACAAAGGAAGTAGGTCTAGGGCCTTCCTCAAAGAGAGGGCAAGTGTGTAGGACCCCAGGAAGAATCTGTCCTCCTGCATCTCGCATTCTGCCTCTGGGTTTGCAGGAAAGAGAGCAGTAGTCTTTGGAGACTCTACCAGCACAAAATAGGACACTGGTAGCTCATTTGTGACAACCACAGTGAGGACTACAATACATGCAGGGCTCCCACAGTGAGCAGCTTCAAGTACACATACTCCTTCCTTCCCCCCATTCCTAACCATCAAGAGCCATAAAAGTAATATTTTCCATGACAATGTTTTCTTGTCCTCTTCTCTGTGGGACATTATGTTTGAAGGGCCTGAAACTTTAAAGCTTCTCCTCAGAAATAAACTCCCTCCAACTTCTTACTATTTTAGCTCCCATTGTTCCTCCTCTTCTGGTCCTACCCTCAACCTGTGCACACACCCCTCCTCACCTCTCTTTCAAAAGCATGTGATGCAATGTAGGTATGTAACCACTGGAGAACTGGCAAAATAACTTATTCTTTCTGTTTCACAAATCTAATTCATTCAGATCCTTCCCAAGGAAACAAAATTTATGTAACCTATGACATATAATTTAGTCTTTGAGCTACTTTATAAAAATGGACTGCATAAACACACATGCAAAATGAGTTAGGCAGGAGTGATTCAGAGTTTACATAGGTTGTATTAAGGTATTCCTTTAAAGGCTGAAGGTCTCCAAGATATTTATCTTAATCAGGATTATTACTCCATTCAAAGTGCTCCTAGGAAAGCACATTACGTAGCATGCTGAACCTTTCACTGGGCCTTCTCACACAAAGTGAAATGAGTGAGATAGTGTTTCAAATGCCAAAGACTAGACAGTTAGCACCCTAATTATTACTGTCACATTAAGCAAATTAATCATAGAACATCTCGAGTTGGAAGGGACCCATAATGATTACTGAGTCCAACTCCCTGCTCCTCACAGAACTACCCAAAACTAAACCACGTGACTAAGAGCATCGTCCAGATGTTCCTTGAACTCTAACAGGCTTAGCGCTGCGACTTCTCTGGGAAGCCCATTCTAATGATTGACCACCTCTGAGTGAAAGGCATTTTCCTAACATCCAATCTGAACTTCCCCATATGCAGCTACATGTAATTTCCATGTGTCTTATTTCTGGTCACCAGAGAGGCGAGACCAGCAGCAGCCCCTCCACCACCCCCCTTGAGGAAGCTGTAGACTGCAATGTGATCACCCCTGAGCCATCTCTTCTCGAGGCTGAACAAACCAAGTGATCTCAGGCTCTCCTCTCAAGTCTTGTCTTCAACACCTGTCACCATCTGGGTCACCCTCCTCTGGACACACTCTAATAGTCTGACATAATTTTTATATTGTGGTGCCCAAAACTGCACAGTGGACTCAAGGTGAGGATGCACCAGCACAGGGCAGAGTGGGACAATCACCTCCCTTGACCAGGTAGAGATGCTGAGCCTGATGCACCCCAGGACACGGCTGGCCCTTTTGGCTGACTCATCTTCAAACTGCCATCAATCCAAACCCCCAGATCTGATCTCTTTCCACGGGGCTGCTCTCCAGCCTCTTATCTGCCAACGTTTGTACATACAACCAGGATTACCTCATCCCAGGTGTGGAATCTACCACTTACTCTTGTTAAATTTCACATAGTTGGTGATTGCCCAGCTCTACAGTCTACACGGATATCTAAAACTAATAATGAAATCCAACTTACCTATTGATTCAATCTGAAAGTCAAATGTGAGCTCTGATGACAGTTTGCGGCTGGATTTTAACCTGCCTTGCAGATTCACTATTTTTATGCAGCCTAGACAATAAATAAGGATATGTTAACCAAGAATTATCTTCAATATATGACCTAATTTAAAGACAGACAGTATGCATATACATGCATACATATATATTTAGCTGATACTAAAACTTACAATCCAAACACACCAAAATGGTATCTCTCTCCAGCTGTGTTACATGTACAACACTCGTCTCTGTAGTGTCTATAAAAAAATGACAGTGTTAGTTCATAACATAAATTAGCATGAAATCTGAAGTGCAAGTTCTATAAATTGAGACAATTTGATGGGTTAGTGTTTTTATCTACTTAAAATTTTCACCTTACTAGTGACATTTCTCTTCTCTTAGGCATGTCCACTTATCTATCTAATGTGTTGACTGTGACAGGAAACTGAAGCTAAAATATTAAAGTATGGATTTAATCCAGCCTTTTCTGAGCCATGTCAGAGAAGCAAATTCCCATCTACATTGTTCTCCCTTCATTCTCTGTTGGTGTAATTTAATATTGCTATTACAAAAAAGGGCAGATATATGTGACTGTGTGACTACACACACTATGCTGTTTCATTGCACTTTTCTTCTGTTTATTTCTAAATCCTGCTGCAGACTTACATATTACTACTTAATTCTTGCTGCTATTTGCAGACTTTCCATACTCAGATCTTCCCAAAATAGCAGATTATTTTCTTATCAAAACTCTTAAAGGAAGGGTTATTTTCTGCTTTTCTGGGTTACAGCTGCAGCGGTCTCCATCACAGCCAACAGGGATTTGATCCACAAGTGGACATTTCAACTCAAAAGAGAAGTGTAGTTTTGTTCCATTTGTTTGTTAACATTAAAATTACACATAAAGCAGCTCTAATTCAACATTACTGCCAGTGATTCTGTAGGCATCTTTCACATAGAAAAGAGAAACTCAGTAAATCCATTAGAGGTGAGAAATTAGAGCATGTTACCTAAAATACAAAAGTAGCTCTCGGTTAAATTATAAAATCCATGGTTTTGCTGAGAAGCAAAAAAACTCCTCAACAATGGCAGAAATGTGCTCATGAGATGGTCCCTCCATCTCTTTATTGCTGTTTGGCTTGGAAGGTAGATGCAGCCACAATGAAAGCGTGCAACAGAAAGACTGGAGGATAAACATCTCTGCAACCACAAATGTGATATGGAAACATGCACTGCACTGGCTGAAGGACGTCAGGGGAGAAAACCCCCAGTAAGTCTCTGCCAGCTAATTTTTTTAAAATATCTTGGTCAGACATTTACAAAATAATGTCAATGTCAAATGATAAAAACTACTATTTGATGGAAACTATTTGAGGAAACAGGTTGCACAGAGGTGTGGATGCCCCATCCCTGAAATTGCTCAAGGCCAGGCTGAATGGAGCTCTGAGCAACCTGGTCTAGTGGAAGGTGTTTCTGCCTACAGCAGGGGGGTTGGAAGTAGATGATCTTTAAGGTCTTCCTTCCAATCCAAATGTTTCTGTGATTCTGTATAGTACACACTTTCCTCACTCAAAAAAAAAATAAAAAAAAAATCTCTTTGATTGCATTATCACTCTCCTGCCAGCAGGGGACAGGAATAAATCAATCCAACAAAAGGATTTAAACTGGAGCCAAAGAAATAGGAGAAAACAAGACAGACACAACACAAGAACACATAAGTGATTCAAGGAAATTTAAAAAGTGGGTTTGGAAGGCACAATGCAATGCTAAATTTTCCACATTACAAAAAAACCAAACTGGGAAGGGATTATTAGTATTCCTGTACAATATTGAGAGAGAAATGACAACAAGACATTTTTCTTCAGCATGTTACTTTTATGGACTCTAGTATAAAGCCACATAGCTACACGAGTGTGTGAAAATAAAATGCACTGTCTGAAGTTGTTAAGTGCATTAATTGGCCATCCACTGCTCACTTTGGTTTTTTGTAACTATGCCTTAAACTGTGTCAAAATCTGATGCTCTTTTCAGCAGCAGGAAAGTCAGTGAGTATCTTCCTGGTAGAAACTGCTGTTCTTAATGAATTCTGCAGTAGACACTCAGCTGGACTCATACCTGTATATGCCAGCACAGGGCTACATATAAATTCATCATGAATAGACAAGGAATCGATGTCTGGTAAAAAAAAAGCTTCTAAACCTGCAGGCTATGACTAGGGCTGGTTCACTACTGCATCTAGGTTCAAGGGACAATCGTGCAACTCTAAAAAGGTCATTCTTAGCACATTTTTTAAAGAGAATTTCTGCTGTTGCTCAGACAGTGGCCTCCTCACTCGTGACGCCCAGACTGGTGACGGGGCAGATACCTGGTTTCCTGCTACCAGTTCTCATAATCCCTTTTGCTTTCCATAAACACCAGAAGAATGCTCTATCTCAGCAGGAGGCTGATAACACTTCTAACCACAGTGGCATATTATAGGAGAGCCAAACCACACCTTATAGAGATGTTGAAAGAAATTGCTCAGAACGCAATTCTACTAAAATATATTAAATAAACAGAAGTCATGGTGCCAGGGTAGAGCACAGAACAGCACAGTGGGTAATTTATAGAAATGCAAGAAACTGTAACTCTGTCCTCTGCTATATCAAAAATCTCAAGAAATCCAATCAGTTTAACAAGTAGAAACATCAAAAGAAGTGCAGGTACAAGCAGGTACAACCAGATACTCCTTTAAACTTACAATGATGACTTAGTCTTAATGATTTAACCATTTGATTCCTCAGAAAAACCCACCTTTTAGTGCTTCAGCTATAACAGAAGAACAAAGAACATTTCTGAATGCAATTACAACAGCACACAAACCTGTTTCTGTAAACCACGAAGAGGTAGAATTTGGGTTGACAGTCTCAAACTTCACCACCTGGTTGAAGTCTCTTCCTCTACTGACACCAACACAAACTAAAGGGAATTCCTGCTCGGGGACTACCAGCATTTCAAACAATCTCAGTGGACAAGGTACAGGAAAATCTATGTGCTAGATTTAGAAACAAAAATAGATATTAGAAGGGAAACAAATGTTGTCTGACTTGCAGATATTAGATATTTAAACTGCATGGTAGATTTTATGCCATACATTTTGTAACACTTATGTTTACTTCTTCAGATAACAGGAATTGATAAATATAAAAAGCCTGAATTAAGAAGTTTAGAGCATCTCATGGCAATTCAGTTAAAATAAGATAGCATGTCTTTCATCATGTGTGTCCTATGCAGCTGCCCACAGATGAAAAGAGTGCTCATCACTGCTCTCCCTGGCTACTAGGCCTCTAAGCCTTCTTTTCCAGGCTGATCAAGTTACAGCAACTGCCTTTCTACAAACATGAGTCCACCCTGGCTCTGTCTCTTCAGGTAGTGTCAGATGGGAAGATAACAAGCACTTCTGGGCACCTCCAGTGTCACAAAACATAGAATAAGTGGCCACCTTCTTGCAATGGGAGCAAGACCATTGTTAAGCAGTTTTATCACTTCACTCTGCCATGTCTCAGTCTGTCACCCAGAGTTTTCTATCGTGAAACCGAAGGGCAATGTTCACGGAGAGAAGGGCTCAGTTCTCTAACTGAATCGCACCATAAAAACATGAACATTCTCGTAAGTATTTTGAGTTAGTTAATATGACACATTTAAATAGCTATTTTAAATATAATCTAACAGAAACCAAGAGAAAATAATAAATCAAGAAATGGATAATACTTGTATTCTTAGCAAGTCACTACAAGATAAAAAGAACTGAACACAAGAGTAATTGTACTTTTACCTTGATTAACATAAATTTTTGCATTGGTTCGACCCATTCTAACAAAACAATGCTAGACTGTAGTGCTCCACAAAGGTACTTGTGGCCTGTGTAGGGATTCCTCACTGTCAAAAAAGGATACAGAATATTAGTGTACTAAGCACATACAAGTTATAAACAATTTCCAACCATGTCACAAAAAATAGTTGACTGTATACACATTTGAAGTGTCTTGGCTCTACTATGTTGGTTTGCCCAAGCTACCTCGAAATCATCATAAGCGGCTGTTAAAGAATGGCTTTTTCTATGACACAGACAGTTATTCAGCAGGCAGTGAACAACCACTGTCACTTGAGAACAGCTCAGCTGCCCTTCAAGCACCCTCACAGCGAGTCTGAAATCCAGGAGCTCTGTATATCTGATGAACACTTCTAGATTGTCAGGAAATTCAGCTGAAACTGAAGAACAACAGAAAAGCAGAAGTGCTGCTCTTCAACTGTTTATCAGAACTCAAAAACGGGCAGAGAACAAAGTTGCAAAATCAGGCACTGTGAAAGCTGAAGTTTCTCAACTTCAATTCTACAATATTGACAAAATTTCACTCCTTAAGCACTACCAACACATCCTTTAAGACAAACAAGTGTTATTTTGCACTTTGTACAAATATATCTAAAGACCAGATTTTATTGTGCAGCAAAGTGACTGCGGGTCATCAGGCACTTAACAACACAGTTTAGATAACACGTGAAATATGCTCATGCTACCTTATTGACACAGAAACCCATCAGAAATCCCTTGGCACCTTAAACATCAGTGCTTAATTTCATTAATCCAATTTCTCACTCAACAACAGTCAGACTGACTGCAAACTTCATCAAATAATGCTTGGTGCAACTTCTTAGCAAGGCTGAATCAGCAGCAGAAACCACAAAATGTGCAATTACCAACACCTAAAAGGTGCAGAAAGAAGACCAGACGTGCTTGTCTTTATCTGCCTCCTGTGACACTCCTGCTTCCCCAAGGCCAAAAGCAGACTTATGCTGCCAGCAGGAATGGAGGCTCAGGCTGCACAAAGCAAGCTGTGCAGAGAGGAATCTGTTGTTTCTCCCTTTGGACATACCTTTTGCAGCCACCCCTTGTTGCCTTCACAAATTATCACTTACACCTCTCATGCAAGAAGGGCTCCAGGCTTATCAGGCTAAGCTATCTCTGAATGTCAAGACTCCCCCTCATACTGTCAAGTACTATGGCACCTTGTTAAACTCTGTGCCTGACAGGACAGAAATCACAGGATCACAGAGCAGCACACCACTAGGTTTCTCATTTTATAAAGAGAAACATGGAAACATAGACTTCCAAATTAATTTTCATGTCAGAAAGCAAGCATTCATACATACTCTGATCCCTGTCACTCCACCCCTTTGGGTGTTCCCTTCAGTATCCATTAACACTCACAGCTTGACTTAGATACTTCAATTAGAGCTCAGGCTGGACATACACACAAACACATCACTATGTACATATCACTAACACCCTACCATACCCTAGAGATATTAAGAGATATTATCAGGATAAATTACATGCTCTCTTACCACCAAGTCTCTGAAAACATCCTGGGGAACAGAACTCCTCACACAAACATTTGATTACGGAATACCAGGTAGAACATTTCCAGGACACAAGAGATTCCTGAGATTTTTAATTTGTTTGTTTGTTTTTTAAATCTATCTTCCCCCCTTAACACAGTGCAGCTTTGAAACTTCAGTAGCTGGCACATTATTGAACACATTATAAATGCTTCAGAGACAACACTGTCCTCAAAGAATTGAAAATACTCCTTGCTTTTTATCATCCAATATTGATAACTGAAACTTGTGCTAGGAAGTCATACAGCTTAATCCTGATGACAACTTCTTTAAGTTGCTCCATCCATGGAGATTAGGTTCTTCCTCAGGACTGGTTTAAATTTTGACACCATTCTGCTTCTCTGCATTTCTTGCAAATTGTCTTTAAATATAAAGAGCTAAATGGGAAAGTTTAATTACTTAAACACAAGGACTAACCTGAATGAGCTCACTGTCTGCAAATGCATAGTTTCATAACAATGACAAAAGTCTCTTCTCCCTTCACCTCCTAAACCTGACACAGTAATCTTAAATACTGCCACCATTTGTATTGCTTCTTCATATTTATTCTCCAGACCTTTACTTACCAACACAACACTTTTGACACCATTTAGTGTCAGGAATTTTTGTAGATACTGCAAACTTCCTACAAGAGATAAAAACAAAATTATTGATCAATTCAAACAATCAAGTGAATTTGCTTTTTAGACAGTTGCTGATGGAAAAATATTTGCCTTACTAAAACACCAAAAATATATGTTTGTATATTTCTTCTCAAAGTAATGTGCCTAGAACATACACGGTGATCTCTCTGCCAGTATGACATGCTACTAAGTTATGCAGCATTATGAATGCAGTTAAGTCAGGAATGGAGAGGAATAGATACCTCACTGCCATTAAGTGTCATTTACCACTCTCTCTTGCTATTTAATTACATGTATTTATACACGTGCCTGGATACTCTATTGGTTCTGTCATGATGACTATTCTTCATAATGCTGTAATTTATTGCATCTTGTGCTGGATACTATAAAAACTCCACCCTTGTCCTAAGACACTGTAGTTCAAAGACAAGACATGTGGACACAAGGAGTGTGGGAAATTATGCCGTACTGGATAGTTTGCTGGGACACAGTCCTTGCAAACCAGTAGTTTAAAGTTGGCACACATTTTCAAAGGCAGCACAGCACTGCATTTTGAGAGGAGGTATGAAGGGGGACTAGAAGGCAGTTTTGCAAGATCTTTTCTCATGTGCAGGGGACACTCCCTGAGAAATCATGAAAACAATTATTTGGAAATTTATCAGATAAGCCAGGGAAGATGTTATTTGCTGGTAGTGGGAATCAGAGTTTCTACACAGTCTAGAAAGACAACAGGCAGTATTGAGACTGGCCACAGTAGTCTTGACAATAAAAATGACTAATTTGATGCTGTGGAAAAGATGGGAATAAGTGGATTGAAAGACAGAGGCTGCACTCAAAGCTATGAATTGGGAAAACAGCTGTACAGCATTTCAAATGGAGCTGTCCAGAAGTGACTGATAATGCAGCAGGTCTGAGCAGCATGAAAACTGAGTACTGGTCACAAATTTTCCTGGGAACAAGTCATGGAAGATTTGAAAGGAACTGCTCAAGAACACTCCAGGGAAAGAAGTTGGAATGGAGACTTGGCACAGGCATAGTTTCTGTACTGAATGTTTGCCTACCAATTATCATAAGTTGAGCTTAGACCATTTTGCAAATGAATATACAAGCCTCACAAATTACTTCAAATTCTATTTTGTACTGCAGTTTCTCTACCGAAAACTTTGCTTTTAACATATGTACATTTTTCATGCAGCACTCATCATCACAGTATCCAGGAACTTGTTTAAGAACCCACTTTATTGGGAGTCTGGTAGGAAAAAAAAATAAATGGTTTTCAGACCTACTTCAGATGTAGGTCTTCTGCCTGGCGAAATGTTACTACACTGAATCCTCACAAGAAGTAAAACAGCAAAATGGATTATCTAAATTAATCTCTCCTGCTTTTGACTGACTGGCTTGGCACTTGCACGTTCAGGTTGTGCTGCATTTTTCTTGGGAAGTGACATGACTGGACAAGAAATATTCTGAGCCCTCTGCAACTCAGGTGAGGTGTCATTCCAGGCTGAATATAGTATGAAAGTTTTGCTAGCATGATCCTTATGATAATTACAGTTATTAGTCCACTGCTGATTCACTCCTCAAACCAAAGTCACCCAGCCAAAGTCAAATTGAGAAGAGAGATGTGCAGAACAGTGGTGCAGGTACACAAAAGATAACAATTCAAAGCACAAATCATCTCTTAGTTATTTAGAATTTACCCTCTAGGAAGAACACAATTTTCAGACAAGCATTGCACCATTATGTTTGCAGATAACTGAATAAGAAGCCTTCCCCAAATCCAAGAATTGTTAATAGGCTGTTAATAGAACCAAAGGTAGCAAAGATTCAAGTTTTTTATAATACAATTTCCTAACAAAAATGCTATTATATTAGAAAATACAGTGTCTCACTATGCACTTCAAGAACCAAAGATTTTTCTGCAAACTAGATTAGTGCTACTACCTCCTCCTCTTGGGATTTGAATGGACTACCAAGGCTTGCTTGGCAGTGTCCTGGTTCTGGTCAGGACAGGTTCTATTTTGGCAGTAGCCAGGAGGGGCATGGTTAGGACACAGAGGTTATTCTATACCACCTCAGGTCATTGCTGGGGACAGAGGAAAGGGAGTCTCTTCCAGGGAAAAAAGGATCCCTTCTGGGTATTGTTTCTGTGTTGCTCTTTCTTGTACCCTCTGTCATTAGTATTGTTGCTGTTACTGTTCCTTCTTATCTCATAGCTGTTTGCAGTAAATTGTTCTTGTCTCAACCCATGATCTTTACCTTCTGTGCCTCCAATTCTCCTTTCCATCCCACTGCAGGGGAGGGGGAGGGAAAATGGTGGAGGGAGCACTAAATTGGAGAATACCACTCCTAAACTTACAGGCAGTCAGCACTGTACCCAGTTTCTGGAATTTTGTATGCACTTGTTAGTAAATAAAGTTGGAGGGGAGGGACTGCATGCACAACATACTGTAGGTACCTAGAGGCAAAAGTATCTTCTACGTTAGCCTGTGAAAAACGACCAGCCAATGATGAATGTAAATGTGTGCTCCAGTTCTACTCTTCCCAGCTTTCAAAATATCCTGTGAGCCCATTCCCTCTGCATTAACACATCCTCACACTATTTTTAATAGAACTGAAAGATATTGCCTAGAGTACCTAATGTAAGATCATTTCTACATGCCTGAAATATCACAGGTACAATACTGACCACATGTTTTGTTTAGCACCAAGAACAAGCAGGATTTACCATACTAGACCTGAAAAGAGCTATGCTCTGAGCTATGCCCAGAAACAAGAAGGTAAGATGTACCAAAAGCCACTTCTCTAATAAGAGTATATTCACATCTTGTTTTGTGTAAATGTAGGGGTTAACCCTCTGATTAATGCACACATGAGTGCAACTTGTAAACAGAGCTCCACATTATTTGGTATTCCCAGAGTTTCACAAGCATATCCTGAACTCTCACAATTAAGATATCTGATATATCCGATGAGAGGTACTTACCTGGGAAGTATTCGGTCAGGAAGTTTATGTGCTGGAATAGCAACAGGTAACTTTTGCATTTGCCTTGCATAATCAAAGAGTCCTGGTAGATTATGGGAATAAAGCTGAGAAGCTTTACCTGGAAATTAGAAAACCAACCACACTTCAAATACAAAACCAAATGTTTACCAGCACTACCATTCAAAGATAGCCCAGTAACTTACCAGATATTGATAACAAACAATTGTTCATGACATATAACCACGTACACCTTCGAGGAAATAGCTGATAAATGGAAGGAAAAACAGAGAAGTAGTATTCAATTTGATATATACAAGATATTAATCAATTAGTATCTGCATAGATGACAGGACAAAACTAATACTGACTTGCTTTTTGCAGCAGAAATTAGCTTAAGCCAAGTAACATTTACCTGGATTCCAGAGTTAATTCAGAGTAAATCTTAGGCACACATGCGATATTTAACATATGCATTAACATTTAGACAATTAGCACATTTTATACTCATGTCTTCAAGTACACTATAGTTATTCCACAGGATGTCAATATAAAGATCAATCAATCCTTTTTCAAAAACTTTAAAAACCACCACATTTTCTCCTTCAAAGAAGAAAAGCTTAACAACATAAACTTCAGTAAGTAAAGCATGGTCAACAAACCACAGCCATTCTAAGGCCTGTGATAGTCCAAATCTCTTGACACAATTAAAACTGGCACTTTGAAGGGACTCTCCACCTGCATGATTACACATTTCACTTCAGAGATCAACAGATGCAACAAGTGGTCAAGGCAGAACTGTTACTTGTCAAATCCTGCAATTACTAAAAAGATGAGGATGAAAGCAACAAGACATCCCTTTAAAAAAACCAAACCACAGCTACTTTTTTTCCTCTCTCACCTAACTACCTAACTTCTGGAACTTACTGGCACAAGATGTCATGGAGGTGGAAAGTATCAACAGCCTAAACAAGGGATTAGAACATACTTATGTTCAGCAGGTCCAAAAATGGACACAAAAAGCAAATAGGCAGGGATCCTCCAACATCTCTGATTCAATGACTGTAGTAGAGTCTGAGGAGAACAGACAGCAGACAGTGACCAAACTCATGGGCATTTCCCACTGCCACTTTAGGAAACAGACTATTGGGCTAGACAGACCACTCAGGAGGACAATTCTTTTGCTCTTAAAAAACCACCCAAAACACTGAAGAAAACAAGAAACCAACTCCCCCTAAAAAAAGATTCAAAGATTAACCTTGAAGGTATTCTAACTCCTGGAAACATATATTACTTCTGCTTTGTCCACTGGCGAAGTGGAACGTAGTGAAAAATAATGAAGGATACTACTTTGACTTTTATACTGAGTTGTATCAGACTCAGAGTAAATGATGACATAAAACACAAAACTTGAAAATGCTATTATTAAGGCCCTATTGACTGTTGTCATAAATAATGACGTGATAAATGATTAGCACAGAGGGTGCACTTCTATTCCGGAAGTCTTCTCATAATCTAAACACACTCTAAGAAACACCTACAGTAATAATCTACCAACCTTCTTGTATCAAAATCAAAAATGCAAGTTTGATTGACCTTCTGTAGGTGCACAGCATATTGTGATTTAGTAGATTTGGATCTGAGGATTAAAGAACAGTAATTCTTCAATTTAGCAGGTTAACTGACCGTTCACTCCATTCCTCTTGTTCCACAGTGGCTGTTTTAGCAAGCATCTGTTCTTGTCTCTAAGTGCTCATTAAAACACTTCCCTGAAAGCTCACTAGAGCACACACTACATGATTTTCATTACACCTGTTCTCCTTCCTTGCTAGTTAAAAACCAAACCAAAACCAAACCCCAAGGAGCAAAGACAAAAGCCAAACAAATCTTTCCTTGGTCTACCAAGCCTACAAGTATTATTGCATTAGTGATATTTCTCAGGGTGGGTTTTACAACTGTAGTGCAGCAGCAGAGATGTTCCTGAGCTAAGTTTAAACTAGGTAACTCAAGCACCAGTATGAATATGGGTTACATGGAGCTCAGTTCAAGCTAGCTAGGCCTCCCTCTCAACAAACAGACATATCTACAACATCTGGACCCTGGAAGATGAACAAACACCAGTGCCTCCAGCTTACAGTATGAAGGCTGTCCTTGCAAAATCCTCCATCTTGATAGCAGATGCATAGCTCCCTAAGTTAGGGAGAAGGCAGGAAAGAAAACAAGTCTCTTAGAGAGTAACAAAAGAGCTGGAGAAGACACCATACAGAAAAGCCTGCAACTGGCATTTTCCCCCTCCCCAGTATCCCCTCAAAAAAATTACTTTTTATAAGACTCTGCAGAGACAGAGCTTTAGGTGGAATTCAGTAAGCTGAGTCTCACCAGAAAGCAGAAAAGCTGTTTTTAAGACCAAAAGAATGGAATCTAGTGTATAAAGGATCTCTTTGCTTCCCTGTAGTTGAAACACGTTTGTTGCAAAAATTCTATATTGTACCAAAGCTTTAAGGAAAACAGAAACTTTCAACCAAAATATATCAGGGAAATTCCTTACTATTTGCCTAATCATTTAACTGCAGACCAATGCACTATGATGAAGTTCAAAACACTGACAGGTGAAGATCTCCTACTTGAACATGGTTCAGCCTACAAAGCACTCAAACATAACTGAAAAGTATCCTCAATAGCAAACATTTAAGATAATTCTCAGTGTAGCTAGTGCCTAGATAAATGTAGTAAAAACTACTTTTACAGGGATTATACAACATTAATCTGAGTGGTTTAAAAAAGGGATGTATTTTTTTCCAAAAATATCAAACCAGAAATATACCTGCTCCATTGATGTTTCATGAAGTTCATTGAGGTTCAGCGTGTAAATACCTTCTTCTGCACCAAATATCAAGTACTGATCTGCAAACACAAACAAAAAAAGCTAGAAATCCTGATTTTGGGGAGGTGTATGTGCGGCTCTTTACCAAAATAAGACTTAAAACAATTACACACATTGAAACAAACTAAACTATAATAGTTATGGTATTTGAAAACATGGAAAGTTAATCCTGCTAAGGAAGCTTCAATTTCTGGATGGGACATTAGGGAAGATCAGTCTTTTTTCTTTATGACTAACAACTGAAATTAAAAAAAGCTATTCAATCACAAGCAAGAACTCATGTGGACAATTTCCACATATCCTACTTAGACATTTCCATATATTATGTGAAATATTCATTGTCTTCTTTTGGAGTACTTCTACAGCAGTATCGACTGGAGCATTTTCTCAGTACTTTGTGGGTGCCTCACTTGAACATAATCCAAACCCTGGATTGCTTTAGGCACGCAAACAAGACAGACATCTCATACTGAGATGATGTCAACTGCAAAAGACTGACTTCCATAATTTCAATTTCTAAAAAAACCTAAGTGTTTTCTTGCTGATAGCTCAGTAGCATGTCTGTGGAGCTTATAAGCAAAAGGTGTAGTTGCAGATAAAGCAAGTACAATGTTATCAAGTATCTCTTTCATCAGGCAAGATAATAAAGCACTAGAATGTATGCAATAGTGGCAGAATCCTGTAGGACCAAAAAAAATCTAGGGAAAAAAACACAAAAAAATAAACAATAAAGAAACAAATCTCAACTAGGACCTCTAAAAGCCAGATTTTTAAAAAATAAATTAGGATTGGCATCCTTTGGGCTAAAATGTTAAGAAGAGCCTTTAACTTTGATATTTAATTTATTCTTTTTAATCACAGTAAAGATCTGCACCAAATATATCTTCATTAAAAGAACACCATAACTTCAGACAGCATAATTAAAGAACAACTCCTGTTTATATGAATATATGTCTATTTTAAAAGGAATAGTCTTGCTCATCTAGGCACTCCTGAAATCCAAGGAGAAGACAAAAAGGGTAAAATATTCATCATATAGTACCTCTTGTATCTGGATTTATCCATGAAGTTGCACAATGAATTTTTAATGGACAGCCATTGAAAACCTTTGAAAAGCAAGCACCCATCTGTAGAAATGAAAACAATTAAATACTGAAAAATTAAAATGTTACATTTCCAGTAGGTTTATTTTTACTTCAAGTAGTAACAAAAGGTTAAGAGTTGCCATGTGGAAAATAACCTCATCCAGAAAATAAGCTGATGAAGTTAGTTTAAAATAGATGAACTCCCCGTTTGGTGCAGAGCACAACTACGTAAATACACTGTCCAGCACACATGGAGGAGAGTGCTGAAGGCAGAAACAAATGGTCAAGAAACGGAAAGAGTGGCTCTTCTGATCACAGTGCTGGTTAAAAGCACAGTGACAAGTGTACACAGATGTTACAATAAAATTCTAGTTTGCTTTATTCCTCGAAGGTGCACGTGGGTATCTGCAACACTTACTTCCAGCCCTAAGGCATCTATGAATCCTATCTTCAGAAGTTTTGAACCCTAGAGCTATATAGCTTAAACTTGGTGCTATCTGCAGTTCCTGGGAGAGATCAGCTCCTCAGATCACTAGGTACCTAAGTACTAGTGTGACATTAAAAAAGTGAGTGATAGTTATATGACTAAAGAAGTAGGCAAACAAAAACCTTCACCCCAATAGCACAAAACTAAGGGTGATTTCTAAAATATCATACAGTCGTTTAGCATTTCTAAATGATATTGGATTTTATAATTAAAAAAAATACTACAAACATTCAAAAAATGTACTCTGTCAGTTTAGTAAGAAAACACATCCTTCTTCCAACATGCATTGATATGACTCAGCAATACTCACGTGTACTTTAGGTGTGGGAGGAAGGCCATTACTAATTGGTTTCTAGAAAATAAAATTTAAAAGTATGTTTACACACACATGCACACTAAGCATGAACATGCATATTTTCTCCCCAAATGACAGCATAACAAAAATAGAAGTAAAAAATTTTTTCAGAATGCTGTCAAAAGTACTGAATAAATAATTAAGCATAATTACATTAAGAGAAAATAAAAAGCCAATACTTACATCTACATAAGAAACAGATACAAAACACTCCCTGCAGATTTTTAAGACAATAGAGTTGTGTTGTATATTTCTGCACTACACTAATGGAAGGCACTGGGCACCTACTGAGAAATTCCACTGTGCCCAATGCCATAGGTACTAGACCTGAAAACCTTGACTGAACTTTGGCTACAGTCCCACTTGTAAGCAAGGTGAGACTAAAGACCTCCCTTCCAACTGACAGTTCCATAATTCCGTATGAGTTTGCCGACCACGTGCCTCTAATAACCACACACCACAAACTACCAGCAACATTTTCTTTCATTAAAATCTTTACTATGATTCCCTAGTATCTCCTCAGTGACTGTTTGCATAACCTTATGCAGCATTCTCACATTATGACTGTGCCTGTAAGAATACCATATCCAGTACTATGGAGTTAAACAATATGACTCAACTGTTCAATATTACAGCATTAAATTTTACCAATCAGTACGATATGCATTTTCCCGTATCAGTATCAATTTCTCCTAGCAAAAACATGCTTCCCAAGAAATGCATTTTACAGGTAACATAGTAAACTTCAAACACACAATTTCAAATGATGAGTTCAAAGCTGTTCAGGTAATCCTACATTCCAAAGTACTGCCAGTATTACTGGCATTTCCTTAAAACAAAACAAAGACCTAGACAATGTTTCTGGTCTACTTCCTCTTCATTTCTCACAAAAAAAGTGACATTTCCAGCCTCACCCTTAGAAGAAGCCCCCAAAGAGGACAGTTTCATGTTACATTTAATCTATTCTAACTACAGATGTCCCATTCTCTCATCTCACATTCCCACTTTTGCTTTTGCATCATGAAGTGACCACTCTGGAAGCCATTTTCTGACTTGATGGAAAACCTCACTTGAAAAAGGAGCAAAGTATGCAGGAAAGGGACCCCTTCCTCAGCTCACAGCTGGTTCAGGTTACCCATTGTGTAAGGCTGCATTCTCCCCATGAGCACAACTTCATATGAGAACACGTAGTTCAAGCCTGATGCTAAACCCAAGTCACTAAACCCTGAAACCTGGAGCTGCAGAGGTCAGCAGGCAAACGGCTTGCCTATCTAGACTTCAGTCTACATTTTCATCATCTTTTTCCCCCTAAATACCAAAAAGCCTGTATGCCTACACCTAGGATAAGATGAGGACTCATTCAGGAACAACTCTAATTCAGCTCCATTCCCAGGGCCAGACAAATACCCCAGCAAGCTGTCAGGAGGCAGCATATTCCATTCCCCCATTTCCTTGTTAGCTTTAATAATCATTGCTCAGTACAGTGCATCGCATCCCTCACACAGGGTCTCGCTCTCATTACATTTCTGAGGTCTGCAAAGGAGCAAGTAAATCGTATATATCCATGATAATAGTTTCTACAGAAATTTAAATACCAACTCAAACTTCAGCTTAAGACTGTATCACAACTAGACAATCTAAGAAACTGTGCTTTGATTCCAAGTAAACAAGATGCCATCCAGCATAATTTTAATACTAAAGAGTATGGCTGCTCCTTTTCCTTGCACATGTAAAACAGTCAGTCAAGAAAACTTTAAAAGAACACCTTAAATACCTACCAGTATTTCCTTCTTTTCTTTCCTTAAAAAATTAGTGTCTCTAGCTTCATTCTGTGGCGATTCCTCTCTTTCACCATTTAATTGTACAGAAGTGACTCCATTACCTAGAAAGATTAATTTTTAAAAATATGTTCTTCTACCTTCACCTCAAAGAGTAATCTAGCCTAAAAACAATTTTAAAAGGCCAACATTTCCATTTAAGTCAGAACATGTACTATACACAATACAGTACACAATACCCTAATTTATTTCAGAAGCATGCATGTTTTTCCATGTGCACATATAACCATCTATTCAGCCACATTCAACCTCAGTCCATGACTTTTGGTAATTAATATAACAACTCCAATGGGGCATAGAAAGGGATGCAGTCATAGTTATGAGGAAAAATGTATTGAACATACTCAAAGAAAAACTTGCCAAGAGCTAACACTTCAGTTACTGATTCCTTACAAACAGCCCTGAAGCATTTCTTAGCACTAGATGTTTAAGCATTAGAGTCAAATCTTTAACACACCAACTGCAGTACTGAGTATGAAGCAAGGAAAACCTGGCAAGGTATCAGACATTAAGAGTCAGACATTAAGCTTGCTTAAGAGAAGCCAGTCCAAGACAATTCTCAAAGCATCGGACGAACAAAAGCATAAAATGAACAGCCTGAGCAGACAGCAAACAAACACATTACCTCCTATACTACCCAATCCAGTTCATTACATACAAAAGCAAACTTTGAAGGCAGAATTCTGTTCTTGACATGGTCAAATGACAACAGCTGACGCACTCAACCTGAAACCTACATACACACTTTTTTTAACAATCCTGATACTCTACATTATAAGCCTGTTGCTTAGGAAAGCAATCATGTCACCGATGGCATCAGCAGGAATCATGTCAGTGACTTTGGTAGAAGGTATGTTTGACCCTCTTAAGAGGTAAAGCATGCTTTCTTCATGCATTTTGGCTTTCATGCACTTTCTGTTACTTGCCCACCATCGAAAAATTACCTCAGTATGTTTTAATGTGTGCACAGGGTGAGAATGCAGAAACAAAATCATGTTAGATTATTTAAGAAATACTTGTATACTTCTTGGAGTCACTCATTACCTAGAGGATTAGATTTCTGTGGAGGTAGTCGAGGAGGGGGTGGTCTGGGTGGAACGTGCGATGCAGATTTTGCTGGACTCTCTGATGTTGGGCATCTCTTGATTGTCCCTTGATTTTCGTTTTCAGAAGAATAAGTTTCTTGGGGAATAAAGATGGATTTAGGCTGAAAGAGACATATTAATAATAAAAACACAATGAAAAAAGATTCAAAACATCCATGCTACTTCTCAATGAGTAAAAAATCCCATATTCAATATTTGGATCCTGAAACTTTCACAAGTAAAAAGCTATCAATATAGTAATCTAAATATTTTGTATTTATTTGTTTATTTAAAGTGTCCTTTTCTTCTGGGCAATAAAATCCCCCTCACTTACCTTTGGTGGTAAAGGAGGTGGCACTTTAGGTTTCATAGTAGCACTATAAAGAGAAGAAACAAAACAGATTGCTACCTTCCTTCAACCTTGTCTTGCAGTCTGCAAGATGATACAGGGTTTTATAAATGGCATACACATAAGCCCCATTAACTTGTCAACAGCACCATTATATCCAAATAACTGCATCACAAATACTTCCAAACATTTTGTTATACCACAGATACTATATGAAAACAAGTGTCACAGATCCCCCCTAGAGAGCACAGTGTCATGAACTGATTTGTTGAAGATGCACATACTTGTGCAGAACAAAGCAGGGAGATACACAGCAGGCCTGATATTTACTCTGTTGAGACAAAAAAGATTTAGGGTATCAGTGAGCTTTTCTAAAGGGCCATCTGTAGGTATGCATGGCAAAGGGGACTTACAAGAAAACTGATGAATACCACCCCTTGAAAAATTTACTACTGATGATTTAAACAGCCTGAAAGTAAAATTCATCTGCAGTGGACAGCTACCCTAGTGTCTGGGTTCTTTGTTTTTTCTATGAGTTTCTTTTTTCATAGAAGTCTTGGGAAAGACAACTTTTTAACGCAAGAACAATTCAACAGGTTGGCTCAACAGTACAAGATATCAGCAGAAAACAAGAAAGCTGAAGCATGAGGAGCATTCTTCCTCTCCCAGTTCTGTAGCTTAAAAAATACGTTGCATTAAAAAAAAAAAATCAACTACATCCCTAAACTTTGTATGTTTTTAAAAGCTCTTATACTGCCCTGTTTCCTAATATTTTTTGAACTGAAAATTATTTCCATTAAATAAATTAGGAATACAGCTGTGAAAACTTGACATTCTTGCACAATATTTTCCTTATTTTTAAATAATGTTTCAAAGTTTTGGAAAAATATTCAAGTAGTAAGATATCTGTTTGTATGTCTACAGGTCAACAACTTGTCTGCTTTGCTTCATTCTTTTCAGGAGTTTCTGTCCTGGCATCTTATCCGTTGCTTATATTTCAGAGAAGCTTGGAAGGGGACTTCTGACTTCAGCTGCTATGGTGGTAGAAATTATCTCCACCATGGGACCAAGTTTAAGTCCTCAGTCATGTGTGTCCAAGCTCCACTTATATTTTTTTTCATATTCTTCCTGCATTTCAGACAGCCATTACAATGTTACTGGGCAGCCAAGCAAACAGAAAAGCCAACAATTTGGCATAAATGTGACAGATGTTTGCACAAAGGACCACGTGTCCTTGTTTCAACAACAGGGTTTAGGTGCAGTTTGTCACTGCTGATTACGCAGGGCAGTGCTCCAATAATTTCTGCTTTCCCAGTTTCCATAACCAGGAAATTCAAGCATCAGCAGCCTTGCTGCACATGAGAGAAAAAGAAATATCAAAACAAACAAAACTATTAAATGAGAGATAACTTTATATTGTTCTGTGAAGCATGTGGATTCTCTGTTGCTGCAAATCACCCGGTTTCATGCAGTGGAATCTGTCTGGACTGGAAGGTGTACAATGACCTCATCGTTTTTGTTCTGGATCTGAAGGGAGAAGTGACCGATGTCACATGTGCTCTTCAAGAGAAAGTCCATCTCACAGAATACAAATCAAACAAAAGCCTTGAATCTTCAGTGGGTTCCAGAGAAAGATAGCTGTGATCAAGCTGATGAACCAACAATTGCAGCAGAGCTTTCGGCTCAAGCAGATACCAAGAGAAAGGCACAGATGCAGAATCTGTCTAATCCAAGGTTGAGGCATTCAAGCTTTTACTCCTGTGCTTACACATTGTCAGGCCCTCTCTGTAGGGCAAGAGTACCTGGGAAGAAATATGTGAAGAAACAAAAAACACCAAGACTATTTTGGAAGACTACTGGTGACTACCCTTAGGGTCAGATGAATTGGAACCTCTCCAGAAGCGATCAGGTTCTTTCTTGCTTAATGTAAAAAAAATAAATCCACAGAAACACGACAGAGACATAAGCACCTAAAGTCAATGCTGTTTGAAAGTTCTGATGGAGCTCATGTAAGAAACAAGGGTTCTGAAGCACTGGACAAGGAAATCAGTGCTAGCACTTCAAGACAGCAGCGATCAAGAAGTTCCAAGCCCTGGAACACTACTGAGGTTGATGATACTGCCTGCATATCAAGCAAGAAGTCAGGAGAAAAAAAGAAACGCTAAACAAAAATGAACAGATACGAAGCTGTGCACAAAAAACCATCCAGAGATTAGTATGGATGGAGTAACCAAGCTGAGCTGGCTCACAGCAGCACAGCTATCCAGAGCATCTTCACTGGAAGCCATCAGAGTGAAGCTGGCAGGATGGAGCTACAGGGGACTGTTACAGCCTGCACTGGAGGAAGCCTGAGTTGCGATTAGCCAGGTCTATCCAGCTATGAGCAAAGCAGGTTCTCAGCTTCACCCAAGTGCTGGGGAGCAAATCATGAGCAGCATCATCAACTTCTTCCTCTCAATGACAAGACACAAGAGCTTCATATTATTAATGAACTATGTAATCAACCATGTCTTTAAACAACTGCTTAATGATGAAATATGAAGAATTTCGTCAGGAACTAGCACAAGAATAAAGCCTACTGAAAACCAGCTATTTTATTTTTCTATAAATATTACTTGTGTCAAACAACAAATATACTTGTGTTTTGAAAAACTGATTATTAAACAATGCAAATTTAATGTACTCATCACCGGACATCAGACACTATCAGTACCTTTACCCATCTTGAAGGGGGCTGTCCCACATGCTCAGTATGTGATAAAAACCACTGCTTTTGTTATAAAAGAACAGCAGTAAAATAACTCAAGGCAAAAAAAAGGAGACTGTATAATCTGTCTCTGTAAGAGACAGATGCCCACAATAGATAACACATGTTTTAAAGGTTTCTGGTATGAAGCAACAGCTTTCAAAATTATCCATTAACAGAAAGCAAACAAAAATTCTGTCTCAATGCCACCTTTATTTTTGGTCTTTAGATCAAATTTATTTAGGAATGTAAATCTACACACACTGGTTGTGCTTTTTAAATTGTTTCAGCTCTCATCTATAAATCAAATAGAGCCCGAGAATACTTATACCAATGGAATTTAATATGAGCATAATTAATTTAACATATGCCTTTGCAGTTCCATAACCTTGCTCTCTCTGTGGTAAGGGAGTCAGTTCTATTCCAAAAATCAAGCACCCATACAAGCATCCTCCTAGCTGGGAACATGGACAGAACAAACTCAAACTAGAGAAGACTTATGTATACATTTTACACACTTTTCATGAGCCTTACACAGTTATTGGTTCTAAGCAAGGCACCAGGACTTGGGGCGAATTACTGGCTCAACGTAATGACACCAAGATTTTGTTCAATAATAGAAGGTAAAAGGACAACTGTATCAAGCAAGGAACAAGACTCCCCACTCCCCCAATTTACAGTAAGTTTATTAGCAGAATAAGAAAACTTCTGGTGATGTAATCTAGTAACAACATTAAATGCCTATCTGTAAAAATGCTATAGAGTAAAGAATCCTGAGTTACTATAAAACATGATTAAACTTATTTTTTTTCAAATGTTCATCTATTCAAGGATCTAATTCTATTTATCTATTTATTTTTACAAGAAGGACTTACTGTTTAGAATCATCATCTGCATCATCATCATCTTCTAAATGTGCCACATGTCCCCTAAGAAAATGAATAAAGTATTACAGTTGCATGAGTTGTATTAAAATTACCTTGACTGCTGTGAGAATTTCTGAGCTCAAAGGCTACTACCTCTTTTACAGAATTTTACTGTCTTTTTTTAATTATTATTATTCTTTAGAGCACAGCTGCAACCCAGACAACTAAGCCTCTCTCATAACCTCTCGGCAAGTATAGGGACAAACAAGAATTACTTGTGACAGACAGAAAAAAAAAAATCAATGCACTAATTACTTTTGAAACACACAAGAGAAATTACTTTTGAAACACACAAGAGAAGAAAACAAAAAAAAGAATAGAATTACCGCTGATGCAGTTCTTCTTCAACTGATTTTAAGAGACTCCTTCAGCATTAAATAAGAATAAGAACATAGTTTAATTGTGGTACACAAATGCAATTATCAGAAGCCAGAACAAAAACTCTTATGATTCTACCAATAAATAATCCAAAGCAGCATGTTATTTCAGCTGGCTTTCAGAACGTACATCAAGCATCCATATACAAATGAACATAGCAGCAATTTTTCTTTCATTTATTTTTACACAACGTGCTTTCACATGTGTCTATTAATGTATTGCTATTAAGTGCAGTGGTCTTTTTTCCTTGTACTGTAAACCACTTTACTTGTTCTGAAAAACTTAGCTTGATCCAACTGAAAACAAATCCACACTCTCCAAGAAAATTGTAATCTTAAAAAGAAAATAAAAAATCAGACTCCTGAGGATTAAACTACTATTGGAATAAACTCATTCTTCCCTGGTTAATTTTTGTAACATTCTGAACTTCATTTTTGTGCTTTTGAAAAGACAGACAGGCAAGAATCACAGGCAAAACACAGGAATAAGAAACAACAGGATTTGGGAAAATATCAGTGTTCATAGTTTTCCCAATTAAAGACTGTGCAAAAAAATCAAGTTCTATGCTTAGATTTTCAACATGATTTAATTTGAAAATCAAAGCTAGGCATCTTAATTCTGACATGCATAAATGTAATTAAGAAATTGGGTGGAAAGGAAAAAATACACTGAAAATTATTTCATATGATTAATATATCACAATTATTAAATGTACAAACATAAAGTTGAAGGGCTTGCTAAGAAAGGTGAGTTTTATTTTTTAAAGCATTTATAACTGCATGTTCCCAGTGCCCCACAAGATGAAGAAGGGCATAAAGCAATATCAAAGAAGAGCACTGGTAGTTCCCAGGTGGGGTAAAATTGTGGTCTGTGGGACCTATCATGGAGAACATTTTGTAAACAAGCAGACCAAGATAGCAGCTCTTAAAAGGAATCTTACACCACCATAGAGACAACACAGCCTCAAATACTGAAAAATGCTGCAAATCTATAGCATTGGAGTTACTACTATTGTAGAAATAATAGTGATTTTGGAGTTGTAATTGATAGAAACAAGCTTGACTTATTTTACTACATTTCAGCTAATGTGTTAAACACACATTTGCGATTTTTATATTAAAATAGTCTTGAATTAGTTAAAGACAGAAAATGCTGCTGCTTACTCACTTATTTGCACCCAAGAAGTAGCCACACTGAGGACCATGACCATATTCTAGCTGTAGATCCTAAAAATGTAAGAGAATGAATCTTTAAGATGAACAGGTGAGCATCAAACACACACTCTGAGTCATGCTGCTGTTATCCCCTCTGCCACAGCTGAGGTACCAAACAAACTTATTTCTCTGGCTTTTCTGACCCCTATCACCACTCTCAGGCCCACTGCACTGAAAAATCTCCTCGCTGCCAGTTTCCTGCACCTCTAACTCCTTTTAAAACTCTGAACTTAGCCTCCTCCTTGCACACACAGGTCCTTTGCTCAAATAAAGTCAGCTGCATAAAAGGAAATAAAATAACAACAAAAATAATACAAAAATTGAAAAAAAAAAAAAAAGCAGCACTAAGGACTTTGCGATCTACCAGACCCTGTAGAGAACCCTGCTACCCCTCACTGGCACGTTGTAGCAGTCGTTTCAGATGGGGAGTAGTTCTGGCAGGGAGCCTAAAATCCCTTCAGCACACTGGGACATTAAAAAAATAAGCAGAGAGGACAATAAATGCTCTTATAGCTCTGGTTATAACCATATGTGTACGTTTTTAGAACACCTTTTGTACTGAAAAGAAAAATACAGTACTAATGAAGTCAAACACTCCAGCAATCATGGAGTATAAGATACAAAAAAAAAAGATGTGGCAACAGGCTTCCAACACTGTTATTAAATAAACACTATAATGCCATACAAATTTAATTCCTTAATGGAATGCAGGGACCCTGCTGAAACACGATCAAACCTGCACCTGCCAGGAGGATACTGCTATAATTACAGGGTATTTTTCTCTTCAAATGGATCACAATAGGAAAAATCTGAGCATAAATTTCCTCCCAAGATACTGAGTGTATTCACCAGGAGAAACAAATTACCGATCACCTAAATTAGTGATAAATAGAGCTACGCTGTTCCTTCCCAGAAAACACTGTAAAGACCTCCCAACATCTTCTGTTGAACCGCAACTCATATCAAAATATGCCATCCCTCATCAAGATGCCCAGATACTCAAGCTTTAAGAGCAATAAATTCAGATTAGATGGGGCTGATCTCTCAAAAGAGCATTTTTAAAAATCAGAGGAAAAGTCTCACATTAGATTTTCCAGTGTTCTAAGCTGATGAAGCAGAAACCACTGCAGTCCTCAGTTCCAGGCTGAAGGGCAAGCACTTTAATACAAAGCTATGGACATTGTTTTCTGCTTGGCAAGGAGTTTCAGGTTGTTTACTGTGCTCTCTATTCTGCTCTGCAAAGCTAAGTAGTAGTTTCCGCATGGGTGTGCCTACCACAGCTGTCAGTAGCACGTGATTGCTGCAGTAACTTTACGTATTTTCCCAAAACAAGTGAGATATTGTGAGAAAAACACTATGTAATCGATTACTTGATGTAAAAGAATGTATAGATCAGAAGGTTGAATAAAAATTGCAAAGACAAGCCTGATGCTGGCATTTCCTGAACCATGGAGAGACTGACTTTTCAATCTCTGTATCAATTTTACTACACTTCTTTGTTCTAGAATTAAATGATCCCCCAAACCCACCAAACTCTATCCACTTCTATGGATCTGACTCAGAAGGGCCACCCAACTTTCTCTCTAGACATCTGTTAGGGGATCTAGGACGACAGGCCTCACAAGTGGCCATGCCAATGGGGAGGAAGGTGTCAGGCCTCAGTCATGGCTATCTTTGATCCCTTCTGCTATCCGTATCTTCTTTCTCCACAGTTTGATCATCCTCCTATGCCTCGATTTTGATTCCTCCTGCTCCTTGCTCCAAACAAGTTCAGCAAGTCTCCTTTCCTCAAGAAAGGCCATCCTAGGCCCTCCACAGTTTCAGTCTCTTCATCACACCCAGCATCTGTCTCATTATACCCACGTAATTCCCTTTTGCTGCTCTTCACCACCAGCTGATGGACTACAATCCACAAAGAAATAAATTTAACTTTCTTTACTTTGAGTATTTATAATATTCCTTTGCAATCTCAAAACCTTCCCTCTGTAAGCACAGGTATTTTGAGGATTCAGGCTCTAGAGTAGAAAATAACAAGACTGGAAACATAAGATGTCGCCAGACTCACAAGCAAGTAGGTTAAACAGGTTGTGTGAGCCTATGTGAGAGGATGCCAGAACAAAGACTGGGAAGCTGTTGAGAGAAATAACGCCAGATCAGTATACTGAAATCTGAGATTTTTGCTTTGAAGAGACAAGCCTTCAATGTTGCAAAATCACATTATTCAAAAGTAAGAAACAAAGATATTACACTGGACAAAGCCAAAATGTCTGTCCACTTTAATTTACACACTGTGCAATGTATGACTATGAATACACTGTACAGCAATGACAGGAAAATTAATAAAAGAAAATAAATAAACCCACCTAAAACATAAGGAGCCTTCCTTTGCCACCAGACTTCTTAAGCATAACTGGAATTTTCTTTATCAAAAATGACGTCTGCCAGAATTACTTATGTTTAAATGCTTTTAAAGGGCAAAAGCTTTGTTTTAATTCAGTTTACTGTTGTGTAAGATTTATGATTTTAATTGGATATGTAGAATTTTCCAAAGCCCTTTAAACATTGCTGGCTTTCACTCCAACTGTGGGGTGAAGTACACCACTGCTAGGGAAATTCCTTCTTTTGCACTCTTGATAGATAAATACTGAGAGCTAGAAAGCTTTTAAAAAGTTAAATATATTTTTCTTCTACCTTGTATTTCAAATATATCCCTAAGTTACAATTTTATAAGCTTTCTAGCGGCATATTTGATATGAAAACATTGATAAATGCTGCATGTATCCTGCAAAGCCTGCAGTGAGATATAGGCCTGCAGCCTCCAATATAACTGGAGTTTTTTAAAGCCACACATGAAGATATGAAATCTTATCAGTTGTGGATTCCCACTGGGAAGAACAGATTAGCATTAATTCCCAAATGATGCAAAGTTACCCAACAACTTTATCAATCTACATTAATATTTTCATTTAATATATATACAATGCTGATTAGTTAATTAAAATTCTTTTCAGATCAGACAATATTGACACAGAATAAATCTGGGTGACTAAACAGATATATTCCAATAGGATCTTGAGATATACAGCTGGCAGGAATGAGAAGAGGTCAATAATCTGGGTACTAAATTAAAGATGCAACTCTAGATTATTCTGCAGTCAGCCTCAGATTACCAACAACTCATTCCCGATACAACTCAGATCACAGAATATTCTGAGTTGGAAGGCACCCACACGGATCACTGAGTCCAACTCTTAAGTGAATGGCCCCTATGGGGATCAAACCCAAAGCCTTTGTGTTGTTAGCACCATGCTCTAACCAGCTGAGCTAATCTCAGGGTCTCATCTGTGTACAAGACAAGTGTGCTATTTGCTGACAGTAATTGCTTTGGAAAAAAAGGTAATACAGGGAATAATTACCAGTTCTTCTCAACAGCTTAAGCAACACTAAAGGAAGCTGTCATGAAGAAAAACAAATCAGATAAATTACATGTGCAAAGTAATCAATGACTAAAAACAGCATACAGATTTCCTCAGAGCAAAGATAAAGCAAAGGGCGTTCTATGAAACAAATTCCCCAGGAGTGCTCAAATCTGCAAAACCTTCTGCAGCTTAAATTTAAAAAACCTGCTTTATTTTCTGCAGAATTTCACAGTAAGTTAATTGTTACTGCACCTTTAACAGTTATGTTCCCACTTTGTTCTGTAGAGCTGAGCTGTACTGGGAATCTATTTTTAGGTGTTCAGCCCTTCAAAAACAAAACTGAATGTATACAGCAACCCAGCAATTCACAGTTACTTCCTACATTTGCTATTCTTGAAATCTAGTGAGAAACAAGACCATTTGAAGTGACAAAGTTAAGACACTAAATCTACAAAATGCCAGGGAAGTAACTCTGAATTTTCAAGAATACAAATCACCTTCGGACTACTAACATGTCAAATGAGAAGGCACATACATTCTCAGTAAAATGATTAAGCAATTCCTATCACATTGCTCCATCAAAGAGGAATTTAATTTTTAAAAGAGACTAGCATTACCTAATGCATATGCTATATTTTTAATGCCTTTATTTCAATAAAAAGTGCATTCTTGAATTTCTTTGGATATCTTAACACATCAAAAACAGCAAGTTGTGTGTATATTTTTTTAAACACACTAAATATAATTCTTTCCTGGTTACTGACTGATAGGAGTTTTCATGGCTTGTAAGTAAACAAAAAGCAAATCTATGCATGTGTAAGGAGAAAAATTACTTAAATTGAAGAAAAATGCTCCTGGGCAAAGTTCTCTATTACCTATGTCAATCTATAAAGAGATTAAAATTCAGTCTTTTCCTACCAGTATTTTACTTTTTCTGCCACAAATAATTAAAAAACAGAGAATACCTATGCTGAAACACTGCATTCCTAAAAGTGTTACCAAAAACTATCATGAATTATTAAACCTGGAGTATACTTAAAAGCCAAAAGAAAACAAAAACCAACCACAACCTAGTTATTTAAATAGGACCAAACGTATTGTATCCAGCAAGTACAACAATGTAGACTGCATGGGAGCTGCAAACCTCTCACTGAATTCATTCCTAAAGAAGTCCAGAATGAATGTTAAGTTTGTAACAACTGAAAACAACTGTAGGTTGGAACCTGAGACATCAAATCCAAGTTTTGTTCAACTCCTCTGTCACTTTCTAAAACAGTGGAATTCAGCTGTGTGTTTTGGTAGTAGAATTTTCACTGTGTGTTGTATACTCCAGGCTAAATTAAACATTTAATTTTTCCTATAATAGAAAGAAAAAAATAAGTCACTGTTACAAATCAGTTAGTATGATGATGCAGACTAGGGCCAGGTGCTGAGGTAGTTGGCCAATGGTATTATGAAACCACTCTAAAATAAACAAGAGTGGGCTGCTCATTAGAAGAACTTCAACAAGCTGGAGGAGTACACAACAAAACATCCTGGGGTTTAATACAGACAACTGAAAAGTCCTGGAACTAGGACAGATCCACCACAGATACAAGAAGAGGCTGAGGACAAGCTGGCTAGGGGCAGGAAGGGCAACTCTGAACTGAAAAGCGTTTGGTAGTCCCAGCAGCCAAGGAGGGAAACTACACATGAGCAGCACACATTTGTGGTACATGTGGCCAACCACAGCAAAGCCAGAGGGCCCAAAGTAACCTCTGAATCTAGCTTGGAAGCTGTCCCTATTTTAAGCAGGAGTAAGCTAGAGATCACCAGGGGTTCCCTCCCACCTCATCTTTTTTGGGGGATTCTCTGACAGTTTTTCTAACTTATCAAGATATGCAGCTCAGTCTACTCATATGAACCAGAATTATTTTTCAGCTCACTACGAATGGGAAGAAAAAGGTTTTGCCACAGTATTTCACTGCAGACCAGGATAACCTAAATGAAAATATCTGCATTTGATCAATGTGACCTTCTCTTTTGTTTCTCAGAATTGGGGCTTTTGGGACCAGAGGCCAAATTCTCATCTAGATTCCCCTTGACAGACTCCAACAATGGTAAGTACAGCATGCCACCTCCAAGAAGTGGAGGCAATTACACATACAGCAACAGATCTGCAGAAGCTGGGTTTAACAGCCCTTACTCCCAGCTTCTCTCTACCCCATGCACCTCCCTCCAGCATACTGACACAGCTGTTTGCAATGCCACACAGGGAATCCAACGGGCAACTGATCTAGTGAAAAAAAAAAACAAACGGAAAGAAGTTGCACATTTTTGCTCAGGATGGCATATACTTGGACAACTTCTGAAAATCTGCTTAATTATAGCAAAAACGTTTCAAATCACAGAAATCCGATCCTACTGTGCCAACTCATGTAGATTCCTGAGACTGCCACTGTGGTGGCTGCTGCAGTACAAGATGAACAGCCATACATTTAGTTAGCCATTGGATTTCTGGTACTTTTCCCAGGATCAATAGCATAAAAAACTTAAAAAATGTCCTAGAATAAAGGAGTATATATTTTTAGAGATGACTGAATTTAAACCATTTCCTGAGCTCACTGCAAATGCAATGCTCAGCTCTCCTACTTATTTAAGCCTGTATCCAAACAATTGCTTTTACAATACACAGAAAACAGTGAAAAGGTCTACCTTATGTAAAGTCTAATATGCACATAAGACAAAGATGACAAAACAGGAACATGAAGAACTCTAAATGACAGGAAGTAGCATGTGCAAGAAAATCTCAAATGATGGAAGGTACCCAAGTAACGTCCTGAGAAACTTGTTATCTAGTTGCAGAAAAATGAAAAAATATCTATCCTGAAAGACAGAAGAACCTTGTACCTAGAGCAAAACAGTCTGTTATATAGTTAGCTATGAATCAAAAGGGTATATTTGTAGAAAGTCAAAGAGAAGTACTATCTTGTCCTTTCTGTTTGCAATTTGCATTAAGGGACCCTGGGGTTTGGACATGGAATTTTCCCTGCAAACGAGACCTTTACTGAATTTCTCCATTCTTCTGGCAAGATCCTCATTACTATTTCAGAACTGCACAGGGGAAAGAAGGGGGAGAAGAAAAGGAGGGGAATGATTTTTAAGGGTAACCACATCATAGGCATCAAACGTTTAAAAGCTAATGTGCATAGTGACTGCATAAACTGCCATATGATCAGTCCGGCTGTGCAAAATGCTAGGTGATAGGAAAAAATACTGTCAGTCACTCCTCAAATTTGTTTTCCACCTCAATTGTATGTAGTCCAAAGTATGCCTTGATTTATGATAATTATTTTTTTGTTAGGATTTTAGAGACAGATAGCCCTGCAAAGGAGTTATTGTTCATATGGTATTTTATAAAACCAGCATGGGAAAGAGCCCCAACAGTAGTAGGTGATATATTATGCTTATGAAAAAAGTATAATCTTTTCCTCTTGATGACGTTTTAAAAATCCACATATCGTTTCACAACAAACAGATCTGAAAGCAACACTGTCAGAGCAGGAGTGGGGAGCTGGGGAAGGAGAGAGATAGAAAGAGAATGTCTGATTAGTGTGTCCTGGTCCACAACAGAAGAATGAACCAACTGGCACTTACTTCCTCTAAGGATTGGGTCTTACTGGAAGAATCTCACGAATAGAGGATGCATTTACCACCAACTCAGAATTCTCCTCTTTGATTCACAATGAACACAGGAGGTGCAAAGAAAGCAGTGAAACACAAAGTGCTGTCGATTTACTTTAAAAACCCTCTCACAACTCTGACAACAACAGTACTTTTTAAGTTTCATCATGGTTATAATTTTTGAAGAGTATTCTGAACAGCATGGGGTAAAAGAAGGATGAGAAACAACAGTCCAGTTAGGAGACATGTTCTCATTCAACTCTTAGACCCCCAGATACTAAGATAGCAAGATATGCAACAACACAAAGTAACCTTAAACAGACAGATTTTAAAAAGTGTTAAACTGGAAAGAGAAAACCAGAAGCAAACCAAACTGAAAAACCAAAACCACACTTCCAAAACCAGAGGAACTGCACAGGATGGAGGTGTTGCCACCAGGTAGAGAAATCTAAGCTACTGATCTCAAAACAGTTTGTGAAACATTCTTAAAATGAAGCAACACAGATGTTTCCTTCTAAGAAAGGGGAAGACAGTCTAAGCTTTCAGTAACAATGTTTTTGGTAGATTCAAGTTACACCAAGCCAACTGATGTCAAAACAAACAAACAAAATGCAAGGACAAAAACACTGCATAAAAAAGACATTCCCAAACACCCCAGTTTTCCATTTTCCTCTCAGTGCACTTATATTAACATCTCACAAATCTCAGAAAGTTAGCAGAGTAATGCTCTTCATTTAGCACAGAATGTTTCTTTTTTTCAACAGAATATGGAGACACCCAAGACTTAAATGCATTACTCATCTAACTACACAAAGAGCAGAGAAGTAAGAAAACTCACTTCCTAGAGTAATTGCTACACTGCAATGCCAACAACCAAATTTTTTAGCAGTGCAATAGGAGAAAATTCAGAAAATGTATCAGACTATAATCAATGCCAAATGCTATTGAAAACAGTTATGATCCCACTTTCTGTTATTTCTATTAAGTGTACATTCATTCTGTAACATAATTACCATCTGGAGAATTCAGAGACTTACACTTATATAACTTCAGTCTTTTATGAGGCCATTTAAAGGAACTACCAGACAAAAATACAAAGAGTATGTTTCTTCTATCTTCAGTCACCTTCCAAAAAATTAAGTTATGCATAGTAAGGTAGTTAAAGAAACTAGAATGAATGTAAAATACTGAGTCCCTTCTATAAAAGTGATTCAACTAAACATGAATAACATGAAAACATAGAAAAACAAATACTGTCAATGCTGCACATACTAAGTTAAGAATTTTTTTCTACGTTATAGAAATACACATATAGACTAATTCTTATATTGAATGGCTTTTAAACAGATGAAAACACCAGTACAACAACAAGACAAAACACAAGTTTCGAAAAAGGAAAATTAGGACAAAACTAACACTGACAAAGAAAGGCATAAGATGAAAAATACCAGGTTAGATCTTGCAGTGTAGTATACTTCTTCTGAATTGTCCAAAAAATCGCTACTGTCAGGCTGTTCATTAGATAGAGATCAAGAAACTCAAATTATTTATATTGTGACTGAAAGCCAGGTATACATAAATGTAAATTTTCTTGCTAAAAAAAAAAAGAGATATTGTTAGTTGAAATTCAAACCATGTTAAGACAGTTCTCAGGATGGGGGTAAAACAGCTAGGGATATGGTCACATTACCAAACAGTACTGAATCACACCAAAATGATGAATTATTTATTGTTCATCACCTGAGCTGTGGTAATGTGTGACAGACTGTCCCAGTAAGAGGCAAGTACAGCCAGTTCAACATCTCGGTGCACCAATGACAATAACTCCTCATGCTGCAGTGGTCCAGTCCTTTGTGCACTCATACCCACAAGTAACTGAGTGTAAGTTTAAGCACGCTTTAGTGAGACAGAAGCAAAAGCATCAGAACTGCTTTAATGAAAATGGATCCACACTGTTAGTGCTGGAGGAAGAGACAGGCATCTCTTGCTCCCACTTCCATTTCAAAGACTTTTGCTGCCAGAGTGTATAGATTGTTACAAACTTCTCCCATAGACTGGTTTGTACTGAGGCTCTTTGCAAAAGCATCCATTTTCTGAATAGGCCTCTTGTTTGCAATTGATATGCCAATTTAAATTGTCCATTGGTTCTATAGCTAATCCATACCTGTATGTTTTTTCTTTGGTCTCTGGACCCAAAATCATTATTTTTAAAATGATAGTTCTGTTTTATCTGGAAAGAACATATCAGGTCTGCATGCTTCATATTCTGATATAAGCCATGGAGGAGTTAATTTTCCTCTTCAGAAAGATCCAAACAGCTATAGACAGGGAGATCAGACAAGTTCTTTGGACAGGTTTCAAATATGCAATGTCTGACCAGAACAGACAATATGAAGATATTTTCTTATCAACAGAATTAATTTGGACTGTTCATGTCCCTCCTCCAAGAGCTTCTGAGATTCCAAAGTGCAAAGGTCCTGATTGCTAACACACAATGTAGGAAAAGGCTCGATTCCTCCCTTCCAACAACAGCCAAAAAAGTGCTCTGAAAAACTGCTTTAATCCTTGCAGAAAATCTCTCTCCAAGTTTAGCAACTCAGGTTCCTAAGGTGCAGTAAAAACACCACTGCCCCATGGAGTTGTCCAACAACTGGTTTATATAGTCAGTGACTGATAAAAAGAAAGAAATGGGAAAAGTATTTCCAAAACTTCAGCTGCTCCACTAACACCTTTTTGCAATTATGATTCTACGTGTGTATATATGTGCTCTTAATGAGCAAAAGCATTATAATTTGAACTATACATTGCTACCAATTGTATTTTCTTTACAATCCAGAGCATGTAACAGGGAAGCAAAGACAGGGCAACTTGGAATCAGTTCAAAAATAATTTTGAGTTAGCTGGTAAGCTTACAGTAGAAGCCCTGACTGCATTATCATATTTAATAAAATATAATAAAAATATATAAAAAAAAAAGCCTTACATAACCAGGGCTCCTAAATGATGCTGTTACGCAGTTATGTCAAGGTCTAAATAACACGTCTGAAATACCTGTTTAAATCCTACGTGTGATTTGGTAAGCTATTCTCCTTCATCTCAAACAGGCACCAGAAACTGCAGGCTACCCGTTCAGCCAGTTCTGAGGATGAGCAAGATTATACACAACCTCATACACCCAGAGCCAGCTGACCCACTACCAGAGGGCAAAGCACTGGGAAGGAGATTTTAGTACAACTACAGAGCACCACAAGGAAATCTGTGTCAGAAATCTGACTCACATGTGGTTTGTAGACTACACAAGTACATTCCTAGGTACACATCATTCCCAAAACCAACTTGAGGAAAACCAGTGTTCTTCCCACCTATGTACTAAGCCAACTTTTTCACCTTAACACCTGCCTTAGAAAAACAAAGAGAACACAAAAGTCCGCAGTGAAGAAGCAGACTTTTTATCTTTTTATCCAGGAATGTGAAGAAGCTGCCCAAAGTGCACAAATGAGAAAAGCAACACTCTCCACAGAAGAGAGGAATTTGCTGCAATCGTGTGTGTGAGACAGCACTGACACCTTTTCCCCTACAGCTTGAATTCTCACACCCCTTGTATCGATGGGTCCACAGGAAGAAGATACTGGCAATACACCTTCACAGAATACATCCACTGCCTGACTCAGCATGGCTCAGGTGTGATGCAGGGCCACAGAAGGATTATTCACAAAAGGAAATTCTTTTAAAATGCACCATATCTCTCCCCTAATTCTACTCAATTCTACTATTTCCACTGTCAACACAAGAACAACGGAGAGCAGAAGTTGAGTACGCACAGTAACTGTAGAATTAAAAAAAATAACTCCATAAATAAATGGAATAATATCCTGGACAATGAGGTATAAAGGATAAAGGAAACCTACAAGACAAAGTGCTGCTGCTTAGCACACACATCACATCCAGCAGAGCCCACAAACAAGGAGTTTTGCTGCATATAGTGTAATGGCACCAAAGAAACATTATGTTACAATTTGTCAGGAAAATCACGAACAAGTTTAGTAGTGCTAAGGAAGCACGCTACACACCTCCTGCACAGATACTTGCAGGGGATAATGTGCAGAGCGTAGCACATGCTGCTTGTTACTCACAAATTCATGATGTGGCTCTGTCTCTTTCCTCAAAGGTGGATCAAACTTTACTTGACCAACTAAAGAGGAAAAAAGGAAAACAAGAATTTAAGTTGGACTGTGGTTACACAAAATTTAGCTCCCAAGGTTAACAAAAAGAGAAAAAATTAGTTTAATAAGTGTATCATATCCCCACTGATGGAAACTTCTGACACATGGACATAGCCAATTTGTGCCTGCTAGAAACTAATGGGCACAGAAAGTACTCTTTTATCACAAAGGCAGCACAATCACTATTTGCGTCACCTACTCATTATAGGGAACAGGAAAACCATTCAGCAAATAGGGCAGTGAAGTATCTTCTGTAGAGGCGCAATACAGCTGTAATTTATAGAAAAAGCACATCCATGGTGTGAATTCACTACTGAATCTATTCTTTTGGGAGCCTCACTAGCACTAAAGAGTGTTGAATGAATTTTGGAGCAAACTAATCACATTTTCTAGGACACCAGCTTGGCAGAACCTCTTTAACACTTCTCCCCTTAACTTCAGCTTAAGAAAAGACAGCTAAAGCTCTAAGTATTGCTCTGATTTAATTCAAACAAAAGAATTACTGCAATTTGGGGGATGAAGTCTGTTTTCAAAAGCCAGTGATCAACCTCCTCCCTTCCTGATCTCTATGTGACTGTTTCAATTCAAAAGTGAAACAAAGATGATTAAGGAAAGAAAAAATATTCCTTTGCCATTCTGTTACCCAGCTGAATCTGGCTTTGGCCTGAATATCCTGGCTGGAGTGGCATACAAAGTTATATCAATCAGCTGTCAGAAGAGCTCAGTTTGTGTCCTGTTCAATTAAGATGAAGTAATAGTGGGCCTTGCAGAAGTGCTGACAAAGGGTGTAGCCAAATATTTTACAATATTTCTTTTGCATAGTCATCTAGAATCTGTACACTTAAGTGAAACAGCATGTTTTTATTTTCCTATACATCATTAAAAATGTTTCTATGTATATCAGATACTCAAAATACCAGTTGAAATAGTAACCATGATTATTTTAAGAATACTTCATATTGTCATATCACATATGCTTACAGTTTATTTCAGAGCGTGTCTTTTCTTCTCTTCCATTTCTACTTGTTGAATGAATTCTGTGAGGCACTACCAGAGGCTAGAAGTGAAAAATAAAATATTTCAGTACCAAAATATGCTCACTTGAAAACCAGTATTGTCTGACAGTTTTTAGCAAGTTTCTTTAGCATAGTATCAAAAAAGGAAAGAAATCAAGTGAAAGCTAAATATAAATATTGCATGCAATTTTTTATACTTAAGGTTAGAATTATTTAGAGACATTTCAACTCTTCAACTCTTCAAGATAAGAGTTTTTAGAACATCAGATTTGAGCAAATATAAAGATAATGCTGGCCAGCATTTGTCTTTGTTCATATAGCATTTCCTTTTTTCACCATTCAGCTTAAGGTAGTGGTAGTTTTTAAAAGAAGCAGCAAGATTAAATCTGACTCAGTTGGCAGCATTTCATTCCTAAACTAAACTGATTCCTAAAAAGTCATCAATTAGGTTCTTTAAGTAATGAGAAATTTGCCTGAGGTTTTCAAAGTTGAGTAGAAAGGTGTATTCCTGGTACTCTCAATGCTGTGTGGCAAGAGAGAAAGCATAATTCCTACATATTCACCTTCATATTTATATTCCACTTCTATTTTTTCCCTGAATTTCCATTTACTTCTCTAAGGATGAAGTATTCTGAACTTTTAAGACTTAGCTTTTTTTTTTTTTTCCCGTTGGATTTTCTCTCTGCTTTCTACAAGCACTGCTGCAGGTTCTCTTAGAAACCATAATTTAAGATTTCTTAACAAGAGTACGAGATCAGTTGACAGCTGTATTGTCCTAGTTTTGGCCAGGACCCAGGGGTTATTCTACACCACCTCATGTCATTTCCAGGGGTAGGGGGAAAGAGCTCTCTGGCTTCTGAGAAGAAGGGAGTGGCTTCCAGTCAAAACACATGGCAGCACCGTCAGCTATTGTTCATTGTTTGGGGGTCTGCAGTGAACATTCTTGTATGTGAATCACCCTATCTTTGTACACTTCTGTTATTAATATTGTTGCTGTTACTGTTCGTTTTCTTATCTCATTGCTGTTTCCAGTAAATTTTTCTTATCTCAGCTTGTAATCTCCAACTTTTGTGCCTCTAATTCTCAACTCCATCCCATGGGAGCAGGAAGGGGGAGCAAGCAAGCGGCATGTGGTTTGGGAGACTGTCAGTGGGGGGCAGTGAATTGGGGAGTACCATTCCTAAACCACAACATGTATACAATCAGGTCCAAAATTAGCAACACAAATCCTAACATTATGCATTCATATGTCCTTTGTAATGAAATCTTACTTTTTAGAAAAAAAGTTGTTTTTCCACAGTGTTAGCCCAAGTAATCTCTGAAAAGCGCATGTTCGCTCTGTTTCTGTGTTGAATATGTGGCAGCAAAACAATTTTTAATTAAATCAGTCTGATGCTATGATGTGCTGGTATGTTAGCTTTGCTTTGCTTTTATATACAATAATTATATTCTTCACAGGGCAACTTTTGACTACAAAGTGCTGACAGTTACAAAATGTCAACTGCTGTACTATCACAGAGAGTCACGAATAGCTCAGCAACTCTGTTTACTCCTCAAATACTATCTGAAAACTTCATCAATTTTCATCACACACTACTACCTTCCTTCCCATTAGGATCCAACACATATGTACATGGTGTTCCACCTCCCATTTATGTTCATTTTGCTCTTCTTTGAAACAGGAAAGACTTGCAGGTTGTGGGTATGTATTTTCTCCCACATATCTCATCGGCAGTTTTTTGTTTCTCACAACTTATGTCAATCCTCTCCTTCTACAGTTTCGTTTTGTTTATTGTGCATTGCTTGGGGCTTAAAAAATGGTTTGCTGTAGCTCAGAATGCATTTCAAGTGCATCTAAGTGCTGAAAGGTTGCTTATTTATAATCTTTTATTAAGAGGCACTATCCAGCTGTGTATGATGTGTGTGCATCTGTAATGCCAGCAGAAACTGTAGGGGGGCTGGGAGGTATTTTTGCCTTTGCAGTGATATTCTGAGTCCGTGCATCCTGACACAGATGTCTGTGTTGCACAACAGACAGAGCTTGCCCTCATACCACCTTCTCCAGACCAGAGAATTACGTGAAGGAGTCAAATCTTCATCTCTCAGTCACAAGGACTAAGTCCTCAAGTCACCTTGAAATACATACACTGACAACGAGCTGATACAAACACCTGACATCTGAGCTGTGCAAGAGGACAAAGGAATGTAGGTTAACTTCCCGACACAAAATCCTTTTGGTCACAATTTCCATCATGGTACAGATCTCAAAAGCAATCTTATCCCCAAAACTTAGACTGTACTAAGCATAAGGCATGAGCACTTTCCTCTTTGTAACCTTTTCGGCTAATATCACATCCATCATGAGAATCACTGTCACAGAAATGTGATGAACAGGCAGGTGTCAACATCTTCAAAGCTTTATTCTTAAGGGAGTGAAAGCAGAGTCTCAACTGGAAATCCTGTCTATGACTGAAAGGGAAACTAAATGAAGAGCTCCCAGGGGTAGGGAATGTCCGTTTCAGATACTGTTGCCAAATAAATAGCAACTGTATGAACAGAAGAAGCTTTCTGATTATATCCAAAGGATGGTATGGTTTTTGTTTTGTTTTTACACATTAAACATTTCACCTCTGAGTTTAGAATGATTTAAAGATGTAGTATGGCATTCCTCAGAGGTGGCAAATTCACATCTTAATCTCTACTTCACCAACACAACTCTGCAGACTATCCAAGCAGCAACAGATTGTATCCCCATAAAAGCAGCACAGGCCAAGTGAAGAGCTCGCAGTACAGTGGGCAGCAGACTTGACTTCAAAGACCACCAACAGACAGAAAAGCTCTCGAGCCTCCAAAAATGAAAAACAATCCACCAAAAAAAACCCCAAGACACTAACACCACCACCCCAAAAAATACAAAACTCTAAACAAATTGGGGAGGTCTGAGGCTCAAGATTCTCACCAGTGTTTTCGAACTGTGTTATGCTGCACCTTGTTTTGTCACTTCTTTTGATTTTTGATGGATGCATTCAGGGGATTGCCACAAGTACAGGACTGGTTAATCCCTAAATTCAGATGAACATCTCCAGCTGCCTCTGTGAGCAGGCAAGTTTTGGAGCAAGTTCAATTTTGTATAAAAGGAGCACATACACTTCTTATTCCATTCATTTTATTACAGGAAAGACCACAATGCCAACAACTGCTTTGCCTGTGGCGAGGTTCTTTATCTGAAATACAAAACTTGCTCAAAATGCATTAGATAATTCATTACTACCTGCTTTATTCGCAGAGATGAGTCCCAGACTTACTTAATACAAAATAAAATGTTTTTCCAAGTGTCATATCAACCTCACTTTGTGGGAGCCTTAAATACCTTAGCGGAAAATTATCCAGCAACAAAGTAGGGGAGAAATGCCTCTTACATCTAAGTAAGAGACATCATTCAGTGAAAATGATCCAGCAGCACAGGTAACAGCACAGGAGAGCTCAAGGCCACATGATGAACAGTGATGGAGAAGTATCAGTGTGCGTAACACAGAAGCCCACAAATGCGGCAGGAAACCATCAGCAATGTAAGATAAACAACAAATGAACTAGTATCTGAAAAATGCACAGCTAAAGACACACCAGTGGCGTGCTCGCCCTCCGTACTGTCAGCCAGTCCAGCTTTTTTTAAGCGACAAAATTAGGTATTTTCTCTGATCACTGCTGGGAGGTTGTTTTCTCTTTGTTTTCTCCCCAGACGAGGCATAGCTTTTGCTCCTGATACCACACTCCATTATGGGATAACTGATAAGTAATATACTAGACAACAGAAGACCCTTCTTAATGCTAAGTCACAAGGGACATAAAAGTGTGAACACTATTTTGTAAGCTACAAGTAACTATCAATAAAATGTGTACTGAAGGGACTTATTACAAGAAGAGGAGAGAGATTCTCCATCTGATCAGCCCAAAATGAAGGACAAGACTCCTACTGAAAAGGTACACCTGTGACACAGAGGAATGGTACACGGTTTCACTACAGTTTCCAGAAGAGCAGAGAAGATTCACAGATCTGAGCCGCTCATTCACAGGAAGCACACTACCTTTCTTCTTATGAGAGCTCATGAAAGTTTTGGTTTTCTGGTTTCCACAGAAATACCACTTTAACAGGCCTCCGAGCTCTTGCTCATCATTGAGCAGAGAGGGAACTAAAAGACACACAATCCTTAGAACTTATGGTAAGGAGAAGATCCACATTGCTCAGTGCTGCTTTCATCAGGAATCAGACACCTTTCTCTTAACAGTGATGTGAAAGCCAACCACACTAAGGGATTTTTTGTGTGTTTGACTTTCTTAAATATTTTTTATCAGAAAAATCTATTAAATTTGCTCCACTGTGTGCATTTGCTTTTAAAAGTATTAACCATTATTCAGTCATCATGCTTTCCTCTCCTCCTCTCTCATTTAGAAAATATGCACTGCACTCAACAACACAAAAAATTATCTATTTCACTTTGGCTTCTTTCTACATTTTTTTATTTCAGCTTCTAAGAAAGACTCTGTGCATGTCAACTGGTCTTTGCTGTTCCAGAAAGTAAAAGTTCATTTAACTTGTAAAATTTGAAAATTAATCTATTAAAGTAGTTGCTTCTTTTAAGCTTCTTTTCCCTTGAAGGCATTTTTAGACTAGTTTACCAATTAAAAAACCAAAAGTATGTAATTATGGAATAAATGGCATTTGTGTTGAAAGGATTACATTTTTTCTTCCAAAAAAAGGCCATCAGTTAGGGAACAGTAAACATTTGGACAGTATTCACTAACATGCAGTAAAGCACACGACAAGATGAAGTACCAGAATATCTGTTTTCTCTTATTTATTAAACACTTCAGTTCTGCACTGTTTATCGTCTTACATAAGCAGGCTTTTTCCCAGCTGTTAAAGCCAAAAATCAGAAACTTTGCCTTTGACAAAACCACAAGTGAAATCAAATTTCAGAGTATTCTAAGATCAAAAAATACCATCTGCAAAAAAACACACATCGAACCATTTGACAAAAACAACTACAGGATCATACTCTCCCCTACACAGGTATAAAATTATTTTTATGAAAATGCTTTCTTTGCAGATGAATGGAAACATAACTCCACAAAGATACAGTAGAACACATGACAAAACTCAGGCCTGGAGAAGCAGATCACATTTACTGTTGCAAAATTGTTGAAGAACAACAATGAACAAAATTTTAAAGTAGTTACACCTCCTTAAGGTTCTCTTCCTCAAGTATAATGACTTTTGTTAAGTGCCTGTACATGTGACACAGCAGCACAACCAAAAGCAAAAGCAACCTTTGAGACTATTCCCAGATAACAATACATTCTGTGGCTCAATAAATCATTATAATTTAGTTTTGCTGGCAAACAAAAACTTAATCTGATTCTATGATTAAAATATATTCCTACCTCAGGATCATCATCATCAAAATCATGGTAAGTGGAATGATCAGGATTATTCATTTTATCCAAAAGTTCAATGGCAAGACTTCGATTTAATGGCTGAGTAACAAAGGGATGCTGAAAGACAGAAGGAAACACACAGAGTAAAATTCCAGCCACTCATATTAAGCATTACAATATATATTATATATATAATAATATAAGTTATAATTTTATAATTTAAAAAAAAATCCCATACATAAATTTATACCTGTAGCAATTTTTCAGCTGTAGGTCTCTTTTTAGGATTTTTTGTAAGTGCCATTTTCACAAAATGATGGAAACTATTGGACCTGTAAAATGAAGTGCTAAACATTAAAATCAACTGCCCAGCAAAGTACATTAATTATCTACTGAAACAGAAAAGTACTTACCATTTCATTTTGTCCTTTAATTTAGGAGGCTGGAAGTTGCTTTTCGTCATTAGAAAAAGTGCTCTGAAAAAGAAAACAACAGTATTTCTGTGGTTACATTGCAATATATATGAGATTACCTAGGTAGCCTCATCTCCTCACATAGTAAGATTGACGGGGAGAAAGACAATAGATTAGCAAAGGCATATAGTGCTATTGGAAAACTCCACAAAAGAGTATGGCATAATAAACACTTGAAGAAAAGCACCAAGATCAGTGTTTACAGAGCCATAGTGTTGTCGACTCTCTTATATGGCTCCGAATCATGGGTCATCTACTGCCACCACCTGCATCTCTTAGAATGCTTCCATCAACGCTGCCTCCGCACAATCCTAAACATCCACTGGTCAGACTATGTGACCAATACATCTGTTCTAGAACAAGTAGAAGTTACAAGTATTGAGGCATGTTACTGAGAACACAGCTATGTTGGGCAGGGCACGTCTCCAGGATGAAGGATCACCGCCTCCCTAAGATCTTGCTTTATGGTGAACTTGCCACTGGCTGCCGCATGAGAGGAGCCCCGAAGAGAAGATACAAGGACTCCCTGAAACAACATCTCAGCCTTGGCCATATTGATCACCATAACTGGTCTACTCTGGCCTCAAATCGAGAGGTCTGGAGACACACCATCTATAACACTGCTGCTTCCTTTGAGAACGCACGCAGGGTCACTCTCGAGGAGAAAAGATAACGCAGCAAGAATCGTGTCTTGCAGAATACACCATCCAAGGAGTCTTTCTGCTGCCTTTTGCAATTGGCTATGTCTATCTCGTATTGGCCTCATAAGCCACCAGCGTGCCTGTAACAAACGTGGATAGAGCCTTCCTAAATCTTCATTCGCGAAGCCTGGCCATGATGGTGATGATGATGAGATGAATTATTAAATATGTTATTTAGTTGGCAGTAAGAAGTCCCATCAGTTTAAGAGATGCAACCAGGACAACATTACACATTTATGCACCAAAAAGAGTTGTTAGAATCTCTATCCTGTTCATTCAGAACACTTACAGCTCAAGGCCCTTGCAGCACACCCAAACACCACAAACCCCCTCACCAAGTAGATTATTTAACAAGCTGTATTTACTCACCAAGATATAACCCCTTACTAACCTCATTGGATGTAGGTCAAACATTGGAGGTTGAAGTTCAGCAAGCTCTATAGCAGTTATTCCAACTGCCCACAGATCACAGAGTTGGTTATAGCCACCTTTTCTTTCTACTGCAGCAACTTCTGGTGCCATCCTAAACGATAAAAGATAAACGATAAAACATGCTTCTGTACAGAGTAGTACTCTCTTCCCTAAAGCTCTCAATCCGTAAGTTCACAGCATATACATGAGTTCATATATACAGATACACTTAAGTGTGTGTGTAAAAACGTAATGTATACGTGAAGTTTTCCTCAATCATCTTCAAGTAACTAATAGGCAGTTTCTAAAATGGTCATTTAGGAGTAAGTGGATGAAATCAATCTGTCTCAGGACTTTTTTGCAGGCACACAACAAAACATTACTCAACAACCAAAGAGTCTAAAGTACAATACAACTACAATAATATCAAAATAATATCCAAATTCACACATGGCCCCAGAAAGTGATCAACTGGCTTCGAAGAGAAGAATTCTAACAAAAGAAAAAGTAATAAAATGTCAGCTTTCCTGTATCCCGAATGCATGAGACCTGAAGACTCACTGTCACCTCTGTACAGAGCACTCCTTGCTTGTAAAGTCTGTCTCACTCATGTCAGGTCACCTCATTTAAGTTAACAAAGTGGTTTCACATTCTGAGGTGGCAAAAATTAACAAACATAACCAGCACATAAATAGGGATACCTAAAGGAAATGATTCACTAGGCATTGTCACATGTTTTGAACGGCCAATGTGAATTACGAATTCGATTGTCCTACGTAGTTCTATCAGCTGGCTAACATGTTAGTATTTTTTTACCTTTGAACTTTATCAGTCTAGATCACCTGAAAAATAGCAGTAGATCTGGAGACATAACTCAATACATGTATGACAGGTGAATGTCGCTTAGCAAGTGCTCCAGTAAATCAGCAAGCAGCATCTCAAATGATGCATTATTCAAGTACAGGCATCCTGTGGCCACAGCACCAAGCCTGAGAGTTCAAGAAGTGTTTGACAATGCTCTCAGGCACACGGTGTGACTCTTGGGGATGCCCTGTGCATCTTTGTGGGTCCCTTCCAACTCAGCATATTCTGCATTTCTGTGATCCTTATCTGTAGATCTGAAAACATCAGCAGGTTTGGTGGTAGAACTTATTTCAACTTTGCATAGCTAAACTGTATTTAGATAAATTTCTTCCAGAGGGCATTAAAGATACCAATCACTCTAAATCAAAAAGGAGAGAGTTACCAAGGTAGAGGGGGAACATGGGTTAAACATGGCAAATAGGACGGTTACTAGCACTAAAGACTGTGCACAGCAGTTCACGTGTCCTGATACCTCTAACGATCACTAAAACCTTCACAATATTCTGTCTGCAGCTAAATTTTCTTCTCCACAATCTCAAAAATTTTGCTTTGCTTCTGCTCTCAAATCTCTGAGATTTGGCAAAACAACGGATGCTTTTCATCAGCATTTAACCCATGTAATGCTTTCAAAGTTATTATTTAAGGTTGTTTGAGAAGCCTGGCACAATTTGAAAGTTACAGTCTCTCATCCAGATATCTTGGGAAAGAGTCACAAACCAAATCACACAATCATGACTGATGGGTGTTTGTGTCATTCTGAAAGGGAAGTGAAGCCTTGGCGTGACTTACATTGCAGAAGAATGCTAGAAATACTATGCTTGATTATTTCAAGTCAATACTTGAATGTAGCAGTTTTTCATTATGTACATTTTTGTCTTGTAGCTACTATGCTGTCAGACTACAGAATTTTTAATGTCTGTCTGGGAAATGTACAACAAAAGTGCTGCTTTAGAGTGAAGAATGTGTCTCATTTACTTCAATGTGAAAGGGAACAACCGCTTCCAGCGTGAAGGGGATAAAATGAAAGGCTAAACTTCAGGTAAGATAAATGATACAAACTAGTTTAATGTGGGAAGAATAAAGATGCAGTACAGATAAACAGAAATGTATCACAGAATTCAATCAGTTTAAGCAAATAAGGGGAAAAATGGCTCAGAGGAACAGTTCAAAAGTGGTAAAAGAATCTGTGGATTTGTGCAGACAAACAAATGAAGCTCATTATCAACGAAAAGTTGCAGAAAAGCTGTATCTAGGCTGGAGGGAAAGAAACATAAAACATCAAAATGGAAAATCAGGAAAAAAACATTTAAGATCAAGGTTAAAAACAAAATTGTGGATAGTTTTTAAGTTTTACTAAATTAAGATAAATTGGTCAGTGATGAGGGCAGTACACAGCCTTTTAGTTTTTCAGAGCATTAAAGCATTTTCTCTGATACTCGGCTAATTCAGGATTTGGCATAAGTAACACAGAAAGTCTGACACAACCTTTAGTGATCAGTCTACCCATGCTTTTCAACACTATTATATTTGTTACTGTTATATTAATGGCCAAGTAAAACACAGTTACCAATACGGGGTGCCAATGAATGATTTCCTTTTGGCAATTGTAGCCGTTATCTGTGCAGATACTCCAAAATCAGCTATTAAAAAAAGGCAAAAACAAAATGACAATTAACAACTGATTCGATATAATTAACTGATAATGAACACAAGTTTGGCTTCTCCACGGTAAGAGGTTATTAAGTATACTGGAAATATTTAACAAAAAATAAATAACAAAAGCAAATAATGGAAACTTGGTATATCTCAGATACCATCAGTCAGCTCCCCCCAGTCACTTGCCAAACGTGCACACAAACATGTCCCTCATCCACACACGGAAGAACAGGCTAACACAAAAGATCTAACAGTTACAGGAAGTTTTTTAATATGATAAAATATATATTTTTTTTTTGTTATCCAAGAGATTCTTTCAGATAACCTTTCAAGGTACACTTCATATTTAAGCACTCTTAAATGGGACATTTTATTAAAACCTCATAAACCCCTGTGATTTGAATTTTATCTCCCCCTTACAGTATCAGAAGGTCTTTTTTACCTCACTGTTCCAAAACAAATCACATTAATCTTCAGATGCTAATTGGATGGTATAGTTAGATATTATCAGCAAGACAAAAAGAATTCTGATATTCACTAATTCCTTACATGAACCATCACTTCATTAAACAAAATAGAGCATACTGCTTCCCAGAGCACATAAAAATATTAATAGCACTAAGTTGTATTTACTCACCTAATTTTACATGTCCGTTATCCGTTAAAAGAATGTTTGCTCCCTTTAAAAAGAAGTAAGTATACTTAAATTAAAACATGTGGATTACTCCAATACCATATTACAAAAAATTATGTGAGATCTTAAGGCAAACTAGGGCCAAAGACAAAGCAAGGACTGTGTTCAGTAAGTCTGCAGTCTTACCAAGGAAATGTTTGTGAAATTAGCAAGTTACCATTCTGTTATATAAAAAATACCCCTTGGATATACAGGGCTTTTCATTACTTTTTCATTTAGCCTATAGTACTACAGAGTTTTGTATTGCACACAAAAGCTCTCTCAAAAGACACAGTACGATGATTTGCCTATGCTGATTAATTCTTACTTTTTTCTATTTACAGTGACTGAAAGGAAATGGGAACTCTAAAGGTCAAAGCGGAAACAATTTGATTTTCTTTTCATAAGTAGGAGCTGGTTTTGTCTTGTTTGAGAGCTATGCTTATAATTATAGCCTTAAGGACCTGCCTCGATATTCAAGTGCTTAGCAATCCTTAAGTGCTTTCCATCCTTATGAAACAGAGATTCTGTTTAGTGCTAGATTTGAAGAGTTCATTTTTGTGTGGCTGTATGTACCACTCACTTCAGCTCAATAACCAAAATTATCCCAAAGTGGAGGTTTGTACCATAAAATTACAAGATAAAAGGACCAAGAACAAACACGATTTGAAGACTGAAACCAGGTACAGGTTGAGTTGAGTGAAGGCTAGAGCTGGCTAAACACAGCTCCAAATGTCAGCACTGCCCATCAACTAGATGGAAAGGCAGCAGAGATGAACCTCCAAAAATATGTTTTTACAGATTATGGCTTTTCACAGAGAAGGAAAAGTCAGGCCTGCAGTGAAATGCAACTAACTTGGCACATGTTGCACAAGTACAGTTAATGAGCCTTATTAGATGGAGCTCGGTAAACAGTGTGACAGCCCAGTTTACATGCTCTTGACCTTGTTAACCTTTCGAGACCAACAGAACAGGTACTCTAAATATGTAACTTAGCTACTGAGGGAAGCAAACACAATTCAGCAGTCAGGCGATCTGCAGATGAAGACAGTACTTTTCCATGCTCACAAGAACAGCTTTTTTTAAAAGAAATAACTCTCAACCTAAGCACTCTAAGCATTTATTATCAGCACAGTTCTGCTTAGAAAAGTATCTGTGCACTGTATACTTACAAGCATAATTTTGCATTCTATAAAGTATAATGGAAAATATTTAATTTTGGTGTTCAAAGTAATCTTTCATTCAGAAATTATTTTTATGATTGCTCAAACCCCAAATACTCTTCTGCAGCCAATGAGAACAATTTGGAATCAGGCTGCATGACAGCAATCTCAGTTGAAGCTGCTATATACATTGCATTCCTAGTCTGGAAAAAAAACAAACCAAAACCAACAAAACCAACAGCATGAAACAACACAAAGGAATATGATAATTTAATGTCAGATTTCCAGGAGGAAGCTTGCCAGGTTTAAGCTGCAGTCTGAGCAAGGAAGAGTTTGGAAAGACTAGGCAGTAAAACTCCTGGAACAAAAAGTCAACAGGAAGCACCAGAAGGAAACTATAACAGAGTGTAAAAGTCTGAACAAGCTGCTTTTGATATAGCTTTGCTGAGGTGAAGATTTAAATAAGTCAGTGCTAATAGCCTGATTTGCAGCACCTTCTCTATTTTTAGCATGCGAGGGAGGGGACAGGAGCAGCCTCCAAGAACCAGGCGTAACAGTAGCCACTGCCCTGCAATCTGCTCACCAAGAAAAGAAGCAAGAAGCCAAAACAACAGCTCTGCTCAGAAGCTGGTTCAAAAATAAGGGTATGTTGAGCTTCTTGGAAAAGCTACGGGAAAGCGCAAACCTTTCTTTTGCACAGAGCACACCCTTACAGCCACCTGAACATACTGCTCTGCACACCAGCTGATGTCTAAATTTTACAGCACTGGTCTAAATAAACAGTAAGTGTGGCTCCAATGAAAAGAACAAACTGTTTCCATGCATGTATTTTAAAGAAAGTTTTTTTCCCCCCCCTCCCTTGGGAAAAAGCCCTACATGTTCAAAAGTACACACAAAATTGATACATAACAGTAAAGACCACTGGAGGTGACGTAGCCTATTTAAAAGCACAAAAATTCCTTTCAGTTTTTACTTACCTTTATATCTCTGTGCATTTTTCCTTTACTGTGAAGGTAATACAGTCCCTGCATAAAATATTTAGATAATACTTTAGTCCAACATTTTTCATTTTATATACACCTCTCACTTAATTACCAGATATATTTAGGATCCAATTCAATCATCTAAATGACTCACTGACTGAAGAACATTTTTATATTTCAATGTATCCTGCTGCAAATTTGCAAATCCAAAATATGTAGTAGCATATTCTTTAAAGAATCTTTAAAGAAAGATATTTAAATATTAGATATTTATCTAGTATCTAAAATGCAGGATAGTTGGAAGTAATAACCAGTCACCGCATCTGTTGGAAGAAGAGTATTCCCCAACCAAGTTTTCCTCTGGACATGGTAACTGTCACCTTTTCAGACCAAGCCAATTACTGTTAAACTGCCTAACAGTCTTCTATTCAGCAGTCAGATCACAGGATTACTGAGGTTCTCTCCTATACCATTACACACTTCAATCAAGCCTAGAAACATGCCAGCAGGCAGTGCTTTGGGTCTAATACTGGAGTTCAACTCTATTTCATGGATTTCCGCAGAAGCATTAGGCTGTCTTTCTGGGTCTCATGACTACCAAAACATTTTAAGACTCAACACAAGTTAGAAACTAAGTTTAAATTTTGGAAAAATACTATAAAACCGAATCCCTGCACGACAAATCATAGACCATGTCACTTTTGACACTCCAGGCTTATCTCTAAAATTCTCTTCCAGGGGTAAATCAACACATAAACATCTTCCTCGCTCTGTGACCATGAACCTCCATAAGGTTCTACGTTCACAAGAGATCTCTGTCAAGACAGAAATTTTTTTTTGCCAGTTCATGCAAGACACCATGGAGTTGACTGCAAAAATAAATTAGGATTGTTTTCAATTATTAGCATTTCCACAGATGGTCAAAATATAACAACAGGAAAAATGAGGAAACACGTGACTTGGTTCTGGAGATTTCAAGTGAACAACATTGTACAGACAGACAACAGTACCCCCGAAGATACAGTTTTGGAGAAATTTTTGGCAGTTCATTATGCAATGTAGCTGATGTGCTAATCAGTTATGAAATTCAATTCCTTAAACTAAAAAAGCAAAAAGCTCCACTCACAGATGCTTTAACCTGTTTCTCTGGGGGACATGACTAGCAATACCCAGTTGGTTCAATGGTTTTTAGGAGTCCTCACTGCAAGCATGCACACAGACCCAAAAATTGCACTTGATTTGCTTTTTGCACAAAGTGTAATTCATCAAATCATCTACCAGACCATTGTAACAACTGGCATTAGCTAGAAGAGTCCCACGTACACTCCTTAAATCTCTGGAGGCTACTGGAAGTCCATCAAACTCACACACTTTTACTACTGCCTTGAAAGAATTTGAGGTCACTGTTTTCAAACCTGAATGCCTGGACACAGGTACTTTAAAGGTCATATTTAAAAGACCTGTATTTTCAAAACCGATCTCACTGATTCCAACCAAAATTGATAGTGAGTGTTTTTTGAAAATGGAGGATTCAATTGGCTTCTAAATGTGAAGACTGTATGGTAACTTTAGGCATCCAAGTGAAACTCTGGATTCATAGAAAGTGGTGGCAAAATTAATGTTGGACAAATTACTTTTATTTTATAGGAAAAGTGATGTTGCATTATAAAATACAAGATATCAGAAACTATATACATTATATTTGGTCAGAGTACTAGAAGCATGTATTTACAGACAAATTAAAATATACAAAAATGGGTCCAGAAATAACACTTAAATACATACAAAACAGCAAGTTTCTTTCTCACAGACGATTTATCCATATTGATCAAGATATCTTCCCCCACAATAAATGCTTTCATAAATTCCATTCTAGACTACCGAAACACTCCTCCATATGCTGAGAAGATTACAGATTTGATTGATGGACTATCTGGTGGATAAGAAATTGCCTAGATGATTGTATCCAGAGTAGTAGTCAACACCATGAAGTCCAGATGGAGATGAGTGACAAGTGGTGTCCCTCGGGAGTCCTTACTAGACTGTTTAATATTCTCCCCCTCTACTCTGCTCTGGTAAGACCCCATCTGGAATGCTGCATCCAGCTCTGGAGTCCTCACCATGGGAAAGACACGGACCTGTGAGAGAGAGTCCAGAGGAGGGCCACAAAAATGATCAGAGGGCTGGAGCACCTGTCCTGTGAGGAAAGGCTGAAAGACTTGGGGTTAATCAGTCTGGAGAAGAGAAGGCTCCAGAGAGACCTTATTGTGGTCTTTCATTTCCTAATGGGCTCTTTAAGAAAGATGGGGACCAACTTTTTAGTAGGGCCTCCTGGAATAAGACAGACAGTAATGGTTTTGAACTAAAAGTGGGTAGATTCAGACTAAATATAAGGAAGAATTCTTTTATAATGAGGATGGAGAACCATTGGAACAGGTTGCACAGAGAGGGGGTAGATGCCCCATCCCTGGAAACATCCAAGATAAGGCTGGACAGGGCTCTGAGCAATCTGATCTAGTTGAAGATGTCCCTGCTCATTGCAGAGGGATCTTCAAAGGTCCCTTCCAACCCAAACCATTCTACAACTCTATAAGAACAAAGGGTTTAAAGGTTCAAAAACCTTCACACTCCCAGATGCCACATAAGCCTTCACTGTAAGAGAAAAAAAGACATGTCCCGTAAGTCAGAAGTCAGCAATCTCTAGCACAGGATAGGGAGATGGTAAGTGGCAACCAAGGGAGATAGCCCAGGAGCAGAGCTATCGTGAAAGAGTGTTTGAGAAAGGCAGCAGCTCTCAACTGATGGCATTCAACAGGTTGCGTTCACTAGAAGAACTACTCTCTCACATGGAAGCAAGACACCCATCAAAAAAGCACTTCCTGATTAAGTTTTACAGGTGTACTGAACCTGTAATTTAAGAAAGAAAAACGAAAGCTAGCAAATCCACAGGGAGAGGATAGTGACCTTAACCTGAACATCTCAAGTACGTAGGCAATTTTTTCTTATTAGCACAGATTAACTATTAGATATGCAAACTGAGTGCTTAAATTTTCCTCCAAACCTACAATAACTAATTTATATTGCAAATAGGAATTAAGAAAATATGCTGCTTCTCTGCTTTTTAAAACAAACATAAAATAAATAGCAAAATGATGACAAGAGTTTTCTTCAAATGATCCAGGTAATTTGAGGTTATAAGCTATAATATGGGACCTCCTCAAAAGTCTGAGAAAAATGCTATGTCATCCAATTACCTTATTTCCATGGCATCACATGTTATCTGTAGCTTTTACTTTTAACCCTTAATACTTTTACATTAAAAATCAAAAACAAGAACACACTACCTGTAGTGTTTCTCTGCTAACATAGGCAATTTGCTGTTCTGACAGTGGTCCAGTCACTGAAATGAAAGGGAAAAAAAAATAAATCTCAAAATTAGGTAAGATACTGCCCATTCCCAATTCATACCTCAATTACTTCCATTCACATTGATAGGATCTTACACTGTAAACCTCTAAGTAAATGTGCTTAGTTTTTACTCCAGACCAACCATCCCAAAGACCACTAAACACTTTTTAAACTCAAAAACGTCCACTCCCATTGGAATGGAAAGTACTAATTCCTTCCATATATAAATCTCATCATAATTACAAGGAAAAAGAAACAGAAGCAATGATTTAAGCACAACTCTTTTCCCTGCACAAACCCATTGTGTCCTTCTGTGGAAGGCTGGACTTCCAACTCAGTGACTCAGATCTGCGGCAAACTTTGTTCAGTTCCCTTTGAGCCCTGAGCAGTTCTCTGTACATTTGTGACCTGCTCTCTCCTTCCATCCTCCTCACTGCCACACAACCTGCTCTCTCCAGCTTCTCAACCCTTTTCTGAAATGAGCTATCAGCACTGTTGCTCCTGGGCCTGCCACACCAAGCACCTTCTCAAACTCTCCCTGTGAGCAGTTTTTCAGCAGTTTCCCAAGGGAAGGAGGGGTCTTCCTCTCCCTCCAGGGTCCAACTTCATTCAAGTCTCTTAAAGGAAAACAAATTCTCAATAAATACGCAAACCAAACAGCGAACAGCAAGCAAGTAACGGTCTGTTATTTGCCCCTAGTCACTGGACTTTGATCCTGAAATTAAAGGGGTTTAAGACCAGGAAATACAGTCCCCCCACTGTAAGCTTCTCATGTTTTGCAGAGAAAACAGAGAAGTTGGATGGAGTTTCTCAAAGGATGCTGAAGGAGTAAGGAGTTAAGAATGAATCTAGATTGAAGAATCTAACTGCTAAGCTTCTACAAAACCATAACATTAGTATCATGCAACACATATCTTCAAAACAAGTCTAAATCTAACTTCCCTTTCCTGAATGAAAAGCTCCAAATCCACACAAAACTATATATATTGGCACCCAGTGTACATATATCTAGGTATCTATGTTTATTCTGAGAAATTAAATTCTGATTACCTTAAATGACATAAGATTACAGAGGCCTATAGTTCATTTGGAATAAGAGTCTTTAGAACATAATAAAGATCAGAAAAGAACCTTCCATTCTAACCATCAGCAGAGAAGCCGGAAATCAGCTGCAAGGGAAACCACTCCTGTATGGCATCTGTTCAGGCATTTATGTGGCATGAGCTCATTTCCTACTCTACAGGTGTTCCACATAACAAAGTCTATTAAACATGACATTTTCCCAAAATTAGCAAAGATGTAAAGGCTCAACAAGGTCACATTCAAATGACTATGCCATGAGCATGGTGTGAACTTGTGAATTGGTGCTTGTTTTAGTTGCACCCAAGTTATATGTAAAGACCTCTTTGAGCACAAGAGAAGATTCTCACATGTAAAATCTTCACAATTCCTCTCTGAAAAACATCACTTGGGAACCACAAAGCCACAGCACACTTCTTTCCCATGCAAGTCTTAATTCCAGGGCAATAAAATCCCTCAAAACTGATGGTCTCCTGAAAACTAGTGATCAATTTACTAATCTCTCCATTATCAAATACATTCACACACAGCCCTTGTTTCTTTGACCACTCACTGCAGCCAAGCCCAAAGCAAATATATAGGCCACCTTTCCTTTTCACGTGTCACAAAGCCAGCATAAAAAAAAAGGGTAATAAAAAAGACCCTGGTGGAACTACTGCTGTACAAACATAGAGATGATCACTGTTTACAAAGGACATGAGCATCCATGGTAATCAATCCACTTACCTAGGTTTCTGTAGGCAGTGGTATAGACTATACTAAAACAAAGTTCAAAAGCTCAGAAACAAAATGGCTATGAAGTAAGACAGCAGTATTTTTTTATTTTTACAACGTAGTATTGTCTAATTTTACAGTCTTTAAAAAGTAGTGATGGGTATATGAGCTACTGAAGGACGAAAATAGCTTCCGCTGCTAGAAAAAACCCACCATAGCTGTAATTTTGTTTACGAAAACCAAGCCTAACCAATTAAGCAAAAACATAAGCTAAAACTGACCTTCAATGAATTATTATGGATACTAATTTTAGTATTCCTCCTCTCTAATTCCAAAACACTGTAATCACTTCAAATTTTGAAAGTAAGATTTACTTATTTAAGGAATTAGTCTTGACATACCATGATAAATATCCTGTAGAGAGCCACCTCCACAAAACTCCATGCAAATCCATAGCTTGTCTCGTCTAAAAAGTGAATAAAACCATTCATTAGCTGTCAGATCTGAGAACAGCACCTGTAAAGGAAAAGTCAGAGGACTATAACATTGTAAAGCACAACGTAACAAGCCCTGTATTATGAAAAGTACAAGTCAAATAATGAGTATGATTTAATCTTTATGTGATACTTCACTGTACAAACAGAAACTAATAAAATATTCAAAAATATTCTACTTTAATGAAGTAATAAAAACAGTATTAGTGAAACATTCACACTAATTTTTTGTTGAAATACTTTTTTTTGAGAGTAGAAAGGAAACAGATGCAGGTTCTTATTTCTTCCTCATTTTCACTTTCCACTTTTTTCAGAGCATAGGAGTTAACACAAACAAACAAGAAACAAATGCAAAACAAAACGCCCTAGGGGTATCTCTCAACTTCTTCCACAACAAATTAAGTGAAAATAGTGCTTTAGTCAATGCTAGGCAGAATGGAGTCCATGCTGTGGATAAGTGCCTGCTCAGATGAAATCTTTTCCTTCAAAAATACCTGTGGGTCAGAGCAAAGTTATTTAGTTGTTCTTCCCTTACTAAGGGAGTCAATTCAGTTTGAGTCACTATACCTCCACAAAAGGTGCTTTCCAAGAACAGACTGCAGGGTGAAAAATTCAGAGGTCTCTTCTCTTATGGCCAGTAATTCTATTTTCACGTAGTAATTTTCACTGGTAAGATGTGTGGTCACAAAACGGCATTTTGGAAAGCAGAAAATCTGGGACTTGGCTAGTCATTCCTGGCCATCAAAATACTCAGAGGGGGAAAAAAAAAATCACATACAACCACCTTAGAGCAGTCTGTAAAACAGGACAATCAAAGGAACGGCTGATGGTTGTTTTGCAGCTTCCTTATAAACCCTGGTCTTGGGTTTCCTGCATTCATAAGGTTCTGTTAGAACAGCTGAGACATTTGTGGAAGTGTTTTGCAAAGCAATGATGTAAAGTGCTGAGCTTATCTCCTGAGCTGCAAATTTTAAGAATTTCTCACCAGCAGGTAACAGCTAGAATAGCTGCTGTTCCAAGGAAGAACTGTCTTTCTTGGATATTCTCCCCATTCACATCTATAGTCTACACAGCCCTCAAAGCTACACCCCATCTGCTTCCTCTATGGGTGAGAAAGGTACTATGCAAACATTACAGAAGTTTTAAGCAATAGAGTTCCCTGGCTGTTAACTGCATACATTTCTAGGGGTTAATTAAAGCATTGCTTGAAATAATATTAAGGCTTTCCACTGAAATAACTGATGAAAGACACAGAAGCAACGTGACTACCTGTGAAAGAAAACAGAATTAGCAGGGGAACATGAGTGGGAAAGAAGCACTGAAAAGACATACACCTCCAAGTCCCTCATTTGCTTCCCACAATGATGCAGGACTCAAACAGGGATACTTTTGGGGGCACTGAGTTCATGAAAGCCACTCTTTCCCATGTGTGGCTGCATCCTGTTTGATGCCAACAGCAGCAGCAGTGTGGATGTGGGAAGAAGCCAGAACAATCTCAGCAGCCTTGGGACAGCAGCAGAGCACCCACAAAGTAAGAGACATGAAGCAGATAAGTGCGGTAAATTCACACTTTTGCTTACTGGGCATTAACTTCCCAGTGTGCAAAAGCCCTACAGAAAAGAAAAAAAAGAACGTAAGAGGATCAGAAGAGACGACTTCATCTCTAATTCACTATCTAGCCCTTTATTACTGTGCCTAAGCACTCTGGGACAGGTGAAGATCATGTAACATCCAACATTAACACTGTACACAGTTGTCTATTTCTGCAGAGCATATGGCAAGAGCAGCAAACAAAACAGACAGGACCACAGTACCGTTTAGTGTCTGCAACTTCACACCCAGGCTAACAGGAACACAGAAATCCGACTGTCTGAAAAATCCTGACATAAACAGAAGAAATCCATGGGGAACAATATGCTGGCAAGTGGCAAGTAAAGGATGATAGTACTCTTCTATTGTTCTTAGCATTGAAATATGCTTGGAAAACAAAAGGTCAGACACAAGAAGGTCTCTAAGACAGTGATGCAATTGCCCAGACAAAAGAGAAGCACTCTACCAATAAAGAGGAGGGAACCAAGCAAGAGAATAAGAGAGTGACAAAACACACAGGATATTTACCAAAACTTAATTCTACAAAGGTGTATTTTGGTACTCTGAGAAAAGAGGGAAACTTTTTTTTTTAAGGACAAAACACCCTCACCCTGAATACAGCTCCAGGAGAAGAGGCACCATTTCAATATAAAAACGGTAAAGAAAGTTGAATGCAATAATAACATTTTTTCACAATCTATTTTCACATGAAATTTTAGAAAACCATCAGAAACAGCTTTTCATTAGCTATAATAAGCAATCTGTTCCTACTGTGACCAGTTAAAAGAAGCAGTTGTAAGACAACTGGATACATCTGTCAATGTTTCTACAATGCAAATAATTTCACCTCCAGAAACAAACATAAATGGAACCATCACATTCTGGTCATAAGTTCATGTGTTAGACAAACAAGACATTCTACTGAAAAAGATTTAAAAGATATTATATACACAGACTCTTCATACTCGCCATACTTCTCCTTAATTTTCCACTTACATATTATAGGTGTCAACTCATTTGCAAGGAAACACGACTGTGATCACTGAATGATTTTGCTAAGAGAAAAATTATTTATAGACATACACTGTAATAAACAGAACAGATTTTAAGGTAAATGAAAAAATATATATATATAAAATTGTATAATACTTATTTGGTAAACTGTGTTTTGCCTAAGTCACCTTTTAGACCTGTCCTTTACAAGGAGAGAGGCACACATTTTTAAGTGAGCAAAAGAAACAAACTGTACCTGAGATAGCTGCCAAAATAAGCAACAATGTTCGGATGTTTACAGTCTTTCATCATAATGATTTCCTGCTGCACAACAGCAAAATCTTCTCCTGAAAAGCAGAAGGACGATTGGCCTCGGTTATACTCACATCTTAACTCAACTTTCAGCACATGCTTATAAAACAAACATTCTGAGTAATTAAGACTATCTGCAATTTTCACAGATCTATAAATTAGCTGTAAATCAGTATTTACTAGCAATAAGTAACTATATTCTCCTGGGACAGATGGAACTCATGTCTGCTGACACCTGTTATAATATTGGCCATAGCTCTTTCTAAAGTCCTTATTCTCCCTGAGACCCCTCTGTGTGCATCTGCATATGCCCTGCCAATAGCCTGGGTTATTAAAAACACAACAAAACTTTGCTATTTTTGGCCATATGCCCAATACCCATTAGCTCATCTTCCGGAGCAAAAAAACCCAGACTCTAGTAGGCTGCTGCTGCAACTTTTCAGCAGACTCAGCAAGAACGTAAATTTATGGCCTGCGCATAACTTACGCCCAGATAAAACACTGACATAGGTGCAGCATTTACCTGTCTCACTATTCGGTACCATGGCTGTCCTGGTCTTTCTATAAAAGTTTCTTTCTGGATGTGTACATTGAGAAAATCATGCATGAAACTGAAACCACAACTGAGACGATTTTATTTTGGTAGTGTTATTTCATATGCAACTTAAAGAAGGCAAGAAAACCATCAAAAGTAAGAGAATGATGGTAACAGATATTTGACAGCCTTCTTAATTTCTAATTTTTTAAAATAAATGCGTGTCATGTGTTCTTTGTAGTTCAGTCTCTTACACTGGGACTCCTCTGAAATTTCTTTAGCCATAAGGGCAAATTAGAGCTAGTCTGGTATGTTATTTTGAAATAAGTTCTTCTGAAGTTTCTTTAGTTAGACATATATAGTAGACAAAATCCAATTCATTTCTACCAGCCTCAAGGCCTTTATCGGTGGAACAAGCCTGAAGGCCTAAAATAACCATTTAACTCCATGAATAACTTGAGACACCTAAACAAGTTGATAACACAGGAACATTCAAAGTCGTCTCCTTTTAGCACTCTGCTGTAGTGCACCTGAGCATAACTTAAACTGGAAACCAAAGTGATTGTCTAAAAACCTGAATATAGACACTAAGCTCCTATGTAACGTCACAGTCCAAAAATCAATTCTCAAATATGACTGTTAATAAATTTCAAAAGAAAAACAATAAATTCCAACAGAACTTGGCCAATCTATGACCTAAGAAAATATGTTTTAAGTTTCTCCCAGTAAATTAACATACTCATGACCTATCAACTGGGTTATTTATAACCACAAAGGTGATGTTCCTGTGTATTTTATTTAACTGATAGCAAATTTCAAATCATAAGCTGAAAGTTAACATCTATGTGTATTGCTGACGGTTTGCTACATCCTGGCTAGACTTTTAAACACACAGACACTAAAGAACAGAGAAATTATTTTCACATACAGACAGGTATCCCTGTGAAAGGACATGATTCCCTCAGTATTTGACCAGTGTTTTCACTGCATTCAAAATGAAAGCAGCATAAAGCCTTCACACTCTCCCCCAGTCTGCAAAACTTCCAAAGAAAGCCAGTGCCATGGCTCTAGAATGTGGTCACTGCCTGTCTGAAGTTCTCAGTCAAGCCTCCATCACAACTGACAGTGACAACTACAGAGAGAAACCAAGCTTAGTGAGCAAACAGAGGGCAGCTACAGCACGTTCTCTGTGCACCACTCGGGTGTCCAAAGGCTGCCAAAAATATTTAACTGCAAGGAGCCAGTTGTTCACCCCCTCACCACAGCATGAGGGCAAATTACCCCGCTGCAGCACATCCCTGGGCTCTGCCCACAGCTGAGGGAATGCACACAGTATGATTCTCATGCTCGGCTTAGTGGACTGATAACCCATGTCATGCAAAGCCAAGGACTCCAGCAAATGGGAACTGACACAAAAAAACAGAGACCTAGACAAGAGCATCTGAGACCACACTTTTCAGTTTGAGTAATAGAGGTGTGATGAATATACACTTTTTGAACCACCTAGTAACAAACATACTGTCCGTACTGCATTCGTAAATGTGCATGCACTGCAAAAACTTCTAATCAATTCCAGAATTTTAAGAAAAGGGAAAAAAACTGTACCTTCTTTCCCTTCTTGCCTACATACACCTTAAGGATCAAAACATGTAATTAAAATACCACACACACACACACAATATTAAATCTGGAAATGGAACACTGAAAGTTAGAAGTTGAACAAAAAGTCTGGATATTTTACTCCCCAGATTACTGTCCTGTTCAACAAGCCTGTTATTAACAGAACAGCACTTCCAGGCTGAGAACTGATCGGTAGGGCACATGTACTTTGTGAAATCACAACAGAAGCAGAGTTAAAGCATAAATCTAGCAGACAGTGAAGTCCTAATCATAGTCTCCAAATTTCCGGAAATGTACTCAACTCCCAGATACTTCTTTTTATTTTTCTTCCTCTACTCTTTTTCCTGATGAGTTCTTTTCTGCCTCGCTGTCTTCCACGTTTCTTTTGTTCTAGAGGTTTTTGTATCACATGGATTAAAAACTTATTATTTAAGACAGAAAAACCCACAACTCTCACTGAAATTTCAATCAGCTTTCATTTCACTGTTCTTCCATTACATTTTTCCTCTCACATCTTGCTTGTCATGATTGCTATTTTTTTAGAACAGTGTATTCCTACAGCAAAATGCAACAATTATCCCTTCTTTCAATAAGTGGACTACATTGATTTTGTATGATTGTTATCTTAAGCACAAAAATATTTAGTTTTTGTGGTGTATTACAACTAAGAGACACTTACCTGGTTCTAGTTTTATTACTTTAATTGCTGCTAGCTCACCCGTGTTGACATTTCGAGCCTATAAAAACAAACAAAAAAAAAGGATATTTAGAGAGCAGAACACAGCAACCAGCTCTGCATTCTCAACTTGACGTTCTCTGACAACATGTAGTCAAAGAGCAGCTGAGAAACACAAGGGTTGAACAAAGAAAAACCACTTGTTGGGGAACACTAGACAGCTAATTTGTACTGAGAGCTGAAGCTTTAGTCTGCTCAGGAAATTACAAAGCCACACAACACTCCTAAGTTATGCAAGTCCTTGACCATGCTGTGCTTCCGTATTAAAATCTGTAAACAAACCAACCACTGAGAGACTGACTGGAAAGCAGGTCTAACACTCACGGGTCTCATAGCAGGCAATTGAGGCCCAAGGGGCACCAAGGGCTGTGCCCTGCAGTATGTGACCTCTTCCAAGACTCCCACCAGAGCAGTGTAACACTTCCTGAGGATTTCACTACATGCCCCTTGGTCCTTACTCTCTTCCAGTAACAGCATCTTCCCCTTGATGCAAGGGTGCAAAAAGGCAACCCAGCAACTAAGGAGTTAGGAAGTATTCCCCTCGAAGCGTTCCCCTTGGATACAAAGCAGCTCTGAGGCCAACTGCAGCAGCAATGACTCAGGATCTTCACTGCATTTTGTACAGGGCTCTGTCCTGCTAAGGCCTCCTTTCTACTGAGCAACCAAGGAAGTTATATTTTTAAAAAGCCATTAAGAAGCAACGTAAATTATTATAATTATGATTTCTCTTCTACAACTGTTGCATTTGACTTCTAATTGAAAACTGAGAAGCCATTTGCCCAGTGCTTTCAGATACTTCTGTGCCCCTGCACCCAGCCATGAGGAGCAGGCAGCAAAGCTGCTTCCCAGCACTCAAGCAGCAGCTCCTGAAGGATGCCCAGTTACAGCCTCTTCTCTCCCCAAGGGAGGTTTGTTACCTGTAGCTGCACTGCACTGGACCACCACTGCAGAATGTCATGCCCCCTCTAGCCCTTACACAGGGCACAGAGGGGGGACACCAGGCCTGCTTTTCCAAAGGCCAGAATTACAGAACTTACAGATGTAGCTTTTAAGCTGCTAATGGTTTCATTTAAGTCATTGTAGGAACTCAAGAACTCACACCCTTTGCTGACTGGCCATGAGACTCACCAAACACCTTTAAGGTACTGATTCTTTACATGGCAGCTTGAGACGTTGTTGTGGAACCACAAATAGAGGGAAAAATACTCCTAAGACTGTAAAAAGTAACCAAATAAATGCAGTGAGTATTCCTGTGTTTAGAGATCTACTCAGCTCATTCCTAGCACAGCTGATCCCAAACCTCTCGCTATTCTTTGGTGCAGCAATGCTTTGCTGCAATACTGGGAAGCACCAGCATTTCCAATAATTTGCAGGCTGAGGGTTAGTGATAGATTCTGAGACCAATGAGAATACTGTAAAAGCCAAAGAGTAGTCCCAACCTGATTGACAGTGGAAAAACCAGTTAAAAAATAAATTTTGTCTAGCAGCCTTCCCTGCAAGTCATAATTTGCCCACCCCACCGATGGCAGCAATGTCTCCATTAATCATTGGTGGAAAAAAGACATTAAGAAAAGGAGTTCCTTCTGTACCAGAGAATCAAGGCAACACATGAGGAAGTGGCACCATTGAAGCATGAGCTAGGATTTTTACTCCTCATTTCTTTTCTGAACACATAGCATGAAACAAACACACAGGCAAAATGTTCATGAATCAAACAAACATCAGAATTTTTTAACCTCCAAGATAAACAAGAAAAACTACTGAAACTTTAACAAAGACCTGTGATCCTCGGGGAGTCTTGTTAATACTTACAGACTTGCTTCAGGGCAATTTGTACTAACAAGATAATCAATGAGATACAACTGTAGCAGATACAAATGGAGAGATCCTGAACTTACACATCCTGAGCACAGCTGCAACACGCAAGTCAAGACGGAAAAATTTCACAGGCCTCAGGGACATTTTTTTGTTTTTATTTATTTTTAACAATACTGTGTCCAACTGTCAGTAATTTGTTTCTGTGACTATGGCTCCATAGGTCACTACGTTCTGTGACAAAAAAGCAAGATAGAAGGTGAGTATGAGCTAGTGACAATTTCAATCTAAATTTGATTAAAGCATGTAAGATACTCATCCCAAGTCTTACGTGGCGGTGGTGCTCAAAAGAAACTATCACTAGTAGACAGGCAAATCTATAGATACATCAGAAGCAGGACATGTAGAATGCCAACCAAAGAAACAGTCCAAGCATCTGGCAGCCTTGTCAAATCTGCACTCCCCAACACCTCAGGGCTGATTCAGCACCCTCTCATTGCAAAGGGAGTTCATCTTCAACGTCATGTTTTCAAAAACTCTTCAAACTGTTGTCAGGGAAGAAAAATTGTTGTGTCTTTTCACCTTCAGATTAGGCATTTCTTCCTTTCTTCAGCACCAGCAGCAGCGGGACTCTTTGGCCAGCTGGTGATTCTCTGGATCAGTATCTGCTTGAGCTTATGAAAGCCAAAAAGGAGGAACAAAACCTGATTTAATGCAGGTCACCAACACTAGGCTACCCACTGCTTCAGGGCGTAGATTAAGAAGACAGGACTCCAAGTCAAGAATCCGATTAAGTTATAACTTTGCGTCCTGTTCCATTTGGGTTATCAGCACTGAAGGTGTTGTCAACAGTAGGAATATGAATGGCCTTTGTTAATCTGAGTATATAAAAATATTATGCTAATTGTAGGCACACAAGGGTTCCTTGCAAAGGCTAAGAATGAGAATGAGGTGCCTGTGACAGGTTTTACTAGATCTCAAATACCTTTGAAATCATCAGCTGTGAAACAATTACTCATCTGAGTTCACACTTATGAGTGACTGAGAATGACTGAAGTACATAGGGTTTTCAACACCTGTTGGAGCTGGCTCCAACTCTGAATTTGGGGGTGCTTGCATACATACCACACAGCACCTCAGGATGTGGAAGACACCGCCTTGGGTTTTTATATAGGAAAAATCACACCAATTGTTTATGGGGTTTGAGACTGGAGAATGAATAAGTAGTAGGTGGGTAAAGAACAATTTCAAACAAGTACTTTTGAGCCTAAAAACGCAATCAAAATTTTGAAGAGGCTCACGTAAGAAAACCTATATTCATTTTTTGCTTCCACTTGCACTGTAAGTACTCTAACTCCCAGCCTTTGTGATATTGAGGTTTACAGCATCTATCCCTGTTTCCAGGACCAGGATCCTTCAACCACTTCCTTCAAATGCATATTTCACTATCTCAATGGGAATGCATTACCCAGGCTTTCTAGAGGCAAAGATTAGCCCACAATGCCTGCATCTACATGCAGGTACTTTATTAAATGTCTAGACCGTTTATATACAATGTGTGCTCTAAAAAATGACAGAAGAATCCTAATTCTATCAGCAGCTAAAAGAACTATACTCTTACAGAGATCTGGATTGCCATCTGGGGAGAAGTTTCAAAAATTCTACTAACTGTGAAGTCAACTGAAGAGGCACTGTAAAATTAAACAGGAAATAATTACTAGTATCTCTGTAACAACAGCAGGATGACAGATAAAAATGTTATATAAAAAACTGCCACCAAGCAGAAATAAAAGCTAAAAAAAAAAGTCAGGCTTTATTGTTACTCTCTTTGCAAAAATTAATTAACAAAAATGCTTCAGAATTGTAAAGACCTTACTACTCTGAAATGGAGAACCAAAGAGCAACGGAGTGAGGCAGTACTCTGATGTGCTCTAATTTGGAAACACCAGTCAAGCAAAAGATGTGCAAATGGTGTGTGCCTGAGCAGGAGAGGAAAGAAAAAAAAGGAGGAGGAAGGATAGTATTTAGCACTGCCCCTAACATATTCCACTTCATAAGAAGGAGACATCTGTGCAGCTGAACAAGTAGAGATGTAAAATCCAAGGAGATAAATCTCGACAAGTTTATAACTGTCCTTCAAATGGAAACTGATAATATAAAGCATATAATGCTGCAACAAAAACTAAGTCAAAAAGCAAAGTAAGACAGCAACAACAAGGGCTTCTGGTTTTGATCACTTCCTGTGTGAACTGTTGAACAAAATGATTTCTAAACAAGTTACTACTTCATGGGATAACTGGTTCCAGGGTACAAACAGGCTTCCTGAGCCTGATTAGCTCTGCTCTTCAGGAAAACACACCCAAGCATCTCCCCAGTCCTCTTGCTTCCAGCCGTACAGTCCTTCTCTTCAGCCTCTCTCAAACCCTCAGAACTCCCCTGCCTAAAAATAGTTAGCTTCCAACATTCTGGTAGAAAGTGCGATACCACAACCCAACAGTGTGATAATTTTAGAAAGCAAAGCTTTGATAAAGCTGATGTTAAACAAAAGGATGTGAAACTAAGAAAAACAAAAATCTCTGTGCAAGGCAACCACAGTCCCAGAAACTAGGCCTTGTAGTACTTATTCAGTGTAGTAAAAATGGGATGGCAAAACATCCACCTCCCTCTCTGTCTACCTGACAAGTTTCAAAAGCCAATTAACACTGAACAGACAGAGCCTTCAAAACAAATCTTTACTCCTAACAAAGTCATAAAAAGCTTCAAAAGCTGTAATGTCAATCAGGAAGAAAGGAAGACTAAAATGTCTATCCAAAAGCACACAACTGAAAGGCACAGCTTCAATATTTCAGAAGCAGCAAACTGCAGAAGAATCACCTCTGGATCACTCCAGGAAAGAGGACCAAGGGCACACACATGCAGAGAAGAGATTTGTGTGTAGGACACTGCAAAACAGAAGTTCATCAAGATTCAGGTTCATCTGACCTGGACGCATTCTCTTCCAGCAGCACATAGAAGCTCTATCAGCAACCAGACACTCTGAAACACGTATGACAGCAGAAAGCAGTAACCGTCACCAGGTGTTTCCCAGACATACTCACAGAATCTTAAGTTTTCATCATGAAGCAGTTGAGCTGGTGGATACATGACTTCCCTCACCAAAACCAACTTCCCTGCCAAAGGGCTGGGAAATGGAAAAATCAGGCTTTTCTTTTTTAAAAATAAGACCTCAAGCAAAGTGTAACCCACTGAGTTCTTTGTCTTCATTTGTTATCTGGCCGAAGCCATAAATGCCAAAAAGAACTGAAATAAGGCAGACGTGGCATAACCCTTGCAGGAACAACAATCTCACTAATTATCACAGCTGTCTGAATTTCATTAAAGGGGAAAGTAAAAGAAGAGCCTTTCTTTTAGTAAGGTGCTGAAAATCTTTGGAAGGGTCCACCTGCACAAGACGAATGACCTCTGAGATGGCAAATAAAGTTCAACCTTTATTAAACCAAAGCAATATCTTTTTTTTCAAGATATGCTGTGATATAAATTTACCACATGAACAAAAGCAATGCACCTACAATCACCTCAGAATATACTTCCAAACTCTGTGCAATTGTTACCAAAACCAAAGGTATTGGAATGGGGACAAACAGGAAACATCATAATATGGTGTCTGTCAGAAAACCCCCGTGCAGCACTTGTAATCCAAACTTTAAAAGAATGTCACAACTTACAGAGAGCTTGGAACTAAGAATGGTAACTTTTAAGAGACAGAAAAGCCTTCTTAAATGAGAGAAGGATAAATGCAGAACAAACAAAATTAAGCAGCTACCTCATTAAAGTCTAGGAATATTTCCTGCAATGGAGCACGACTGGACAGTATCCCTGTTTCACAGCCAATAAATCATAACTCTTCTTTCACACTTTGGTGACCACCTTTCACAATTAAATTCTTTGGAACAGTGAAATACAGAAGCACAAGAGACAGAAATGACCTGCACAGTAATATAATTAAAGAGATACATGAAGAACTAAGCTATTCAGATAACACTTCACCTCCTACAACAAATTTGCACCAGTGCTAATTAGAATATATACATACTGTTGACTGTGAATATTTGATAAAGACCTAATGGTATGAACAAGTTATCCATTACCTTTCTTGTGATGAATCCATTATCATTTGCTCCAAGGCTCTCTGAAAGCTGAACTTCGGTGGGAGTGCAGATAATTGTAAAAATACTGGCTCGAGCCAAAAATCCCACACTGGTATGTGAGTGTAAGAGCAGGACTCATGGCAGCAAGATTGTATCCATCTGACCCATACCCTCCCTCTCTTTCAATCTCTGTAGCTCAGTCCACACCAGCAGCTCTTATGTCAAATTCAATAAGCTTCAGAATAGAGACTCTGCTTCCCTTCTTTTTAATAATTAATTTTTTTAAAAACAAAACAAACATTGAAACCATGTCCTGTTATAGCTCAGTTCAACTAAAACGGAGTAAGGGAAGTAGATGCCAGTCTGGTCTGCATTCAGCTCCTCAATGCTTTGCCAGGAAAGCAGGTTACAGAAGAGTCAGTATTTAGCAAGACTGTCAGCTTATTAGCAATAATCCCTACCTGCTAACAGCAGAAACACCTCCCTTCACAGCTCTCCCTGCTGAGGGGGAAAAACCACAAACTACAGCCTGAAGAAACCCAAGTATGTCGAGTGCTTGGAAGCACTCTGCTGAAATCCCACCACTGATGAGCTCCATCATCTCATGGCTGATTTCAACTTCACACAATTATTTCATCAACCACAAAGTTCACCTACAGGTGACAGGATGAAGGCAAATGAAAGAGGCTTTACGAAACCTCAAATACAAGATAAAGCCTGAGTTCACATGTGGATGACAGTTCAGACTATATTACTACTTCTTTGCCACATTAAAAGTAACCAGCTTTCATTGTTATTTTTGGGCTACTTTCATGCTCCACCTTGAAGACACCTTGGGCAAGACCTTGCCTCAAAATGAAACAGGCAATAATCCACACAGGAAAAAAGCACCTCTCATTTTCCCTACACTGTCCGCAACCTAATCAGAAAGCACTTACCTCCCATCTAGAAGAAATAATTATAATACCAGCCTAGTGTGTCCTGGTATATCACCACCTATCTCGGCTGCCACAGGCAGATTGCAAACATTAGCAAATCCACTCGGGGGGGGGGAGAGAACTTCTGTGCCTCAAAGGAAGAAGAATCACAAGCAGTGCCAAACACTGGCCACTCATAGAGCACCAAACTGAAGGCTACTGCAATGTAAGTATGATAATCATCAAGAAAACCTTCACAAATCCAATTAAACTTAATAGGTTTCAGATACATATGCAACATGTATCTGAATGTGTAAGTGTCTTGCAGACTCTATGGTTAGAGGTAACGTCCTTAAAATTCATATCCATCAAAATCACCTACAGAGCACTGAAAAAATCTGATTGACAAGGTATCGCAGAGTCAATGTCACAGTTAAAAACTGCACAGAAAGAGACATGCACATAAAGGCACACAGAAGAACAGTGTGCAGAAAAGCAAAAACCCAGAGCACAAGGCAACTAGGCTTGGACAAGTAAAACATCAGCACAGTACACAAACACATCAAGAAAGTTGGCAAGGTGGGGCAAGCAAGACAAAACCCCCTTTCAATTAAACAATTAATAAAGCAGGGTGTTAGCACACTAAGAGCGCAATAACAAGAGGATTTAGGTCTGAAACTTCCATAACATTTAAGCGAGATGAGATTAAACGAAAATCACCCCAACCCAAACAAGACTTCATTCTAGGCACATTCACTCGGAGTGAAAGGCAGCACCAGCACCAGTTCTGTGCACCTCAAATTGTGGAATGGCTCTACATGTTTCCCTACAGTCCTGCCTACCAGAACAAGTTTCCTCAGACACATGTGTACACCCACTGATGACAAAAACAGGCCAGAAGATGCTTGGAAAGCACACAGTTCAAGCAATGCTTCCACCAGGCTGCACATGACAAACTTCAGTTCTTCCCTCTGCTCCAAGACCAATCAGGAGCAGGTAACAACCAGGGTCATCCTACCCCAGGGAGAGAACGTCACATCCCAACAGGCAAGGATTCAACCGGATACACAAATAAGAACATACACTGCAAAGTGGGGAAAAATGTCAAAGTACATTATAAAGTCCCCTAAACCCAAAACTTATGTTCAGCTGCTTTTGCCTTAGCTTTGATTTTCCTACGTTTGCTTAAGTTAGGACAGAACCCTGAAAGACTGACCCTAACCACATCAGTTTGCCCTCGGACCGCCCAGCCTCACGTTTCACACCGACACAAGCACAACACACCGGTATCGCATCCAAGACAGCGGCGGGAGCAGTAGCCGGGACGGAGGGCCCCGTTCGCCTTCAGGCACACGACTTCAAGTGGCATTTGGGGCTGGAACCGAGCGAACAAGCTTCCCACACCCTTACAGCCCCCGGCCCGCTCTGGAAGGGACCAGACCCCCAAGCTCCGCCCGAGCCGGCACCAGCAGCAGCGGCCGGGGCCGGCATACAGGAGCAGCGGCCAGAGCGGCTGCAGGGCGGCTCCAGGGTCGCCGGAACAGCGCCAGTCCCGCACACACCCGCACCTGCCCGGCTAGGACACGGCCGGGCGGGGGCAGCGGCGGCTGGGCCGGGGCGGGGAGCAGACCCCGACGGAGGGGGGGCGGCCTCGCTGCCCTGGGGAGGGCCAGGGGACGCCGCTGCGCGACGGAACTCCCCCCTCCCCAGATTTTGAAGGAGGAGGCCGGCCAGGCTGCGTGACAGCGGAACTCGCCGCAGTGGGGACAGAGGGGGACAGAGGGGGACAGAGGCGATTCCCCCCGCCGGGCCGCGGCGCTGCGCCCACCTTGTAGACGTCGCCGTAGGTGCCGCTGCCGATGCGCTGGATGAGCTCGAAGTCCTCCTGAGGGTTGCGCCGGGACAGGTCGCACACCCTCCCGCCCCCGCCGCCGCTCATGGTGCCGTCGGACGCCCCGCTCGGCCGCGACCCCCCGGGGCCGGGGGAGGAGGCGCGGAGCGAACGCGACGACACCGAGCGCTCACCGCCCCCCCGCCGCCCGCCCCGACAACATGGCGCCGGCCGCCGCACCGCGCACGCGCGGGACAGCGCCCGCCCCCTCCACCCCCCTTTCTCCGGAGACACCCCCGCGCCTGCGCACCAGGAGCAGGGCCAGGTGGGGTGTCCTGCGCGTGCGCGGGGCCCGCGAGGGCATCGCCGGCGGGGGTAGAGGGGCCGCGGGTTCGGGACCGGCCGGCCCTGGCCTCGGCCCGGGAAACCAGCACGTCCTCCCCCAGGGCACCGCCGGCTTCCTCCGCAGCCGCGGTCCTCGAATGGGAGCCGCGGTCCATGTGCAGACCCCGCGGGCGTAGCGCCGAGGACCCAATAATTCCCCAGACCCCGCAGCCGGAGCCCAGGGACACCGCGGCGCTGTCCCCGTGGACCAGGGACCGACCTCCTCCCTGGCCCTGGTGTCCATCCCCGGCTGTCCAGCTTGGGACGTGGCGTTTGCCCGCGCCTGGGTGCGTGGGAGCCCAGCGCTCCCCGTCCCGGTGCACAAAACTGGGAAGGCACTTGTGAAGTAAGATCCAACACGCAGGTGTTCCCCCGAAATGCCAGGCAGTGTAAGGATTGCAGGAAAACTTGTTTCCAAAGTCATGAACACTGGACTTAAAAGAACATTAATCCTATTCAAACACTAGACCTGAGGAAAGATGCGCCCCCTGCTCTTCTCAGGGCTTGTGTAATTTCTGGCCCCCGCTCTGCGGGGCTTCCGCATGTCTGCGGACTTACCTTTTCCTCATGTCAAGGAGCGTTTCTCTTGAATGCAGGAGGAGAAAACATCTAAAACTCTCTCTGGGGAAAGACATGTCTTCTGGGCAGGAAAACTTTCTTAAGCAAAAAGCCCTAATATCCTTGAAGTAAAATATTCTGGAAAGGGTCTTCTACACTTACACCACAGTAATCCTAGCATTGTCCAGTTGCCCACAGCCTCCAGTGGTGGATCCTGCGGGAAATCCCGGGGCCCTTGCTGGCTCCTGGGAGGTGTCTGCCTTTCCCCAGCGGGACATGGGAAGCACACATTATGGATGTCCCCACATCTGCACTGTGCTGTGCATCTGCCAGTCCCCTGCACACTGGCACAGCCTCTGCACACCCATCCAATGCACTCTGGTTGGGCAACATCTTCCTCTCATCTGTGGGACGGTTTCCTCTTATTTTGTAACTTTTTGGAGCATTGTGCACACCCCCATGAGATGCAGCGTATGCCCTCTCTCGTCTTATACTAATGCTGCCAGTGTATAGACTTTCAGTCCCATCTTGCACACAAGTTTCCAGCACAGAGGAGGCATGTGGGTTCCTGCTCCCTCTCTGTCTGTGCTTCTCGCCCGCTCTGTACAGGGAACAAGCACCAGACAGCTGTGGGAACTCTTCTCTCCAGATGCATGGCCTCTGAAGTTATGTGGTGAGTGAGTCCTGGAGCACTTCTTGGGCTCTGTGCCAGTGAACCAGCCAGAGCTTTTCCTGCCACATTTCTGCTGCCAGTGACTGATGGGTGAAACAGAGTGGGCTGAGGGGGGAGCTTTAGGCACGAAGATGCACCATCTGCTTGCTGCCCCTGCCTGCCTTGCCAAAGATGTTGTTGTGGGTTCTTTCCTCTCCGCTGAGAAGGTGTATTGGGACAGGGGGCTGGGCATTGCCCCATTTCAATGTGTGATTACCAGAGCAGAAAAGGAGTTGAGGAGCTTGAGCTCTGGCAGGGGATGCCTGTGAAATTGCATGTTGTTGGTCGGTGTGTTTGTCCCTCCAGCCACCCTGGGCCATGCATTCCTGTCCTTGACTTTGTTTTTATGACCTTTGCTCTCACAAGCAAAATGGTCTCAAACCTGCCAGATTCAGATTGAGATTCAGGTGTCAGTAATGTTTCCTGGCACGTGACTGAGGTTTTTGGGGCACACTTTGCTGCTTTCTGCTGCGGAAGCACCGGCACAGGCAACAGGCACAGATTAGCTGGACAGAGTTCCTAAAGATGCTCCAAGAGCCAATCCAGGGGGACTGGGCTCTGTGACAAGTTTAGGAGTAGCAGCAGCTCTGAGTGAGTTACAGAAGGAAATGCCAGAGAATTAGAGCTGTCCGGAAAGGCTAACAGACATCCTGCTGGGGAGAGCCGATAACCTTGTCGCCCTACTGCTCTTGCCTCTTCATTTCTATCTCAGTAGGGGGGAACTGGGTTATAGTTGTTCCCATGTTATGTTCTTGCCAAATTCTGCTTTGGTAGAAATGGTTATGAATGAAGCAAGCAGGATTTTTTTCCCCCTTAAATCTTGCTTTCTATCCATGGCAGCTGCCCACTCTTCCTCTGCTCTTCTAAAAACACCCTGGGAGCGTCTGTGTCCCTTCTCTTTGGTAAGGAGAAACAGATGGAGCTGTGAGATGTGCCTTCCACTACCTTCAGAAACAGGTCAGATCAAATTAGTGTCAGGCATAATTTGCTTTCCCAAAGCCTTGAGAAGACTTCTCTTGCTTTCTTTTTTTTCCTCCTATTCCTTAGCCATGGCTATGGTAGGACAGTCAAGCCATATGCTGCAAAGAGGCAGACTGGGCTCCTCTTCAACACTGCTCAGGAAGGTCAAATTAATTCAATAAAACTGCATTTGGGTGTTAAATGTTATTATGAGAGTTCAGTCAGTGACAATTACTTTAAGAGTTCTGGTTCCTTCAGGGATCACAAGCCCCAGCTGCAGTCAGTGACACCCCACAGGAACAAAAAATATCCTGCTGAGGCTGGATGCCTTGTTTCCAGCTGTGCTTATGACATCCTGTTGCTAAGGCTCCTGCTGCTGCTACTTAGATCCAAAATGCCACTTTGTGCTCTACAGCCCTAAATCCTGGCCACTGCTTGAAGTGGGAGCTCTGGTTCTTCAGCCATCATGTGTTGGCAGACTGCACATGGCTCCAGGTGACACCAAAGCAATTTGTCACAGTTGGAGACCTCTTCCCACCTCTCTGGCATCTTTCTGTGCCAGACTAAATGGCAAGGTGCTGCATATGCTGGCGCTGTGGAGGGAAGGTGGCCTGTCCCTTTCACTTATGGGACTGGAGCTGCTGTGAGAGGGAAGGTGTCCTTACAGGTGCCTGTTTGAGCCAGGTGGGATCAGACATGGAGGCAGACAAGTTCTTTCTGGAATGCTGAAGGCTGCCTTGGTAAGGTAAGGACTGCACTTTTTGTCAGTCCCGGGGCAGGTTGGTTGTGCCACAAAATAAGTGTATGAAGGAAAGTATAAATTTAGAGGACCCAGTTGGCTCCAGATGTGGGAGGTCCACATACATAAGCCCCATACCCCTGTTGCAGTCACTCCTGATATCCAGAGGAAAGAGCTAAGCCTCACACTTTCAGGGGTGATTCTAAAACTGTAATAAAGCAACAGTACATCCTGGACATTTTTCCTCTCCCCTCAAACATGAGGCTTTTAGGTTGTACTTCACAGGAAAAAAAGAAAATAAAACTTTCCAGCGTGATGTCAGCAATCTGAAGACTTGGCTTCTTCTATGCTTTCTTCCACTTTTAACAGTTCCCCAAAGCAGCTGTCCATTCCCCAGCCCCTCCTGACCTCAGACAGCATTTCCTTGGTACCACTTCCTTGCAGTATCTCATGTCTGCTCCTGTCTGTTCTGGAACAGCTTTTTGCTGTTTGCTTCCCATTCAGCTGAGCAAGCTCAGCTCCACTTTCTGAAGAACCCAGCACCCTTGCTCAAGAAGGGACACCCATGCAGGATGAGACCCTTTGCACTGTATGCCTGATTTATTTGTAAGCAGCTGCACTGCCTTTTAAGAGCCTTTTAGAGGAGCCACCTCTGTGGTGTCACGCTGAAGACCAAGGTGCCAGCAGTGACAGCTCATGCTGGCATTTGCTCTGCAAAGAACACGGAAGGCAAAAATGGCTTTTTTTAGCTAACTGGTGCCCCAGGGCAGCAATGGCTCCAGGGGCAAGGGAGGGCACATCCCCGTGGCATTTGCCAGATGGTGGCCCTTTGGGGATACCAGTTGGTGGTGCAGCATGTGGCAACTGGAATCCAGCCAGATCCCTGCACCACTTTTTCCTTTCTTTATTAACCCTGCTCCACTCTTGCAAAAACAAAGCCTGCGTGAGATCCACCCTGACTCCTGCCTCCTTCCCTCTCTGCTGCAAGTTCCATATTTCAACCAGCACTGCCACTAAGAAATCAGGCTCCCATGTAATAGATAATGTTTTATGAGTGCTGCTGGCCATTGGTGCATTGGCCATTGGTGCTGGTGGATCCAGGACATGAGTACTGCAAGAAGCTGAGCAGAGCTGATTACTCAGAGAAGAAGGAGTGGGCATGAGCTGAGCAGATGGTAAAAGAATGGGGACCAGGAGGGCAGGTGACAGGGACTAGCTGCAGGGGGTAATTCCTAGCACTGGAAGGAAAGACTGGTGCTGGGTTTGGTTACGTGGTGTGGGAGCGCCTCTTCCTCTCCATCTGGTGATGCTCAGAGATACACTGCTGTCAAGTACCACTTTTCCCAGCCAGTACACTTGCACAACCATGCCTTCAACCTGATGAAGATGATGATCCGCCAGGATGAATGGTGTCTGCTTCTGTCTCAGTTTAATGAGACTGAAGTGTTTTGCTAAGGAAGATGAGTTATGAGGAAGACCAAGCTCCTCCCTCTAAGCAACTGTAAATCCAAAAATAAGAGGCTCCAGTTGAGGAAATATGGAGAAAGAAAAGATAACAGCTCTTTAGTAAAGGATATATGTGTACAGGCAGAACAACAAAAGAACACAAAAACAACTAAACACTAATCCTGTACGCAAAGTCCCCTCCAAAAAACCCCGTTCAGTACTTTCCGCCTTTTGGCGCAATTCCAACCAGGGCCAGCAGGGGGCGCTGTTGGATCACTGGAGGAGCAGAGCCTGCAGTTGCTCTCTGGTGGCCGGCAGGGGGCGCTGTTGGGCTCTGGCGGCC